GCTGCAGAACCGCTCCCCAATGTCCAGCGCCCCCAAAGAATAACTGCGGCTGACCAGCGACCAAGCAGTCAGAAAGTTGTAGCAGGCGACTGGGCCGTAAAAATTACCCGCCCAACGAAATAGAGAAAGAGAGAAGGAGAGAGAGAGAAAAATGGAGAAGGAGATGGAGAGGAAAGCAAAATTAAAGGCACACAAAAAGTGGAAAAAATGGAGTAAACGGAAAAACGTAAAAAAATTGGGACAGGCTCGCACACAAACACACCATCGAGGGGAGAGTCCTTCGTCCTGAGCACTGAGCACTGAATCCTGGACAATGCTTGGCCTTCATTGTTGTCAAGCAGAGCCGCCACCCACCCACTTTGCACCCACCCACCCAAGTGGGGTTGATTGAGTGGCGCGCCCATTGATGTTGCTGCTGCTGTTGCTCCTGATGGACCAGCAGGACCTCACCTCCCCCTTCCCCACCTCCTCCTCCCCTCCTTTTTTCCACTTCTTGTTTTGCTCCATTTTCCATTTCGCCCTCCCCCCATCGTTCATCATTTTTTACACATTTTTGTTTTGGTTTTTGTGCTTCGCTGTTGTTTTGTTTCGTTTTTGTTTTCTTTCGCTCATTCGCCATGCGACTGTCAGCTGCGCTGAGTCCATATATGGAAAGCCCATCTATATGTCTATACATATATATATAGCCGCGCCGATAAAGCCGATACATGCCCACGTGCCCGCGGTATATGCCAGAAGTACTGCGTACATACATATCATATATAGAAGCAGTCGAATTCTCGGCGAAATTGCAATGTCTGCAGCGTGCAGCTTTTGTTTGTAGCCGATGGGTGGTGGGTGGAAATTGGGTTCCTGGTTGCAGGTCCCATTTTCACCTCTGGTGACACTGTTTGTGCTCCGGCGAAATTGCGCAAGAAATCGCCTTGTCACATAAAAAAATAGATTGCTATTCTATTTTTGTTTAGAGAGCCGATAGGGCGACCAATAAAACCAAATGATAAACGTTAGTCTGATTACTATATCTCTAATTGGTAAATGTTTTTAATGGTCCTTTGTAAAAAACAACTAAACGTTGATTGCAATTGAAATCTCCAGAGATTAGAAACCACCTAAAAAGTTTTAAAAAGTATGCTATCGTAATTGCTAAGCTCAAGAGTGAAAATTTAAGGCATACTTTTCAATACCTTAGTCTGTTAAAATCTTAGAGATTTTTATGGCATCTCAGTTGGATGGAACTTATGGTTGGCTATATTGAGTGTGTCATAAGTGAAGTTTATCAGTGCCTAAAAACATCCACTTAAAACCTTTTTCAAAACCTCTAGCACTTACTTCACCACCTCCATTTTATCACCTTAATTACTTTTGCCAATACTGAGAAAATAGCTGTAGAATTTGATAAAAAATGTCTCATTTTCCGTTGATTTCCTAGTTTCACATGCAACAACCCTCGGTACAGAAATTCATCACTGCACTGGCAGCGACAACTCCCAAGCAGTTTTAGCAAACAGTTCGGCTTCGTTTTCGAGTCACCAATGGGGAAATTATCAATTCAGGCACATAAAGCAACATAAATATTAATTGAAAAATATTTTCGCATCTCGGCAAAAGGAAGGCCAGGAAGAAAACTACACACACACACACTCGCACTGTCAGTGATGAAATTATGTGCATTTGCATTAAACAAAGCATTAAATATGCAAAAGTGCAAGGCCCAGCTCGCCACCCATGTACCTTTTCCAGGGGCGGGGAAAAAGGGGGCTGCTGCTGAAGCATATTGCTGGCCACAGCAGGCGCTGTTTGCTGGATGGGCCCGGGGTGACCAAAAATAGAACAAGTCAAATATTTTTCGACAATTTATGAGCCAGCCTCCCCTCTTTTCGGGGTGATGGTGGTGGTGGTGGTGGTGGTGGGGCTGGTCAGCTTGTAACGTGTATGTCCGCCACTTCCACATCCACATCCTCATTCCCCATCTCCACTACCATTTCCACTCTCGTTCCCCGGGAAAAAATGCCATTTGCAATTAAAGCAAACAAGCAACGCAACCGTTCGGCGACGGCGACTTGCTCCTCGTTTTCGCTTTCTTTTTGCCGGCTACTTTTTGGCAATTGCATTTTTTTACTGTCCACCACCCAGTCAACCCAGCACCCAACCACCCACAGGCAAATGGCCGAGCACCCACCACCCACCACCCACTGCCCGCTGCCCATTGCTGCCCACTCCCGACGGTTGGTCACATGTGTGAATTATAATTTCGCGTCGCGCTCAAAAGCACGCTACATAAAAAACACAGACAGCGAAAGAGACAGGACGAGTGCCGCAGAAAGAGACGGGAATATGAGGCTCGAAGGGGGAGGGCGGTGCAGGAGCATAATAAGAAGAAAAGCAAAGGCTGCCATCGCGTTTTCCATTTCGCGCCGGGCTTTTGCTTATCACATTCGAGGCTGTCAAGTGCCCCGCTGCCCCACCCCCTTTACCCTTCCACACTCCACACTCCCCATTTTCCAACAGCACCCCCAACTTGCCCCCTTCCCCCTTTTGACGTGGAGCATCTCTTGCTCTTTGCAATAATTCAATTCATTTTCTATTTTTTGACTTATTTTCATTTGACGGTGGCGCAACAAAAACACCAGAAAAACCCAGCCGAAGGGAAAACGTTGAAACGTTGATGCCCAGCCGATTGTTGGGTGGCTTTAAGTGGGCTTCACTGTCCGAACCTGAGTAGATACGATTGTGCCGAGTTTTCCGGGGATGGGGTGAATATTTTTGGTAGGCAAATGAAATGGCTACCGGGTTCCCCTGCATTTCTGCATGTTAAAATGCCAAACTCTACAGATTAATATGCTCTTCAAGAATTGATGTGTATTTCCAGCAACGTATTTATAAGAATTGCTTGAGCATTATTAAAAATCAACATTTGTTGCGTCCGAGAATACTTTGATATGAATAAAGTTACACTTAATAAAAATAAAAATTGCTCTTCAATATTATCTATTATATTATCTAATAATTTGCTGCATAATAAGAATACATAATTAAAAACGCACGGAATATAAATTGAATATAAATCGCCTTAAAGGGAAATAAAAGGAGTTTTCTGTATCCTTGAACTCATTTGTTAAATCATGTATCTAACCCATTCAATTATTCATCTATTGAATACAGAAACCTTGGGGGAGCCCCTTCTCGATTCATATGCTAAATCAGTTTTTAATTTCCGCTCATTTGCGAGGCTACAAAAATAGAACTGTTGGCAACAAAAGGCGGGCGACAGCGTCAGCGGCTCATTATGGTGGCCACGTTTTGTTCTTCAACTTTTAGCTGCAGTGTTGCTGCCGTAGGGATACTCACACACACACACACACCCACTCACACACACAGCCACGCCGAAGTCCTTTCAATTGAGCGTGAGTAAATATGTTGAAAAGTTAATTCATTGCACATCAGTGGACTCCCAACTACTTGAGTGTGAGTACGAGTGTGTGTGCATGTGTGTGTGGGCCATAGTGGCTGTCAGCGGCCGTCTGTTTGCCGCCTGTTTGCATAAAGGACATGCACTCTCACACACACACACGGCCAGCAAAACGTAAAAAAAAACACGGGGACACTCGCAGGACATTAACGTTTCCAGCGCTCCGAGTTTCTTTTCCTTTTTCATACACTCTCGTTCTCGTCGTGTCATAAATTTAGTTCGATTTGCTGTTCAATGACATTAACTTGGTTCGTCCTGGCAGGACCTTCTTCCTTTTTTCACCGCCACTGTTTAAGTAGTTGCTGTTGTGCTGTGACGGCGCCAATAAATGTCAATTTTTAATGAATTTCCAGCACGTTGCAGTGAAATTTATCAAGTGCTTTAATTAATGTCTCCCTTTTAGTGTTAGTTAGTTAGATGATTGATAGATTTATGGTGGATTTCCCTTTGGATATTCAGCTGGTTCTTCCTTATGTGGGTGATAAAATCCTTGTTGGCCGACCAGCAGAATTTCCATTTAATTGCAGCACTTCCAACACCCACCAAACATTTCTATTTATTTGCATAAATTTTTTTTTAACACTTTACCTCCGTTGCTGTCACGTTTACTGCTTATTTTTATTGCTTTTCTTTTGGTCCTCCCTCTTCTCGATTTTGCGTTTTTTCTTCCCTTTTTTTGGGTTGGTATTTTTGCACTACAATTATGTTAATTTCCTATGCAAATAAAATTTAATTGAAGCTCCGCCGCGTCCCAAAGAAGGGTCCTGCTCCGTTTGTCCCGGCATTAAAACCCCCGTCTAAGCGCATTTGCCGTCGCCAGCATTAATTGCCAATAATTATATTGGTTTACCTATCCACCCATTTTCCGTGGATTCCTTTTCCGAGCTGGGTATTTGCCCATTCTTTAAACTGAAAGTCGTTCGGGAAATGTAATTTAAAGAGGCAAATAACACCGCTGCTCATTTAAACGGGTAATCAAACAAATATTGATACTTCTCCCGAAAGCCCTCGTTGGATCCCTCGAATCGCAACAATTGCAACCAATTAAATTTGCATAAATTGGCCAGCTCATCCGCGCCAGCAGATCAAAATGCCAAACAATAAATGTGCGCTGACAATTACAACAAAAATTAAATTAACTTATTAACACGCCCCATGTTTGTGTCGACTCGAGTGACACAAATGAAATGTAATACGAGTCCAAAAATGGCATCGCTTAAATATATAATCCAATCAGCAAACAATGAACGGGGATTCAGGACTCGTCATTAGCTCTTGGGTATGGATTTCAGCCGAACAATTGACACGGCATTAATTTCAAAAATGAAATTGAATTTAGCCAGAGGAATACTGCGATTTGCACTCAATAAAGTCATCTCGAATGATTATCGAATGGGAGTTAAATCTATTGCAAGTTTAGGATAAGCAGTATTCTATTTATGCAGTTGCTCAGCTTAATTGGAAATTTATTTAGAAGAAAACCAATATCAATAGCAACTCGTTAATTTTATTTCCCCTTCATTTTTTACAGGACTTTGACAAGGAGATCAGCTGCCACAAGATTCACTCGCCCAGCAGCAGCAGCCACGCCCACTCCCTGCACCACCACCAGCACCACCACCACCATCCGCACCACAGCAGTCGGAGCAACAACAACGACGATGAAATGGAGATCACGGACGGTCACGCCCTTCTCTCGCCCCCGCCCCCCTCGCACCTGCACTCGCACTCCCACTCGCCGTTCGACAGCAAGGATCACGTCAAGGAGCTGGAGTTCTACAAGAACCTGGCGGCCAAGGCCGCCTCCCTGGCCAACCAGCACTCCTCGCCGCCCCTGCCCCTCCCACTGCCCCTCCCGCTGCCCATGCAGATCGACGGCGAGGAGGAGGATAACGAGGGAGAGGTGGAGGGGGAGGGCGAGGCGGAGGATCAGGCGAACGAGGTCCTGCGGCTGCGACGGGAGGAGCAGGCTCAGGCCAAGGCGTTCGCGGCCCATCTGAACGGAACTAGTGAGTACATATCGAAAGCCAAACAGCAGCACATGCAAAAGAGTCCTTGTCCAGGATGGAAACCGTTGTTCCCTATATATTTTATTTTTTTTTTTTTTAACTTTCCTCTTTAAAATACTAACCCAAGATTTTGTTAAATGATATAAATTGTAGTTTTTGATTTGATTGATTTTACAAAATTTGTCTGTTTTCAAACAAAGTGAAATTAGAGTCAAATTGCATATTTAAGAAATGCTACGCTTAATTTTTATGGATTAATTCATTTTTAATAAGCAACAAGTCTTATCGATTATAGTTTACAAATTAAGTGGATTTTGTTACAAATTAAGTGTGTTTGGGTAAAGTTCTATGAACAATTCATAATTCCACTTTATTAAGAAATTTTTGGTTTCAAGGGTTTGAAACTTTAATTTTAATTGTGTTTTGATTTAAAAAGAAAAACAATTATCAGCATATAAGGAACGGAAGCAGTATAATAACGAGGCATTCTGTCTTAAAAAATTGATTTAATTTTAAATAACAACCCGTATTAAATTGGATATCAAAAACAAAACATATATTTACTTATTTCCAAATAACAACTACCAAATAAATTAAAATATGTATAGAATGTATTGCTGTATCTCGACGATTTACGGTCGACCTTATTTGGCTGCACTCACATTTAACGCTCTAATTCCCCCGGACTAATTTTCTATAATTTATCTAAGACTTCTTTGCACAGCGAGTTTCCATCCTCGAATTCCGCACCGACACACAGTCATTTATCCCCGAAAACCCAGCCCGGGCCAAAGTAAACTGGCAATTAGTGCTGGCAGGCAATCCGAAGCCCCTCCCCTTTCCCCTTTCCCCCTGCCCCTGCCCCTTGCCCCCAATCCCCCGATTCCGCCACTAATTCGGCAAGGAGTTTGCAACAAAAACTAATGACAACATTTTGTGTGACTCTTGTTCAAAATCCCACAGTGCAAGACATGATAAATTTGCAAAAATTACAAAATTTGGCCACGCTACAACAGCAGCAGCAGCAGCAACATCCGCATCCGCATTCGCATCCGCATCATGGGCACCAGCACCACCACCATCATCCTGCGACGGCCGCTGCACTGGCAAGTCTTCAAGGATTAGCCGCCTCCGTGTTCAATTCGCCGTTGAATTTGAGCGTGGGCGGTGAGCCAGCCGCAACCACAGCGGCAGCAGCAGCAGCAGCAGCGGCAGCGGCGGCAGCCACCCCCTCCTCCCCCTCGCACAATGGTGGCAAGAGCAAGACGGCCAAGGGCGGCAGTTCCGGCAACAACTCCGGCGGATCCGCCTCCAACTCCGGCTCGAGCTCCGCCCAACAGCAGCAGCAGCAGCAGCCGGATAATCCCAGCAGCAGCAGCTCCCCGCACCACCCCCTCAGCGCCTCCTCGCTGGCCAATGTCCTTGCCGCGGCCACCGCCTCGCCCCCGCCCACCCTGCAGGCTCCGCCGGCGAGCGCCCAGATGCCGCAGCTGATTCTCGCCTCCGGACAACTGGTGCAGGGGGTGCAGGGCGCCCAGCTGCTCATCCCCACGGCCCAAGGTGAGTGTGCCCCACGAGGGTTCAAGTTGCATGGTTAGTTGGAGGAGTATCGATAGCACAGTTGACTTGGCTTGACTTCCAGCGCGTCCTTGTGGTCGGTGAAGTAGCGGGGCATGAAAGCCCATAAAGCGATTAGGCAAACTTTCAATTTCCTCTACTTATGTGGGGGAAAGGATTCGGGGTAATCCTGATAAACAAAGATCTGATGCAATGTTTGCCATAAGAAGCTAGAACAAAGGATGAAGAATGATGTCCATATATTATATGTCAACAGCCCCATTGGAGAGTAAATACCTTCAGTGGTTGGTTGGTATAACTCCATAACACCAAAAGAAATCAAAATTTAATGGGGCCTATTTTGATATATTTAGGCCTTTTTATTTAGCCTTCAGAGTTTTAATAAAATCTAAAATTATTTTACTTGCTATACCATATAAACGCGAGATGAATATTAAATTCCGAAAAAATGTTTAGCTAGTTTTGGTGTGATGCAACAAATTTCCAATTTAATTTGATTCTAGGCAGCAAATAAATCTTTTGGCAAATATTTCTTTTATGTTCGTGATTGTTTATCTAAGAATACTGTTTGCATATACAAAAGTTAGTCAACAGAACAGATAGCATGCGTTGTGCATTTCCATTTAAAAATAACAATAAAAATTTCTGTAGTCAGAATCATAATCAAACGAGTCTACTTAATGCATCTATACATAATTCCATATATATTTAATGATCTTTGGAAGTCAGATATACATAATTTCTATAATTATTAATAAGAATACTTAACTTCTATGTTGTTTCTTAGGCATTGCCGTTCAGACCATCCTGACCATTCCTGTAAGTCCGCAGATTCCCACCTCGGAGCAGTTTCTCCCCAACGCTTTCGGCGCCTTTGCGAGTTACCAGCAGCAACAACAACAACAACAGCAGCATCGTGAGCAGCAACGGGACCTGTTGCCGCCTTCTCTGGCCGCTCTTCAACATGCGACCGCCCTGCCCCAATTGGCCCAAACACCCACGAATTTACTGAAACCCAATCTCTTCTCCACCGGAGTGCAACAGCTGCTAACGGCTCTGCATCCGGAGCTCTTTGCCGCCGCAGCAGCAACACACCAGCAGCAACAGCAGCAGCAACAGCAACAGCAGCAGCAAGTGCAGCAACACCAGCGAGAAAGGGAGAGAGAAAGAGAAAGGGAGAGGGAGAGGGAGCGAGAGAGGGAGCAACACCTGGGCATCGGACACCTGCCGCACTCCCACTTGGCGGCCGATCTGCGACGCTCGGCAGAGAGATCTCCAACGGCGGGATCGCCGACGGGCGATCCCGGACTTCCAGCCAAGGGACCACCACCCCCGCCACCCGGAGCCGCCTTCCTGCTGCAGCAGCAGCTGCACATCAAGCCGGAGACGCAGACGCACCTGCACCACCACCTGCAGCCGCAATCCGCATCGGCGGTGTCCTCCTCGCTGCCGCAGATCAGCTTGCGGCATCCGGACGAGCTGACCGCTCCGCAGATGGAGCTCAAGCCGCTGGAGCTGAGTGCCAGCAACTCGCCGCCGGCGCCACCGCCACGCCACCACTTCGGGCACAGCCTGCGCGGATCCTCGACGGTCTCGCCCAAGCACAGTCCGCAGGGCAGGATGGGCGGCAGCTCCGGTCCGCCGGCCACCGGAATGAATCTCAGCCAGCACCACGAGCGGCTGGAGCGGTTGGAGCGGCAGGAGCGGCACGAGAGGCGCTCGCACACGCCCACGGCGACGGCCACCAGAGCGAGCGTTTCATCCAGTTCGGGAGGAGGTCACCTGGCCACCGGGAGACTTTCCCCTCCCAGTTCCGCCCCCTCGAGCTCGGCGGCCAACAGCATCAGCGACAGAGGCTACACTTCCCCGCTGTTCCGCACCCACTCGCCCCAAGGACACGCCCTCTCCTTGGGGGGTTCGCCGCGTCTGGAGCGGGATTACCTGGGCAACGGCCCGAGTTCCGGAGCGGCCACCTCCACGAGCAGTTGCGGAGCGCCGGCGGCAGCGGGATCCAGTGCCACAGCCAACGTACTTAGCAGCATCAACAGGTGGGTTCGCCGGAATCGGCTTTTGGTTTCTGGTTTCTGGTTTCTAACCTATCCCCTGCAGACTCAATGCATCCAACGGCGAGCTGACCATCACGAAATCCTTGGGAGCTCCTACGGCCACAGCCACGAGGGCCTCGTCCGCCTCGCCACGGGAGGACTCCCCGGGTCCGGGTCCCTCCACCTCGAGTGTCTCCCACATGCAGCCCCTCAAGCTGAGTCCTTCTTCGCGGAGCGAGCCTCCTCACATGTCGCCCAATGGGAACGACAACGACAACGACCTGCTCATGGATTCTCCGAGTGAGTAAAGATCGATTCTTTCCTTAAATATATAGTTCTACATTGCTTAAAGACGGGATGCAAGTTGATTGTGAAAACACTATTTTGTTTGTTTCCTTACTAACTGTGGTGTTATTTTAATTTGAAGATCAATTCTTTAAGTAGAATACAAAAGAATATAAAATACATTTTTATAAATATAAGTTTAATCAAACCCTTTTAAAAACCTTTTATATACCAACCGTTTTCAATCGACTTTCATCGCAACTTTAAAGCGCCCGATTTAGCTTAGCATTAATTCCATACGCAAATTCCCCAAAACTGTTCTAAGCATCCTTCAGCGGGTAATGATCCCAATGAGCCGGAGGCCTGAAATTCGAGTGCCCTCCGCAGTTGTACATTTATAATTGGGGTCCGCAGTGGGCTGATGATGATTTGATATTTTAAGAGCCACACTTGTGTGCAACACAGCGTATGAGTGATATGCGCACAAAGGCGGCAGGCGAAAATCAACTTTTTGGCCAACATTAATTAACGAAATTTTCGTCGGGAGCCAACTTTGCAGGCAATGCCAAAAGCCCTAACTAGTTGACTGCACTTTATGTAATTTTCCAAAAGAAAATCAACTTGAAACCCCCTTCAGCCATTTTCCGGTGTCTTTTGGCGTGTGTGCGAAAAGTTTCGCCGTGCATTTACACGACTTCTTGCGACGGGCGGGATTTATAATTGATGCCGCGTTTCGGGGGACGAGAGGGGGGGGATTAGGTGAGCAGCTAAACAAAACTTGAGGAGAATGCATGGCCCAAAGTTGAGAGATGTCAACCGAAAGTGTTAGGCAAATTAGCAGCGGCGTTGACGTTGTCACGCTTCGCATCTGGCATTGGATTAGGCCAAGTTGATGGGATTAGCTCAGGTCGGATTATGGTCGACAACCTAAACGGAGGTGCAGATAGGGAGTCTCCTGCCTGAGCATATTGAATTGATTAGTTCCCCCCCAACTACAACTCAGTCTGCGTACGACGACAGGCCTTAATTGAAACTTTTGGACGCATTAAAAATGCAATCAGCACAGGCTCCGAAAGCGGCAAGAAATCAAGGCAAGATGGGTGGAGGCACCCATTAGAGCCGAGTCATCAGGATTGGATGGCTTCCACCTCGACGAGTCCCCATCTCGATTGCGACATCGCATCGTTTGCGCATACAAATTGCAGACAATATGCGGCTTAATTACTACTAATTGATGCATACAAAAACTTAAGATGTCTTCCGCATTTAATGACATATTTCAAACGCTGCAGCAAACAACAACAGGCGAGGCAAACAAAGCAGCGACGACAGCTTGAGTTACGGCCCGCAAGGCTGCTGTCGGTGGATCCTTTGCCTGAGCATCATCACAGCATCTCAGCATCCCAGCAGCCCAGCATCACGGCATCCTAACATCACAGCATCCTGCTGCCTCCAATCCGTTCTCGCATCTTAATTACCGCTAAAACACAAGGCTGCCGTTCGAGTTGCAGTTGGCTGATGCTGATGCTGATGCTGATGCTGCTGCTGCCTGGGAGCTCTTGTCTTTCCCTTCTTGCATATCATTAATAAATAAATCAAAATTCCAAGCGAGTAGTTTGCATCCTTGAGACTTCCTTTCCGCTAACAAATTAGGCAGATAAAAGCCGTGAGTTTCGCACTTGCCTAACAGACAAGAACAACCTGCCAGGTGTCCTCGTCGAGTGCCTTATCAATTTACCTCCGCTGCACTGCAATAATGTTTTGCCATTACCGCAATTAGCTGTAATTAAGCCCTCGACAGGGCAGCAATTTATGGTGTCACTCGCTACGCTAATTACGCCGGATAGCCGGGCTAATTCTCGATTTATTAGTTAGACTTAATGCACTTATGCCTGCCAGCAACTGGATTTTCCACTAACCGGACTTCTATCTTCGCTCTCCAGATGAACCCACCATCAACCAGGCCACCACCAATGTGGTGGACGGCATCGACCTGGACGAGATTAAGGAGTTCGCCAAGGCGTTCAAGTTGAGGCGTCTCTCCCTGGGACTCACCCAAACCCAGGTGGGCCAGGCCTTGTCGGTGACCGAAGGACCCGCCTACAGCCAGAGCGCCATTTGCAGGTGAGATATGCATGGACGAGTTGTACCAAACTTTAATTTGAGCAAAGAATACAATAAAAGTGTAAGAAGTAAAATATAAAATATATTTAAAGATTCCAACTGAAAGGTACAAAATATAGTCTTAATATTTAAGTCTACTAAAGTTCAGTGCTTAACCAACTCGAACCAATATTACAAGCCTTTCAGTACGGTCTATCAGTACATACGATTGGTCCTCCATGCAAAATTCGTTAAGCTATCGAAAACGTATTATCGTAATCGGAAACATTTTAATTGTCGGATAATAATATTTTATAAAGGCAATTTAGAATGAGTCAAAAAAGGCTTTGAATTAGACTTGATTATTTATTTTAAGTAAAGCAAAATCTGCAATTAGCACTATCAGAACGATAATACGAACACCATTCAGGCTGATTTCCCCTTTAGCAAACGTGTTTCATTATATTTTTCTCAACCATATTGTTTGCTTAAATCCACATATTTATGTTTCCCTAATTTGTTTTTCGTAAACTTCTGGAACCAATTTTCAAAGAGTGCCAGGACATTTTCTAGCAAATCCAAAAATGCTAAATTAACCACGAAAAACAGACAACAAACCAATTAAATGCTAAATTAATTTTATTTATTTTATTTGTTTATTTTTTCGATTCAAACGCCAACTCTATCTAACTCTCTCTCTCTCAACATCGAATGTCGAATGCCACCCACCGCTAACTGAATACGAATACGAATCTCGAATGTCGAATACCAACTATCGAATACGAAATGCCAACTATCGAATGCAAGCAGTGCACTCGCTGCGCAGATGTACGCCGCTCAACTATCGACGCAGCAGCAGAACATGTATGTGTGCCTCCTCGAGAGTGTGTGTGCTGTTTGTGTGTGTGTGTGTGTGTGTGTGTGTGTGTGCAGTCCAAGAGAAACCTAACTAAAGTGCAAGGCTCATTAACCTGTTCATTTCGCCATGTATTTCTTTTGTTTCACGTTTGATTTGCATAAATGCGCTTAACAAAATTTGGCCCAGGGCATTGCCAATGAGCAGAGTTTTCTAGCAGCTCACCAGAAACGAAATGAAAGTTTTTCACTAAGCGATTGAAAGAAAGAGCGTACTTAAACCGAAAGAGAATGCTAATTGACAATGTCCTGGCACTTTAGTTACGTTTCTTTTGCGTTATAACGGGCTTGCACAAGCTGCTCGAGCGATCAGCGACCTAATTCCATAAACCCATCCCCAACCGCAGGTTCGAGAAGCTGGACATCACACCAAAGAGCGCACAGAAGATCAAGCCTGTGCTGGAGCGCTGGATGAAGGAGGCCGAAGAGAGGTGAGAGTATGGAGGCAGTTCCACGCGCCGTTTTAGCCCTCGTTGGGCGCCACTTATTGGCAAGCAGCACTGACCCGAGCTTTTCTCGCCCCGTTTAGCCACTGGAACCGCTACAAGTCGGGACAGAACCATCTTACCGACTACATTGGAGTGGAGCCCTCGAAGAAGAGGAAGCGCCGCACATCCTTCACACCGCAGGCTCTGGAGCTGCTGAACGCGCACTTCGAGCGGAACACGCATCCTTCGGGTGAGTGGTAACTTTCAGTTACAAGAAGTCCAGAAGAGTAGAACTGCTTAACTTAATTATCCCCTCCCAAAACAGGCACAGAAATCACAGGACTGGCCCACCAGCTGGGATACGAGCGCGAAGTGATCAGGATCTGGTTCTGCAACAAGCGGCAGGCGCTCAAGAACACCGTTCGCATGATGTCCAAGGGAATGGTCTAGGGTCAGGGACCCGTGTAAATAGCTGGCCCGTGTATATAGCTAGGTGTCTAAGTGTGAGTGTGCTGGTCGAATATGTCTGTGTGTGTGTGCGAGAGTGTATTACAGTGTGATAGTTGTACAACACCCTAGAGTTTAGCAGTTAGGCCATGTGAAGTAATACTGTGTGTCATAGCATTTACAAAGGACATCGGCTTACGCAAGCGAACCACAACCCGAAACCCAAGAACCCAATCCAATTGAATATCTAGCCATTTAAGTAACTACTTAACACTTATCATATCCCAAATAGCCTAAAAGTAGTCTAAAGTCCCCAAGGCAGACTTGTGCAGTTTTAGGCCAAATTTTATCACATTGATGTGCCATTCCAAAAAGAAAACGAAAACGAAAACAAAAACGAATCCAGTTCATACCACGTATCAAATTACATACTAAATGTTTAAAACCATTTAAACCAAAACTGCATTAAATCTATATACGAGTCTAAGTTCTGTAGAGCTGGTAAGCGTCGAGTAAAATATTTGCATTTAATGCGTTGGCTAAACTTGTATACTGAATTCAACAATTTATAAAACAAATTATAACCCTAGCAGTTAGCCAGTTCAGACTCGAAAACTAAGAAAATTCTATACGGTAGCACTCAAAATGAACAAAAACCAGCTATAAAGACAGCAAGTGTTTAGGATAAGCAACATTATGTAGCAATTTAACAAATTATGATTGAAAAGAAACGAAAAAATATTTAAACTACGAAATTTAAATGGTACATAGCAAGAAAACAGCTACAACTGAACAAATATTTAAATGATTGTAATAAAAAACTATTTAAAAAATTAAAACGAACTTGGTTTTATTTAACAACGAGAGTTTCTTAGCACAACCGATTCTTAAAAGTAGTTCGCAATATCACAAAAGGCGACAATCTCTGTTTCCGTTTTAGAATTCAATCGAAATAAACATTAAATACTCGATTGAAAAGGTTTGTGGAAACAGGGCTCAAATATAATGGCAAGAAATTGGATTACTTTCATAATTTGATTAATCACTTAGCATGGCCTCCAGGTTCTTTTGCTTTTGCCAAACGCGGTATTCGATGAGGCCATATCTGTTAAAGTTCGTATACAAAAATCAGTTACAAATAGTTTTTGGAATTCGAAATGAAAACTCACCCCACGCAGCCCACCAACATAACGGCCATTAAAATCACCAATTTGGTGGAGGTGCAAAGCTGCGAGCTTATGACGTATCCGATAACCGAACCAGTGCTTTCCCACAGCCGAAAGTTGCTATAAGCGGCAATCAGATGGTTCGGAAACAGAATGCCATAAAATGCTGTAAATAGGAAACGAGCTTAAGTCGAGTTCAAGCTTTCTTAGTGGGTTCACCAACCATTAACGACGACCAGCCAAACTCCATCGCAGATTCCCCAAATTGCGGCAAAAGTGCAGTAGCTCAAGTAATCCCCTTCCCTCGCTTCCCAGGTGTACATGTAGCTGAGCAGGCAGAGGTTCACCACCGCACAAATTCCGGCCAGGGTGACTCTCCCGAAGCGCTCCACCAGCGCTCCTGCGATTCCAGCGGCCACTGCGTTCGCAACTCCAAAGCAGATCATGGCGAACCCGATCCTGGAGATGCCCCATCCGCAGGCCACGAACGATCGAGTGAAGTCCACGGCCAGGAAGGCCTCCTCCAAGCCAATGAACATCGTTATGGGCAGCATCAGAATCTGGCGGCGCTTGCGCAACAGGTTTATGGTCACAGTGAGCAGTTTTAACCCGGACATTCCATCGCCAGTATCGCCGCGCTTCACTCCATAGCTGTGGATTTAAAGATCATTTAATTAGTTATAATACTAGTTATAATATCATCAAATTAATTAAATGAATTATAATGAACATTCTTGTAACTTAGTGTATACTGCAAAAAATAAGCACATTTTATGTTCATCAAAACAAAAGTAAGTGTCCAACTGAAAGCGGCTGGACTGATTTCATCAAATTTTTTAAAGCGGTTTGAAATAGCCAGAACGAAATCCCAGAAAAAGAATTGTAAGTAAATAAAAAAATTTTTTTATTTATAAGTAATAAAAACGACTTAAGTCAGCGGTAGCTCTTAAAGGATGTCATTTAAAACTAATATTGAAGTTATAAGTTTTGTTCTACCAACTTTGCATTGGTTTTCCAATCTGAACAGCAGAAGTTTCTTAGGAAAGTTTTAAAGCTGATAAACTGAGCTCAAGCTTAAACAAAATTATAGAACTCCCTGCAAAGGCCGCAAATCGCAAAACAGAATCATCAAGAAAAGAGTCGTCATTCAGTTACAAACATATCATACATCCTTAAATCAACTATTGTTTTTTTTTGGATTTTTAAATTTGACTAACAATCTGTTTATCTTGCTTTAGATCAATTGATATTATTAGTTTAAATTCGAAGAAAATCAAAAACTTACCGCTTGAGGGAGCTGACGCCGAAGATCATCATGATGACCGCCGCCGCCATGCAGGTGAGGAAGATGGAGTTGAGCAACTGGATTTGCTCGGGGGCGGGGGGGCACCAGGTTGGGATTGGCCTCGGCTCCAACCCCTGGACAAAAGCGAGAGCCGCACAGCTCGGCAACGCGGCTTCTCTCCAGTTCCAACTCCCTTTCCAGCTGGAGGCTGTCGTTCGCCGGAGATTGCGAGGCTGGAGCACTGAGGGTCAGCACGGAGGAGGAGATCAGGTTGCCCCACACCTGGGCCATCTGGTAGAAGATGAAGAAGAGCCCGAAGAACTTGACCGTGTTGACGTCCTTCCGCGACTTGTTGCCCCGCACCTGGGTGAGTGCCTCCGACACGGTGGAGAGGTAGGTGCACTTGGAGCACCACAGCGGCCCTCCGCCAAATCCGACCATCAGAGCCGCGGGGATGAGGGTCTCGAACCGCGGGTAGAACTGCGCGGCGATGTAGGGCATGTAGGCGAAGAGGGCCAGAGCCATGGTCAACCGACAGCCGAACCAACTGTTGATGAGACACAATCGGAAAATAGGAAAACAGGGAAAACAGGAAAAACAGGAAACGGAGGGATGGCCGAGTGGCAAGTGGCAAGTGGCACATGCTTAGCAGGCGGTCATTTATTTTGGGGCCCGAGGCCATAAATCTAAATAAATCGAGTTAACTGATTAAAGTTGCCTGAGCCAGCAGTTCGTGCCTCGAATAAGCCAAGTGAAGCGAGGCTCGCTATAAATTAGCGATTTGTTTAAATGTCAGACGTGGGTGTTGGCCGCCCCCCAAATGGGTAACATTCGGAAACAGGGAGAGCTGGATAGGGATGGGAATAGGGATAAGGATTCGAGTAGCAATGGGGACAGAGGACCTGTGATAATCCAAGGACTTCCTGTTGACATTTTTACAGCCAACTGCGCTCGCAGTCACACTTTTCGGGGCGTCTGCTGACTGCGCTTTCGCTTTCAGTGTCGTTGTCACATCTGCATAAAATCCCCATAAAAAACCCAGCCAGACAATCACCGAAACTTTTATGGCATGCCACACGTCGCGAAAAATGAGCTTCACCCGCTCGCGAGGCAGAACAAATGGCAAACAAAGATTGGCAATTATGCTAAGAGGCCAAATGTGAGTGCTGCTGCGATTGTTCTTTAAACCATCCATCTTTAGCAAATTGCTGGGAGACTTGCTTGCTTCTAATGTCAATTCATTGGGCATGGGGCAAGTGCTTTATTGTTGCCTGCACTTCAGAAATCAAGTGGCATTGTTGGTCACAAGTGATTTTATCTCTGGGTTCTACCTTCATATCTTTTGTAACTCTAGATTTAATTAACTTGATCTGCTAAGTTAGAAGTTAAGGTTAAAATGTTTAAGTGCTACTTTAGTTAATGCTAATTCTGAAGTTAAAATTAATCAGCTGTTGGCAGAAATATAGAAGCAACTTGAGGTTAGAACCAAATTAGACTTGAAGTGCTTGAACGATACAGAACTGCAACGCATGCTTAACAATTTCTGTGATAAATATAAAAGTTAAAGTGTTTAGGTAATAATAATAATAAATAATAATAATGAGCTGCAGAAATGTAGAACCTGCTTTAAGACAAAATATGTTATGCTGTTTCATTAAAACCAACCAAGACTTAAGTTTAGATGGACGACACAGAACTGGGCTTGAAGACCGGCAACCGAACTAAAAACATGCTAAACAATTCCGGTGTGCACTCACCTTATCACGGTCATCGGCAGGAATATGTTGGACAGTATCAGCGAGCCGTAGATGACGGCCAGCGTGGTGGTGCCGAGGGCTTTGTCCGCGTTCACCGAGCTCTGCAGATTCGAGGTGCCGTGGAAGGCCGTGAAGTGAATCATGAAGGCCAGGCCTATCACCACCACGTTTTTGGTGATAATGAAGCGCTCGCGCGGCTCGTATTGCCGCTGATTGAGTTTGTTGTTGTCGTTGTTGTCGCCGTTGCCGCTCGGAGTGGCTGTTGTGCCATTGGAATTGGCATGTGCAACACTGTTCTCCAGCGCCAGCTCCTCGTTGTTGGCGTCTGACGTGTCGCCCGGGTAAACCATGTCCAGCTAAAAGGGGTCGGGGATTGGGGACCGGGGACTGGGGGTCAGCTCGGCAAGCCCTGAAAGAGTACAATGGCGCTCGTTTGAAATTCTGTTGGCAGTGTCGTCCAGCTGCATGCAGCCATCTGGAGCAGGACGTCCAGGGGCGGAGCATTTTAAGGTTCGACAATTGGAAGATAAAACTGGTAGCAGATGCTGCTTCCTGCCAACAACTTTGCAAGGAGCTTGTTCTTGTTTTTCTAGTCTAAACATTTTTCAGCTGGAAGTAGCTCAAGTGCCTCGTAAATTTTCTGTACACTTATTTTTCCGGCGTTTTGCCGCTATAAGTTTTATTTACCAGGAACTGATTTGGTAAGCCACACGTGTAGTTAAACCTCTTTTAAAAGTTGCATAGCATTATGCTAATCGAATTGATGCATGCCTAATCAACCTGTAACTAACTTTTACTTAACTGCACTGAATTAAGCATCATTGAATTACGCTTCTAATTACACATGTATTTTAGAAAGGCAATGCAGCTCATAAATTAAGTTATATTAGAGGTATGTTCTTGTATTTTGAATAGAGGGTAGTTGTGTTTGATTAGATGGTATCTAACATTCGGCTCTCCCAAAGAAGTGACTTCCCCATCGCTTTGCTTAATCATTTCCACTAGGACCCCCGATACGGGCTGTTGCTGAAAATGTCATGGCCTAATTGAAATTGCAATCCGTTGGCTGCACCAGAAAATAGCCTGTTTGTTGAGGGCCTAGAACAGATTTCGCATTCGTTTCTGATATGCCTGATATACCAATTTTCAAGGCACTCGAGCAAAAAGCCGCACCCTGGGAAGCGCCCCGCAGCTTTGATTGCTCACTCGACTTCACAGGATCAGCTTTAAGTTATTCATATCGCCTTCCGTCTCGGCCATACATTTTCGGGGCTTTGGGGTCGCTTTTCGGGCAATAAGCCCGCTTCCAACGCGCCGCCACGCCCACACGCCTACACACATATCCCGAAAGGACTCGGCGATGCTCCCGACTCAAGGACACTTTCGCCAACTTATAATCCTTTAGGCTGGCTCACAGCACGAACTCCGTCTGGCAGCCAAGAATTTATGCCTGTCTCCGCCCAAAGGCGTGGGAGGATGGCAAAATGCGGCGAGTGCTGCCCCAAAACGTTTCGCTGACTTTGTTTGCATTTGATTTCGGGCCCTGCCAACGACACTTTATGAAATTTTACACCTTTGATACAAAGTTTAAGGTCTGTTTGCCAACTTCTGAGTGGCTTCACACCGTCCCACCATCCGTTTTCGCCGCTCGTTGTCCTGACTTAATGTAAATCGCTGGCGGTACACAAACCGATTGAAATGTGGCCCCTCCTCAGCTTTTGAAGTGGAAATTGATTTTGCATACCTTGAGGGGTTCCGCGAAGCGTGTTCAAATTAATTGGCCGAAAGTTGAGTTCGTCATTAGCCCAACCGCCGGCTTTAATAGGCCCGCTGAAATCGGATCAGTAAATCAGCTGTAAAAGCAATTAACCCCTTGCACTGTGCAGCATTTATCATCCGCAATGTGGGACAAGCCCTGGTAGCTCGCATGCATAATTGCTCAGTGTCAAGTGCAATTTGGCATAACTCACAGCTGGGGGGACATGCAGTTGTGGCCCAGTCTTTATCAGCTGCCAAACAGACAGGGAAAGTGGCTAAATTTTGAGGCATGACCGTAAAAACGGAGCTCTCAATGGCTTGTTGACAGGCCAAAGTGGAAGGGGGAAGGGGGTGTTGCGGTTCCGGGTTTCAAGGTTTCAAGGTTCCTGGGTTCCGATAGAAAATTCCACCTAATGGTGGGTCAACGAGGAGCATCATCGTTCATCATCTAAATGAAAATCTGGCATAATCATCAAAATGGGCGCAGCCAAAATGGCCAGCCATTTGTTTTTTATGCACAACACACCACCCAGCCTTCGCCTCTCGAATCCTTCGGGGGACTCCGGCATTAAACAGAAACTGGCCCCGGGACATAATGTGGGCTCGTTAAAGACCGTTCCGGCTTTATATAAAGGGGCAGAGAGTCCACTGGACTGGGCCTGATAACAATGATTCCGAGTTCTGTTTTATGTGGCTGACCAGTAATTTAGTGAAATTATTGCCGACGGTTGACAGACAGTCGTTCGTTCGCTCGTTCGAAGCGAAAGTGTTGCAAAATATTCGTGTTCATTTAAATTGCGAGTGGATAGATGCCGGGCCATAAATCTCTCGTTCAAAACTTCAATTTCCATTTCACCTCAGTTCAACTTTGTTTTACATTTGTTTAGATTTGATAAATCGACTCTGGCATATGTTAAGGCTCTTGTTTACACAAAAACGAGCAGCAGGAGCAGGAGGAGAACCCACGCACCTTTCGCCCATGCAAAACTAATCAATCACAGTCCCGAAAAGGGAAAAGATCGCATACGCTCGTATGCTGTGGACTTGGATTTGGGGCAAACAAAAAGATTGACTTATGGCGCTGACACACAGCAAATAAATACGCCCGAGTCCTGGCCGAAACAACTTGGCACTTAGCCGCACATGTTGGCCTCGTCAGGCGTTAATGCCTCGCAATTAACTTTAGATCAATTATGTGGCGGCGGAGTCCGGAGTTTTCCCCGATAATTAGGCAGCGAGCCTAATGTCTGCATGTCCAAATGAGTGTTTTTCCGGAAGCAGGAAACATTTGGCTAGCCCAAAGGCATTGGGTTTCGATTGGCATGTTGGGATCGAGAGCCTTTGACATTCGCTCAAACAAAACCTTTGGTTATCTCAAAACAATAGATGTGGGGGGGAATGGCATGCCAGGTTTTGATTTAGAGTTGTCGTAAACTACTTGATTCCCCTGGCAGTCATGGCAATAGGTTTGAATACAATACAGTTCCTTTGACATTTGGCGCAGTACCTGGCTTTTATGAAGCCCTCAAAGGGCTGACAATTCCGCGAATCCACAGGATGCGAAACTATTGTGCCAGTCGAACTTTGTGCCCCCAGCAGGATGCAACAAAACAGTCGAAAATTCACCGAAAGAGTTCGACAAAGTTTTTCGCCAGAGATAAAAAAATAAACCGCTCGGCCAAAAATGAAATACCGTATTAATTCCCGCGAACCAAGGCAGGTACATAAATCTTATCCCGCCGCCGGGCAGGAAATATTTTTATGGCCAACTTCTGGGCCGGAAAATAGCTGGCTTTACGAGTGTGCATGTGAATGTTAGCCGGATTCCACAAAAAAAGATTAAATTAGTGAAAACTGCACGCATTCGGAGTCTTTCGGAGGTACAACATTGAATTAGTATCTGCATAACGAACTCCGCATTCCATGAATAGTCGATGTTTGCTTCTGGGAAAAGCGATTCCCTAATTAATGCGAAAAGCCTTTTGGACGGAAACCGATGATGGAAATGAAAAGAACCCACATTCCGTCGAATCGAAGCCCCGATTGTTGAATCACTCCCTGCCTGAACATATACCACTTCCTATTGACCATAATCCGAGGAGAATGGATAACGGAACAATGGAAGCGGGACCATTAACCGTTATGCTGAATAGGCCATAATTAAGCTTATGTCTCTGATGATGGCCAATGGGGCGGGCATACAGGCCACAAAAGCTGCTTTAAAGCCAGTAAATTCTTTAAAAGCGATTAAACACCGACGGCAGACAGAAATCAATGCGGCAGGCTGTCAATCATAAATGTATAATGTCATCAGGGCCAATAAGTTTTTTATGGGAGCATCGGGGAAGGCCCCTGACTAAGTGATGCCCCAGTTACTCCGACGCGACGTTGGTTTTTATGTGGACGAGTGCGTCAAAAGTTTGGCCTAAAATTTTGGCCATATAAAAATAAGCACAGCGAAGTAATGCAAACGTAAACGTTTTCATTACTCCGGCGGAAGTTCGGGACCAATAAAAATGACAATAATAACACGGCAGTGGGTCGAACCACCACCCACCTCCCCCGTATATATCCGACCCTGTTCAATCAAATCATTTCTACTTTCACTTTAACGTCGCAGCATAACATGAGCTGAGATTCTGGTAGCTAACAGCCCTGTTAAAATTTCCCTGCTTTGGCCAAGACGTATTTTAACAGCTAAAGAGAGCGTCCTTTAACAGAGTTGCTCTTTTCTGATATGCCCCTGATAAGGATGTTGGGGAATCCATCAAGTTGATTGATGGCCAAATCAATGAGATGGACGATAAATTTAGCTTGTACAAAAATTGAAAGTAAATATGCGGCCTTTAATTGGTAAAACGTAATTACATTTTGAGCATTTAAAAAAAGGGGAAACTACCTAACAATTTGGTTGGCTGTTTGGCAAGCCAAAGGTGTATAGCTTATAGAGTTTTAACTCGCTGGCTAGTTCAACGAAAAGTGCCTAAAAGAAATGTTGTTTAAATGCTGTTAAAGTCCATAAAAGAATTTTTGCTTGCTTGAAATGATCCTGCTTATTAAATACCATTTGGAAATTGTAAAGCTGCCAAAAGTACGAATAAGTGTGTAAGCTTCTTTGATGCTGCGTAAGCCCTGATCCTGCCGAAGCTCCTCCATCACGGCTGCAACATTGTGGCCACATTTATGCAGCTGGCTGGGAACTTTGGTTGTTTGCCTTCGACGCCCCCAACTAATTTTCACGCTTTACAGCCGAGCAGATGCGGCAACAATGTACAAAATAGAAAAGCGAAGCAGCCGCCAGGCGGGAAAAAGCAGGTGGGGAGCACTCATAATGCAGGGCTAAAGTGCACGGAAACGGAAATGAAGTGGCTCTCACTCACACACACACACACACACACACAGAAGCAAATGCACGGGTTATGTGGCCAATAACTTTTCGCCGGGGCTAAATGTCAAGTCCTGACGTTCAGCACTTTCTGCCTTCCTACTGCGTACAACAATCTTTAAATATTTATTCACTTTTCATCGGTAGGACTCTCGAGACTCTGTGTTTGCCGCCCGTTTCCGCTTTGCCGCCTCCCCTTCTTCCTTCTTCCCGTCGCCCATTTCCGTTTTGCCTCCCGTTTCCGGTTGCCTTGTCTTACGGCGATAGTGTGCGAAAGTGTGAGTGTGCGTGTGAGTGTGCGGGTGCGGGTGCGTTTACCGTTCGCTTGCTGCACTTTATGTGTGTGCGCACTCGTTGATGTACTCGATTTTCCACTTTTCCGGCTGTTGCGTTTGAGGGCGTGTGCTTAACTTTGTAGTCGAGTGTAAATTGTTCGCTTTTTTGGCCGGGCTGGTATGCAAATCGAATTACAGAATTCTGAGTCTTAATATGTGTGTGAATGTTCGTAGCTCAAGCACTTGATGCACTCAAAATAGTTTTGTATTCTTTTCTAATTTAAAATAATGGATATAGTCATATGCTCGACTTCAATGGCTTTTCAATTCTGTTTTGGCTGGTGAGCTCGCACATCAGTTGTTTCCTTTCAAAATAGTATCACCATAATTTTATGTTCAACAGAAATGGATTTGAATAAATTATTTTTGAGGTGTTAAAGTTTATTTACCAAACAAGGCCTTCGTTTATTTGCATTATCATAACACTCGCATTTTGTTTAATATTTTGATATGTTGATTTGTTGGCAACGAACAGAAGCTATATATCTGAATGGGTAATAACATTCTGATTGTGTGGTGCTGTTCCTTTCCAAGCGGAAATCCCAGTCAATCTGAATTCCATTTTCCGTAATTTATCAACGGAATTAATAATCAACCCCGATTTAGTGGCAGCCAAATGCCAATTCTGTGGCAGTGGTTGTGTGGCAGCCACAAACACTTCGGCAAATGGGAGAATGCAAATCGAACTGGTGTCTAAGCCCCTTCATCCGAAGGGTTGGGTTCGGCATTAATGGAAAAATATGCACGATCAACATGAAATGCATGGGAAGTGCTGCTGGCTTTTGATGATGCAATTTTCCCTATGATTTCCAGCTTTAATACCAACACCGCCCCCGACACTCCCACGTTTGCCATGGCAAGTTAAACACGACATTACGGCTCCGTCTAGTTGGCAACTGTAGCTTATGCCAACTAAGCGACACTCACCATAATTTATTTAATTCACAAAACGATACCAGAGCATGTGCGCTGAAAACGCTGATGAGCGAAGTTAGGATAGTCGGCAGAAGCTGCATTGTCTGGCAACCAGCAATCCGTTGCAGTAATGCGGGAGCCACCCACTCTGCCCCACTTACAGCCACCCACCCTCCCTCTCCTCCCTCTCCTCCCTCTCCCCCTCTTCTTTCAATCTAACCCACTCAACGCATCGTGGCTGCTGGCCCGCAATTTCACGCTTCCGCCGAGCATTTTAATATCTTCCCCGCTCTGGACAGAGAAGATGGAAAAAATTTGAGGGATGTGCGGTGCAAAATCTTTTTCGAAATTGCCTTGTGTTCATGTTTTTATTAACAAAACCCTAAATTAGTTTTACGTTTCCATCTTAGAAATTAAAACTTAATATTGCTATGCAAAAGGTTTTGTTTGTTCTGATTGAGAAATTTTTAAAGTATTTTCTTTGAACGATTCAAATATTAGAACCTCACTCGATAAAATAACCACACACCTCGTTTAACTTTCCGCCCTATAATTATTTTTATAAAGACATTTGAATAAATAGTTTACAGGAAAGTTACTTATTTTTGCTTTCATAATTTCTATCACCATTTAGTAAAACACCCTAGTGAAGCTTTAAGATGGGAATTCATTTCACTTATTTTTATTTAAGTCAGAAGTTAAATTCAGCTTTTAACGAATGTTCGCGATCTCTACGTTTCCTTTCAATTAAAATAAAAATCGATTTCTACATATATACATTTTGTTCATACTTTTCCTTTCGGGAATGTTTTTCCTTCCTTGTCGTTTTAATATGGGAAAATGTTTGACCAGAATGCTCGAGGAAAAAATGGCCATAAAGTCAAACAGTAAATGGAAAATGAAAAGAGAAAAAAATGGTGAAAGGCAATTCAATCCACACGTGGTTAATTATGGCCGAAGGAACAAGCAGGATATTTATTGAACATCATTTAAAGAAAAACGCCGATTGTCTTTAATTATTGAAGAATGGGAAAAGAAATATGAGCTCCGGCTTCATTTCTCTTTAAGTAAAACACACAAATTAAATAAACTCTCATAAAATTCTGATGGAATTAATAACAAAATTTAGGTGTACAGATATAAGCTAATTAGAGCCGAGATTGAATCAATTGAAAATCAATTTAAACAAAGGGATAGACAAACGGGTTTGCACAATCTGGTTTTCTGTGTTTTTGCACTTGTTCCATATTGGGCATCCTTCAGTCGCTACCCCGAATGCATTCACACCTGGATGATTAAATTATTTATTACTATCGACTCTTTATTACGGCAATATTTGATGGTTATTTTCTTGTTGACTGTTCACTTCATGACTTTTAATTAAGCACCGTGTTGAGCTTTCCGTTTTTTTCATGACATGTCTGAGGTAAAATTACAAATGCGGGAACCACGCTACAATCCACATTGCCTGCATTTCTGTATTTTAAAATCTCTCAGGGTAAGTTACACTAGTTTATTTGTGAAATGCATAATACTTCGCCAAATTTACCTGCGGTTTAATTATATACACCCAATAAATATTCACTGCGAGTGATTTTACACACTCGGTTTGTTGCCCAAAAATGGGAAATGGGAATTTGAATTTCGAAGGGCAATTTTCAACCGATCGGAGCGAAGTGAACCGTTTACGAGCGCAATTAAAACTAAACTAAAATCTCAAACGGCGAACTTCTAAATATGAAATGGAATGGAAATGAAATGAATGCGACAGCAGCAACAGGTTTGAGCTCCCCGCCGTCGGTTTGATGCCGCTGGATTTGCATAATACCGACATTTCAGATGTTTCTGATCTCCGCCAATATTGGATGTTTATTTTAAAGCGGTCTTACAAGAAACGTGACGGCGGCGGAGGCGTGTCAAGGCTCTAAATCCGATGCCTAGTTAGCCGCAAAACTGCGGTTGACCACCAGGTGCGCCGGCATCTTCGCTCGCCAGAAATTTGATAATTGTCGAGAATCATACGCCGTGTTGCCGCAGTACACTTGACTTGACTTGGCTTGCCCACTGATTCATGGAGAGCTCACCGAGCTGCTAATGAACCTTGTTTGCATGTCGAGGAAATGTAACCGTCGATTCGATTTAGATAGTCGCTTGTCTTTGGGCAGATACATTAATTAACTTTTCATCGCGCTGCCGAGTGTTTGCTGAGTGTTGAGCATGTGCCTCTGGCAGTCGTTATTAATGTGGTCCAGAGCGAACTGAAGTTCGGTGCGGATGCATTGAACCCGTGCCTCGATTACGCTCAGTTTGCCCAATAGATAAGATTCGATAAGGGAACACGGTGTCGTAAGAGGGTGGAGATAAAATTTGAGTTGCAGGTACAGAAATAAATCAATTAGACCAGATGAACAATGGTTGTTGATTTGCACTGCTCCAATTTGTGTACTACACACAATCTTGCTGTGACGTCGACTAATGCTAATTATAAGACAACCGCAGAGCGTCAATTAGTTGATGCCCGAAATGGAATTTAAGTTCAGGGAATCGGGGAAGTTCAACAGGTGAATTCCCTCGATGCGTCACCCACTAAAACGAGTTTAAATTCTGTTTTTGTTTATTCTGGCCAGTCGCCCTGCAAGCCACTGAGCAAGTGATACACTCGATTTTAAACCGATCCCTCTCCCCGCATCGGTTTTTCGAATAAGCAGCTTATGGACCGCCGGCCAGAGAGCCGAAATCCAAACATTAGCTCGGTTTGCGGTCCATGGTGCCTGCGGCAATTTGGCACAGTATTAAAATCACGTACTCGTACTCCAGTTGGCCGACACCTTTCACTCGACCACTGGCTGTATTTCTGCGCTCTCGGTGCGCAAATCTGGCTCAGGGTCACCCCACTCCCCCCATATTTCTCCGGCCTGAGTTGACATTTCGGTCATCTGAATTATAGATGTAGATCATGTCATCGGGTGTCGGCGGAATAGACTTCGATTGCTGCGGCTTCTGGCATCGATGGCGCTGCAGGGAATGCACTTTCGCTGAGTCATGATTTAATGGTTGGACACTAGTCAAGTGACAAGAAATCGAGGTAACTATTTAATGTATAAAATAAATCAGGGTAACTAAGAAGATGTTACATTAGTTCTAACTATTTTAATCCCAAAATAGTTATTTCTTTGATATGTTTAACTAATTCGTTCAGCAAACAATTTCCCCTATCACCAGCACTTATTTTTGATAATTAATAGATGCTCTTTCAAAACCATTGAATAATTAATTCATCCATTCAAACTTAGCTCGCAGCAATTAAAATATTTACAAGTTGGATAGTGTTTACACTATTATGTTGTTGCAGCTGTTTTAACGCTGCCAGCGTTTATCTAGTTCGTTAGAATTAATAAAACGATTTTATGCTTTATTTTCACAACATTTGCATTCCAATAATAGTGCTGATGTTTACTTTGTGCCTCATTAAACTAATTGAATGGGTTACCAACACAATCCCCTTCTGTCCTGTCGCTTGACAATATTTTCAAATGCTTAGCAAAGGCAAGAACTTAATACAGTTAAAACGTTGGATCAAAACCATTTTTTAGGCAAAGGTCTTCCCTTATATGATAATAATCAAATCGAAGATAAAATAAATTTGCATTTGCGTTACTTTTAAAACAATAAACAATATTTTGAGTTATTTTGTAGTGACAACTCATATCGTTTATTTTGTTATGGCTAACATAGATAACAGTAACAGTAATTTCGAACAGTTTCGCTGAGCTCAGCATGCAGTCCACACTGAAGCTTTTTAGCTTATACAAAAACCATGTTTTTAGGACAAAGCTCTTTGCCTTATTTCGATTTCTTCGAGCTAGACACGAGTTTTGCAAAGGCTTGCAGTCAACATGCTGAATTAAGTGCACTGAATTAATTGTGACGTAAATCAATTATCGCAATTACTTGGCCTGGAATAACAGACTACATATATGTTTGAGAAAACAATGAGGTTAATTACCATATTGCCAGATTGAAATTGTAATTATTTAAATAACACACGAATGGTTTATGTAGCTGTGGTATGCAGTTGTGGGAAAGTCAATGCCAGACAGCCTTTCAATAAGATACAACAAGATACAATCAAAGATATAATAAGATAATTTCGTTGAAAATGGATTTATTCAATCCCCTACCTATCCCAAACCATTGCTGACCTTTTCCTTTCAGTTAACCCTTCAACAAAGTGCGTAACTCCTACTCTGGTCCATTAACTTGTCCCAGCCTGTGGAATTAGTATGTTCTGCATGCTGATGAATCAGTCCATTACGCAAATAATGGCAACCCAATTATGTGCACCTGTCATGGCTCCCAACTGCCCAGGGTATAGTTTCCAAATAGCAAACTTCACCTGCCAATCAAGCAGACATGGGCAATTCAAGGGTAGTTCCAGCCATATGCAATTATTATCGGTATAAACTTCATCCTGATTTTCACTTAATTAGTGAGCAAACTGGCTTTCAAAAATAGTCCAGCTGTGAATGATTGCGATTGGACATGATTTAGTGTGGCCTAAATAATCCTTTTTCATGGAATGTAATTTGCCCGCGTACAACAGTTCGCTTTTAGCTAAATATTTCATAAGAGCACTTTGTGACCTTGTTTGCTGTGTATAATATATATTATTAGAGCCCCGCGATAAATGCAATAGTGTGTACAAAAACTAATTGAAAATTCCGCTGGCAGCGCTTTCAAATTTAAACTAAATCCAGCAGAGTCATCCGCCGCGGATGACAAGCCGGAACTCCTTTAATTAGATTATTAAGGCCGACCTAAATGTACAAAACTTTAACATGTTCCACTTACGTATACATCCACCATTCGGTTGAAATTTAATTAAAAAACTTTTGGCCAATCTGGGGGGCCAAGGGAAAATCTGTTTGTTCTGCAGCCCGACAAATAAATCTTTATGGATTAAGCGGACCGCGTGTGTTGTTTGGGCCCCCTCGACAAAGAATTTTGGGAGGAGCTTTAAAAACTACTTTGTTTGCAGTGCCTCGGTGGCTTCGGTGGCCTCGGAAAAGTTCGGCGGTGGGGACCAGAAATGATAGAGCCCCGTCCCTAAAAAAGATGGCGAGGCTTAAGGATCCATCGACGGCCATGTGATTTATGCGCTTGGCCGAAAACTTCCAGCCAAGCGTGTGAAAGCCAGCTGAATTGGCCAAGCTGCCGCTCTTGGTTTAATGAACTCGAATGTTAATAAATAAATTTGTCAATGGCGGGCGGTGGGGGGAGGTGGCCCTGTGGCCCTGTGGCCCTGTGGCCCTGGGTTATCTGGTGCTCGCAAGGAACATAATGAAACGAAGATGAATGGAAAATCGACTTTTGGCCGCCGTTGTTGGCCAGTTTAATTTGCTGCTGAGGGCAACACATTGCCGCCTAATGAGCTGCGATGAAAGGCAACGGCTCCTGAATGGCGAAGGAATTCCAAGTCGGGGCTTAAACTGACAAAGGACCCGCAAACGATATTGAAGTTGTCCAGTACAACAGCTTAAAACTTCCACTGCAGCAAATTACGGAGACTCGGCTAATTAATGCTAATTAAAGGACAAAATGATTGAGCCCGATTTGAAATGGAAATTGATCGGATGAATGCGAGGCACCCCAATCTGGCAGACTTCATAAAAGCTCGTCTTTACTGCGCCATTTGAACGTGATTTAATTTGATTCCCATATCCGCTTGCACATCCAGCGGCATTTTACTGCCGGCTGACCAATCGAATCGGATCATCTGGGGGCAATCAACACATCATCGGGGCGGGGGATTCCCGGCCCCCAGGAATCGTGGCCCCTAATGGCATCGACATCCCTATTATCCATATCCTGTTCATCATCAAGCGAGGAGCCGGCATTATCGTTTGTTTTGATAGGTTTTTGTTCGCTCCTCGACGGGATAATACTCCACACACGCCCTGGCTTCCTGCTCTATGACGGCCGGCTTGTTTGTTGTTCGGGCAACGGCAAAAAACATCCATCAATTTTGTTATCCCAGGCCGGGCTGCCTAAAAACCCGGAGCCCCGACATTGTCAGGTGCTTACATGCGGCTAAAAATAGGCGAATGCAGATTGAAATTGATGACCCGGTCGACGGATTAGCTCCCCTGCCACTTCCTAAATGTTTAAGTTCTCGATTACACGGCAAAAGCCGCTTTTCGGCAATTCGGCATTCCGCCTGCCAGGGATTACTAACAGGTTGAATGTGCTTACCGGTTGCACTTCAAAATGCGATGGATACCAAAATGTCGATCTGGTATCGACTTGAACATCCGATAAATTAAGGTAAAGGCAGCCAGTTGAAACCTTTTCTGAGCTTAGCTGACAGAGGGTAAATAGCAGAAGCCCAAAAGGATAACAATCAAGTAGACACCCCATTTACTACTTTTGGAGACTTTTTGTATGCCTGGTTACAATCTACTTTAACCTTTGGCAAGGTGCATACAATGCACAATATTTGGTTGCTCGTTAGTGTATTTTTTGCAAATATTAATTAGATTCAAAGTTTTCTATTCATATTTATAAAACTATTTTTCGATTTAAGGTGTTGTCAAATTTATAATACATTTTATTTATTTATTCATTTAATTAACTTCTTCTATTTTTTCGACTCAACATAATTTTAAGAAAAGTTATTAGCAAATAATTTTATTTAATTTGTGCAATGCGCTGTAAACTGTTACTAAATTATTTAATTTTAGTAGAGTTCACTTTGCAATAATTTAATTCGAAAAGCAAATGATTTAATTTTTCCTTTTTACTTTTGTTAAAATGGTTAAAAAAAGTCCACAAAAAATACTCATCCCAAAGCGTTGCCTGAATAAACATATAATATTTGACTTAACGTATGAGAGCCCAACTTGAAAGCAATCAACGATTGAGAGTAGTACCCTATTACTATGTATATATATTAAGCACAAAACAAAATATAAAATAATTTCCAACTGGTTTGCCAATCTGTAACAATATGGAAATATTGTTGTCGCTGGTTACGAAATTGTCCCACTTGTTTTAACCCGAAACACTGCTCTTCATACATAATTTGCGACAAGCCGAATTGACTGTGTTGGCAACAAGTGGGTTCGACAATACCCAAAATGTTCATCGATTCTAGACGCCACCCACTACCCACCACCCACCACCCACCACCCGTTGTCCTTGTGCCTGGCACATGTCAACAATGGCTTATATCCGTGTTTTTTGGCACCAAGTAGTTTTTCCGATTTCCCCTCCGGCAGTGAAAATAAACAAGCAGCGTTTAAACATTTTGCCAAGCTCGAACAGAGAGGAAGTAGCATCTAACCACTAATTGTGGTCTCTGCTTGATTTTGACTGTTCACCAGTCGAAGTAGACTGAATAGGAAATCATGCAAATTTGGTATTCAAATTAACCATCTTGCTCTCCAGTCGTGTCTCCATTTACTTTTCGCTATCCAAGTCCAAGAACTTGGTATAAATTGCATTTTTTATTTGGCTCGTTTTATTTCGGAAGAGTAATTTCACTCCATTCGCTGCGCTTTCGGCAACAAAGTTTGTCGCTAAAAGGAAATCCTTGGTAAATTGTAATAAAGCAAAGGAATTTTTATGTGCAGCTTCGTCCAACCTTTGGCTGCACTCGTTGAATGACGCGATTCAAAGACTTTGCTTATTGCCAAGTATTTCTGTATGGCAGTTTTCCTAATTCCTTGGCCAGCAGTGTCCAGAGTAACGCGAAAAATGTCCATGATTCGGGTCAACTTAACGTCTTTCTGGGAAAATTGGGCAAGTTGTTCAAGTTTTCCGGCCGCTTGTCATTTGCATCGATAAGCGGACCCACTGCCTCAGCAGTAATAACAATACGTTCACTAAGCCAAATAATCGCGGCCAACACAAAGAGAAAAGGAATGACAAGGAAAAAGGAATGAAACATTTTTGATTGTCAATTGAAGCAGGACAACTTGTCCTTCTCCAGAATTTCAATATTAAAAATATAAAGCTTGTGAAATCATAACATTAATGTAGATCTTATAGAATACTAGTTTATTAGAATTAGAATATTAGAATTTAACTAGCATGAAAAGCTTTGTGGAAGTTGAACTCTTTTCCCTTCTTGATTTAAAAACATATTTTACACATGCTTATATTTTTCATCCGAAACCTGTGCATCTCACGAACTTTTTCCAGTGCCATCCACACATACAGCTGCAAACGAGGAAAGCAATTTAAGTCCTAATGAGCAAAGCGACAAACTCGCTGGGAAGGTCAAGTCTTTGTCCGGCGATAAAAAATGATAAGCCAAAGGCGAGGCAAACGCGAAAGTGAAAGCCGCAGCTGCTGGCCAAAAGTCTGAGGCAGGGGCGAGGTTTAGTTTTAGCACACTGTTATACGCGACTTGGCCGGGACTGTAGGACAGTCAGATGCCCGCCCAGCCATTATTTGCATTCCGGGCACGTTCGTGAATTGAGTTCTTTTATGTGGCCATTTGGGCGCCCTCGAGCTGTTTTGATATTTTATTTTCATATATTTTTATGGGCTAGTAAGCAAATTGTCGGGGCGCATGGCCGGGCGAGGGGCGTGGCTAGGGGATTTCCCTGTGCAAGCCGATGATGGATTCAAAAGTGAAAAAGTGTAATTAATTTTAAAGCTTAGTTGTCAACCGGCAGAAGGGCATCCGAATTTGGCAATGACGGCTTTGCTTTAGCCGCAAATTAAATTGAAAGCCTTCGTTCTGTAATCTCGGAAATAGAAGTAAAATCCCGGGAAACTGAACAACCGAACAACCTGCCAACTGCCGATTCATTGTGTGTCAAATTAATGACAAAGTAAAATCCACAAAAAGCAGAACATGAAGCAAGGCGAGGAAAGTTTTCCCAGCATGACAAAGAGCTTTCCAAATATGTGGAAATCGGCGTCGAAGCGGAAAGTCTCCTACAGTGTACCCTGTTCTAAGGACTTAATAAAAAATAAACAACAATAGTTTTAAGTGTATCCTGAAGGGAGACAAGTCTCCTCAATGTACAATCATTGTCTATTTTTTAGAGTTTATTGTAGGTTTACAAAAAACGAACTTAATAATCCGGCACCATCGATTAAAACAACTATTTAAACAAATATAAATTTTGTTTATGTAAGTAAAGATATATTATGCTGTCGATTGTATGTAGATTTACAAAAAACGAACTTAATATAGCTTCTATAAATAAATGTAGCTCATTTTTATGTGAGCAAAGGCACACGACTTTCCATAACTCAGTAGCTAAGAAGCTTTTAGTGGTGAATAAAATTTTTCCTCTGATACCTGCTGAATGCAATCTTTTAAGAAATTTTAAACCCAATGGAAATCCCAGCCCACATTAATGGCCACAGGCTTTTGGCGGTTGTAAATCGAACATCCACGACTCGCGAAACTTGCCGCACGCACGCCGCAAAATGCGAGCGAAGTAAAAGCAGTGAGCGCCCGCATTATTCCGAAAATGTTTCAATCTCACTTGCACCCGGCAAACTAATCACGGATGCAATTCCACGAGCCGGCACCGCAGGAAAAAAGACCACATGCACATGCACAGGATGGAAGCCCAAAGTGAACATGCAGCTGATCAGGCGAAACCGAAACCAATCCAAATCACTACCAATTTTGTAAAGGCTGCGTACTGGCAAAATTCGGCAAATGCAATAAAATGTGAGGTGGGCGGTAGGCGTGCCAATCCAATTGGAAAAACTGCGAAACAGTCCGGTCAATTTGGTCCCACGGTTGGCATTGCGAGAAGCTCCTGAAAACGAAGCCCTTTGGCAAAACTAAAAAAGCCACATGGGTGGAAAATATGCTGCGATATTGGATGCGCAGCGGTGGGCAGTTTTAAAACTGACAAAGTGGCTTTAAGGCTTCGGCTTACCTTTCTCCGGACATCCCTGTGCGATTCCCCAAGGGGCCCTGACCTTTGGTTAACTTTTCATAATCGATGAGCTGGCAAATCCCATATAGCGGGCTGCTTCCACGCCCAATCCCTCCCCCAGACACAGTAAAGGGTTTTCAACTTTGACCCTGCGCCTTTTTATATTCGTATATCTCCTTTACCCCCAAGCAATAATAACAAGTGTGGCTGGCGTAAAGTTTTGGCAGCCCAAAGTGGCTCAAGGAATATGTTTTTTTTAGGCTCATCCAGCCTTTTTTTGTGCTTTTTTTCGGAACAGCCCCCAGGGGGTGTGTCTGTGTGCTGCCGGAGTGAATGTGGTGCGAAAAGTGTTTTAAAATGAGGATGCCCGACTTTAAGCATAATGACCAACATTTCGAAGAGGTGCGTGTAAATGGCTGGCTTTTATCTGGAAAAACAGGGAAAAGAAGGAGTTGATATCCCCGAGGAACATAAAATAATCATAAGCATAATGAAAGGGTTTTCAACTGTGGGTCAAGATACGCAACTTTAAGTTCAAACTGTCTTGCTGACGATGCTCATCAATTGTGGGTTCGTTCGGTACTAGTTTCATAGCAATTAGCTTTTCGAGCTGTCAGCTTTTGCAAGCTGATTTTTTGCTCAGCTTGCAAAAGCTGACTGCTGACTGCGGTACCTCTTCAGAAAAGCTTTGTAGTTTACGGTTGAAAATATTACCGATAATATTATAATGTAAATGTACTATTACATTACAAAAAAACCACCCATTTGGTTGCAACTGTATTCCGCTTTCTTACAAGAAATCAGAGAGCTAAAAGGTTTGAACAGGCTATATACAAACTCTTAGTGATCGAGACACACTGTTACTTCAGGAATTATTACTACGATTAGGCATGTTGATATGTAAAATATAATAATTTTTTTTTGTATGTAAATTCATCATGAGGTAAAGTATTAAAATAATTTATATGTTCAATATTAACTTTGAACTATTGCTAGGCTCGATAGTGTTATCGATATATTGGCATACTATCGTGCCATCGGTATTTTTACCAGCTCTAGTGTACCATCACAATATAAATCCAAAACATTGCAAAAAGTAATTTCGGGATTATCAACAGAAAAAACAACTTATAACTTTAGATTCATTTCAATCATATAAATACCAGAATAAATCAATTAAAACCAAGCCGATCGATTGAAGTATCAAGAAAGAAACTTCCAAGAAATTGGTAAAAGGTTAGCGCAAATATACCAAATCACCGCTCTCAAAATGACGCAGGACATGCTGCTTGGCAATGAGGAGCCGAGTAAGAGCAAGGAAACCTTCCTGGAGAAGTTCTGTGTCCTGGCAAAGTCCTCCACAGGAGCCGCCTTGCTGGATGTCATCCGCCAGGCTCTTGAAGCCCCAAATGTCTTTGTCTTCGGCGAATTGTTGGCGGAACCGTCTGTTGCGCAGGTTTGTTTATATATGGTACTTTTTTTCATCAGTATAGTCTTACGTTGTAAATCTAAACACAGCTAAAGGATGGTCCAAATGCCAAGCACTTTGAAACCCTGAATCTTTTCGCCTATGGAACCTATAAAGAATACCGTGCACAGCCTGAAAAATACATCGAGTTGAGCCTTGCCATGCAGAAAAAGCTTCAGCACCTAACTATCGTCTCATTGGCCATCAAGGCGAAGAGTATTCCCTACGCCCTGCTACTCAGTGAACTGGAGATCGACAACGTCCGTCACCTGGAGGACATCATCATCGAAGCCATCTATGCGGGTAAGAAAATCTAATGAGACGTTTCAATCGGCTAGCAGCTTTTAGAAGCCTTCAAAACCTTGTGTACACAAGAAAGGATCGGTTCTCATTAATGTTTTTTTAGTTAACTATATTTTAATCGAAAAAAAATTACACCTAGATATGCATCGCATATTCCATTTAAAAGTGTATATTTAACCGTTTAACGTTTTATTAAAGTCACAAAAATGGTTAACTTCACATATATTCTTTATAAGCCTACGAGCATCTTTGTTTTAAAAGGGTCTTTACATATACATATTTGTTTATAAGAAACTACATCAATGGTTTTGGTTACTTTAAAAAAGTTTAAGTAAGAAGCAAGAATTTACGGGCTTTTACCTTAAAAAAAATTGTTCTGGCACATTCACGTAACATTTTAGCAACATCTGTAAAGTTTAACACTTCGAAAAGTTGAAAAGTTGAAAACAGAGCCCCTCCTTCTTTATGAATGCAAACTAGATGTTCTCCAGCTTCATTTCCTAGCTGGCAAATCTCGTTGCTTCGCTTCGCTCTTATAGTTTGCATTATTAAATGAAATGCTAATTTCTTCCTACTTCTCACCGTTGAGTGGGGGTCTCCTTGGTTCAATTAGCATTTTTGAGCGGTTTTTCACCCGCGCCGGCGGCCCAGCAGCTGTGAAAGCATTCGTTTCGCAAAGTCGTGGTGCCCAAGCTAATGGCAAACAACCACCTAGCACCACCCATTTGGCGCCGCCAACTTTCCAGCCACCGCCCACAAACCACCAGCAGTCGGCAGCCTTTGGGCAGTGCACTTGATTAGCCGGGACAGCTGGCGCATCCTGGAAAACGAAAACAATTGGGCGGAGGAACGAGCCTCATGCTCGGCGAGATTCATTAAGCCAGTCGCCCTGGCGCCCAACCAGTTGATTCTCTCTGCTCGTTCCCGCAGGGGGAAACAGTTTTTACGGCTGCCAACGTCGTCGTCAGCTGGATGAACACTTTTGCCTCGATGATTTCCTTGCTGAGCTCACGGCTCGTTGGCCTCTCTACAGTCAAACTTCGTCATAATTGCCACATAAAAATTTGGCTTTAAGAGAAAGATTCGGGAATCACTTATTAAAATGGCCATGGTCTCTAATGTGAGAAGTCAATTTGATTGATTGAATATAATTTCACTGAATATCACTAAATTCGCAGTAACTGATTTGAGAGTCCTACCAAATTTGCGAGATTTAGATTACCTTACAAAGTAAGTTTATAGGCTTCACAAATTAAGAACAACTGCAAACGGTCTTTCTTTCTGTTAATCCAATTTTTTAGTGCTTTAGGATTAACAGTTTGTTGGTTGGCCTATTTTCAGTGAGTTTCATTAATTTTGCAAACATTTACGGATATTTTAAAAACTTAGTTCATTCAATCCTCGCTGTAAATTTGAGGAGGCTGAAATAGCTTTGCGTTGGCAAATCGGGTGTTAGTCGATATTGGGCGTAATTCTTAGGCTGTGAAATGGAAGCCTACAATCCATCATTGCGCACCAGCACAGGCTGCATATTTTACACACTTTCCACTTGTACTTCCGAGCTTGTTTTGCATACATCTGCCAAAAGCCGTTAATCAAACGCAACACCCAGAAGCCGGGGCCCAAATATCGCACTCGGAAACACATCGCTCGTGTGAGCGTACTTAGGGCCCTCGAATGTGGTGCTTAAGTTGCTGGTGCTGTTGATTTTTGAGCTTTAGCCCGTGATCTATGGGCCGGGACAAAAACAAACAGAAGCTGCGTAATATAGGGCCGGAAAGCGAGCCCTTGAGGCGCATTTTTGGTTAGTGTTGGGTTTTAAGCGGCTTCCGACAAGTGTCCACTCGACATATTAAACGAACCAAACCAAACATGCCGAACGTAAGAGCCAGAAAATGTTTTATGGCGGGCAAAAGCAAATAGCATTCAGCAGTTTTTAATGGAGTCTTAGCCGTCCATTATGTGAGTAAATAAAGTGACAACTCAACGCCATCTGTCCCATAAATAGCGTTTCCCCCAAGACCAGCAAGTACACATCGAAACACGCCCTCACCTGGACCTCCTAATTGCTTTCCAAATCCAGGCGATGAACAGACAAATAAATTCCCCCGCACCTGCCAAGATTTATGTTATGATAGCCATCATTAGGGCATCATTGGGAGAGGCAAGAGGGCAAGTTCCAGATGCCAGATGCCTGGTGCCTGGTGCCTGGCGGAATGCGAAATCATTGCGTTCTATTAGGCGCCGTAATCTGACATCGCAATTTAATGTAGTTGGAAACGGGGGCCGTCATTAGCCTCTGGCAGGTGGAGCGGTTCCCTCGCCCGCGTTTCCAGGTCATCCCATTAGAGCATCATTTGTCTCGCGGAACGACGGAGGCGGGGATATGGTAATTAAATGAATTCTATAATAGAAGTTCTCTCGAAATTTATTTCAGCTTGTTCCATTAAGGTGTAGGCTCTTGATTGATTTGGCTAACGTTCTGTTTGGAAAAGAAAAGAAAAACGATGTTGCAAATCTCATTTAAATTTATTAAAAGTTGGTTATTAAATTTGCCAAACGCTGGCACTGGTCCCTAGTAAATGATAGTAGTGCATACAACCTTTTTAGTTGAATTAAAAACAACAGAGATATGCAACAAACCTCTAAATAAATTCGCTCACAAACCCTGAGGTGTTAGAGTCAGATTTCGCACAATTTAAAGCGGGTAAATATCATGGAACATTTGATAGTCATGTACCATTCAAAGTCTGCTCTGGAAATCAATCCCCAATATACCATTTCCAGGAAATCCTCGTGTTTTTCAATTCCCCGGAACTATTCAAATATTTTACAAACTGCCTCGAAACTTGTTTCACTGCAACAACACCCCATCATACCATCATCAGAATTCAGAGAATCGCAGGAAAATAGCAAACCATGTTCATAAACCGAACACAACCGCTTGCCAAGGATGCCAGCGCGTTGTTCCTTGGATTTTACCCTTTATTTTTGGTGAACGTGTTGTGGCTTTTCGAGTTGCTGGGAATGCAGAGTGTGTCGCGGAATGCGCCTGCTGGGTCGTGGTTATTTTGGTGCACTCCTTAATTTCTTTTGTGTGTCAAAGAAAAGTTTCGCATAATTCAGGGTGCTTAAAAGCGGCTTTTCAGCTTGCTTGTTCGCCAGGCTGGGAGATTTGCAATTCAGAGAAGATGTAGAATGATTTGGTTGTGGAGTGGCACGCGAAAAAGGTTAAGCGCAAGCCACTTGTGCATAACATTTTATGAACACGCCGCAAAAAGTGTAAACCCCTTTCGCAATCGGTAAATTAACAGTATCGCAATGACTGAAGCACTGCATGAAATGCAGCTTTTATCCCCTGAAAAGCTGTTATATCAAAGGCCAGTTTACCTGAATAAAAAGCCACGACCCTGCCACAAAGCCAAAAATATTTAAAAGCTACGCAGTTCGTAGATAATTTCCCGTGCCGGCGCGAAATCGGAACTCATCCTACTGCTCCTCCGATTACGCAGCTGTTTCTGATTGCATAGTTTTTGGCGCCCGGAGCCCAGTGCAGTGGGTTAGGCGGGAAAACTTTTAGAAGGGCAAGGGTCTGTGGGCCGTTGCGTCGAGCACTTTGTCAGTTTTAGGTGAAAACTTTCCCGCAGTCTCATATTGATGGCAGAAGTTTCCAGGCCGCTGGCTTGTGGTCAACAGTGGAGTGTGTAGTTGCTTCCACCAAAAAGGCTGCTCCCAGACCCAGAAATAATTAAGCATATTGAAAAAGCCTTTAACAATTATATACATTATACCTTTTTGATTCGGAAAACACAGTACTTTTGTTTTATAACTACAACTTGCATTTATTATGCTACTTATATGTGTTAACTGCCCTTTTGTTAAAAATAAAAAATATTGATTTTCATGTTTCATGTTTTTGTATTCATTAAAAGAAAACTCAATAATAAAATGTATATTAACAAAAGTCGGCCAATATGAAAATAAAACAATGAATTGCAGAAAAACCAAATCAGCTTTTATATAGCCAAACGGGAACATCCTTTTTCGATGGTCCCTTAACCAATTTTATCTTGTGCCATTGTCCTCGCCTGCTGCTGTCGTTCGAATTTTGTGAGGAATTTCAATTAATAACTTCTATTTTCCTGAGGAGGCAGGTGGGGACATGTCTGAAGAGTTGCCAAAGCTGTCAGCGACAGGTGCTGAGAAAAGGGAGCGAAACTTATGTACTCCCTTTGCTGGGCTTAATAAATAAGCGGTACGAAGTCGATTTCCACCACCTTCAATTTTGTACGTAGATGGATATATTGAAAAATATTCATAAGCTGGAGGTAAAAATCCCAATTTTGTTTTAGAGGCGAACTTATTCGCACGAATTGCTGATTTAAAGTGTTTAGAGAAAACTATGCATCACATTCATCTTCAAGTGTAAAAACTACGTTACTCATTGTTTTCCTTTTTAATCTTTTTAAATTTGAATGCCTTTTTCCATATGAACCAATGTACGTAAGCATTGTTGCTCGAATTCCAGTAGCTTTTCGTCAGGTCATGCATTTTTTCAACATTTTTATCGGACGCTTGATGGCCGCCCCCATTTGATTTTCATCAGCAGTGGCCACAGAACCACAGCCGTCGGCGGTTTGACATCATCGCCTTGTGCCGCTCGAAGATTCATTCTGCTGTCCGTCAACAGCTTTTTGCGCAATTTGCGGGCGGAACAGTAAGCATGATTGATTGCCTTGGCGTTGAATTTCACGCACGCGACAGCCGGCGTCCGCCGTTTTGCGATGGGTGAAAATACAAGACACATGTCAACGCCGGAAAACCACACGCATTTTACGCCACTTGTGGCTGAGGCGCCGAGCACGAAAGGAATTCGGAGTATTCCCACGTTTTCCAATTATTTTCCGCGCACTCGAAGGCGTCAAATCAATAAACATTTTTGCGCCAGCTCTCAAGCTAATTAGAAAATGGCTTGACAAATTGTCGAACCGAAGCGCAGAGCCTCAAAGCGCAGAGGTTCTGGAAATTGAATCTCTGGGCGGATTCCCTGCATATTTGAGTGAATATTTATGACACAAACTCGGCGCCATAAACACTGAAACTTGGTCCGGAGACTTGCCCCGTTTCTGTGCACTCGTTCAAGGACACAAGTGGTCGTAAAGTCAAAGGAAAAAGTGCTCAAGGACTTAACTCAGGCTTAACCATGGCCGAAACTGGCGGGCGGGAAGGCAACTGTCACATAGCCACTTCCTCGGCCGAGAAAAGTTAAGGCCCGAGTTATAGTTCGGTTCGGGGCAAAGCGATTCACTTTTCGAGACTTTTCATTGCAGCTGGGAGTCACAATCCTGTCAGCGAGGACGAAAATGATTCCCAAATCCGCTTGTTATAAATTGTAATCCCGCAAAGGGGCTACAAACCGAACGACTGTTTCAAATTAATTACTCAAACGGCTCTGGATGTCGGCCATCGCATCAAATTGCATTTGTCGGCTTACGCTCGTTGGCCTGTATTTTTGGTAATTGAGTCAGAGAACAAAGCTAATCGCCTTTAAACCACTTCCACTTGGCTTAAAGAGACGGCCCCAAAGTATAGAAAACAAAAGTTCAAACGTCTGTTTTTGAGTACCCATTGTATTTAACTACGGTCACCGCAAAATGTGCTCAACATTTGGGATTTTGTGGTCTGGATTTGCGGATTTATGAAACTACAGCTTTCATTTAGTTGATTGTAACTATTTTGTTTGGTTGTTTTTGCGCTTATTTAACAGTTTTCTAATCAGTTTAATTGATTGAGCGCTTGCAGTGATGGCGGGGATAAACGTGGAGGTGATTAATTGCGTATCTTTGGCTGGAAGCTCTAAAAGGGTTGAATTATCGTTAATTTGGGAGGGGTAAAATGTCTAGGTAACTGGATGGGTTTGTGAAAGCCAAAAGTGTAATAAAATCCACTCTGAAAATTTCATGAACTTAAAGTTTACTTTGAAGCGGCATCCACTTTAGCTAATTCTGGTGGTTCGGTAATCAATCACTCAATGGCCAAATGCTCTTTTCCTTTTTGTTCAAAGTCAATTTATTTAAAAATACCCGGCTTTACATTCTTTCTATTCTCAAGGTGCCTCCTGATCAATTTATTTTGAAATCCTCTCTCCTTTTTCACAAAAAACCACTCCTGGAGCAATTTATTTGTGAGCACTGCTAAAATGTATTTCCCTTTGTTTTCTCAAGACTGTCCTTTTGGGATTGCATCCGTTCGGTTCTAGGTTATTAGTGAACATTCAGTTTCAGTTGTGCGCTGAAGAGGCTTCTTTGAAGGCAACTACACCATCGTCCGTAGACACCATCGTAAACTTGTTGCAGTGGCCTTGAGTGCACTCAAAAGCTGGCACTTGAGGCAACACTCTGGCCAAGTTCAGAAACTGGTCGTTCTGGGCAATTAGTCAGAAAAAAGTTGACAACAAGCTCTGGCATGCAGGCAACGCTAAAAGGGAGAGAAATTTCTCATTTTCGTTTTCATCTCTCACACAGACATCATCCACGGAAAGCTCTTCCAGAACACACGCATTCTGGAGGTGGACTACGCTCAGGGCCGGGACATTCCGCCCGGGTACACCAGCCAGATCGTGGAGACCCTCCAGGCCTGGGTCAACTCCTGCGACAGCGTCTCCAACTGCATCGAAATGCAGATCAAGTACGCCAACGCGGAGAAGTCCAAGAGGCTGGTGAACAAGGACCGCGTGGAACAAGACGTAAGTGGCCGAACTATGGGCTCTAAATAATAAATTAAATTTTCATTTTTAATGGCCACAGCTCATCAATCTGAAGAAAGTTCTGAAGAGCCAGACCTCGGACAGCGATGAGAGCATGCAAATCGATACTCATGGACCGGGAACAAGCGGGGGATTAGGTCAATCGGAGATGCGCAAAAAGCCTTCGAAGCTCAGGAATCCCCGCAACTCGGCAGGTGTGTATTCCTAACGAAATGACGGAGAAATAACTTTGAAGAACTAGGGCCACGTCGGCCAATGTTCATCACAAAGTCATTAGTCAGAGGCATACTCATTATTTGCGTCCATTTTTCGTCCCGTTGTAGTTGGCCTGAAATTCGGCAAGTGAGACGCAGCCGGTCGAGCGGATGAGGAGTCGGGAGCTGGCTCGAACACAGGCAGGCGTTTCTTAAGGTCGCAGGCAACTCCCCGCGGAACTTGAAGGACGAGGTCCGCTCGCCTGTCGGAGGACCTCTCTTCTAAGTTAATCAAAACAAAACTCACTTGAATTCGCCAGAACAAATGCCGGCTGTCCTCGTAATGGATTCCATAATTAGCATCAAATTGATCATCAATAAATAACAAATACAAAATCTGTAATAATAGAAACAATACATCAAAACACAACTTAATTAGACTATTTATTCATCCACATCTGCGTGATTGGATCGTTTAAATGGGATTCCATTGTGTATCTGGGCGGACAACCTTAAACGAGCATTTAATTAATGTGAAATTAATTCGGGTTTAGACAAATGTTTACTCGACACATACGTATAAATATATATGTTGCGTGCTGCGGTCTCTAGACACATATGTAAATGTATTTATGGCTAATTACCTGCAGCAAATCGAATTTAGCCAAAGGTCCTTTCGTGGCCATTTATATTAGCACTTGGGGTTGATGATTTTTTGAATTTTTTGCGTTAAATTATGACCGCAGATGCTAAATTCGCACGGTTTTAATTAATAAACCACTATTACGTTGATTTATAGTTTTTCCTACCGAATTGATAGATTTGTTATTGATTATAAAGAAATACTCTATGTGTTTTGCAACATAAAATCTTGGATTTCATAGTGCCACTTACATTTCATTTTTGCAATAGAATTCAGAATTGTTTGAAACTTGAAAACCGAATCCGATCTTAAATCCAATCCAAATAAATCTTCAGTTTTTTGTTTGTCATGACACCCCTCCAAAAGCATTGCCACAATTAGCAAATTGCAATTAGGAAAGCAAATAAAAACTGTGTAAATAAGCATGACTATTTCTGAGCCAACAATTATATTTACTGACGATACCAGCTGCAAAACACATTAGATCTTCTCATTAGGTAGCTTGTAGGAACCTCCGAGGCAGAAGTTTAACTTATGCACAAATATTAAAGGTTCAGCCGTTCTCGTTATTTGATTTCCACACATTCCTCTGAGGCGGGGAAAAGTTAGTGTGGCAGAGAAAGTGTGAACAATGAAGAATTGTGTCAGATGTGCAAATTACTTCCCCGTCGGAAGAGATGACTGTTGGCAATTACTTAATTGCATTTCAGGCTTTTGTTTCTAGCACGCAGTCTAAAACCACAGCATATATTTTAGACAGATGGAAACAGCTTTGTTGGTGAAAACTTGCGAATTGCTCATTAACTTGTTTTCACTTCATTTTGAAACTATTTAGAGTGGTTATAAGTGTTAAGGTAACACTCTGAATCAAATTTTCCAACCGAAAAATTGTTTTCACTAATTAATCAAGGAAATTGTATTGCTGCTTCATGACTATGTGTTGCATCTGTGAGTTTGAGATTATAGGATTCAATGGGGGCTGTTTGGGCTTTTTAATGCAAATTGTATTCCGGATTCTAACTGGTTACTCAGAATTTTGTTATTGAAAAATAATAACAATTAAAATTATCGCTTTTATTGCTTGGCGACAAATTTCAGCTTTATATTTTTTCATTTTGTATATTCGCGCTTTTTGGCATTCGGTTTTAAATTAATTCTCTTTGAATTTGCATTCGCAATCGGGTTTCTGCTATGATAAATTATTGAAAATGTTAAAGTTGCCTTTTCGACAGGCTCTATTAAAATCTAGGGCAGATTAAATTTATTCAGAATATAGTAAACAAGTTTAGAAGATAATTCGGGTATTTAGAATCAGCTGTTTTTGAAGGTAATTTTTGCCATATGGTATACTGAATAAAGGCCAATAAAGTTTATTGACAGACACTTTCGATGATACATTTTGGTTTTTTTGAATTATTTAAGCAAGGTTAGTAAACGCTGAAGGAGGAGTGTCACATCGTTTAACTTGATATTCCAGAATCGGTTTTAGGTGTACACAATAAAATGAAATCATTGCAAGTCAGAAGATTATAAAATGGGTAATGGTTTTTTTTTTGGTAATTCTGACTTAATGGTATATTTGGAAAGCACTTGGAGGCACATTTGGTGTTAAAAGTGAATATATATTTACGTACGTTAGATCACGCAATGCACTTGCTCGAAAAATAAAAGTGTTTTAATTTATTCCTTTTCAAGTCATGAGCTCTTTTGGTAATAAATATGTAGCTGTAGTCAATGGATGATAGAAATCTGTTGTTATACATTTCCACCGCCATTAACTTGTTCGACTGCCAATTTATCTTTGTACCTGCTCGCCAGTTTGTTTACACTTAATCGGATCATCTCGACCTTGAGAATATTACCATATTGTTTTGAAGGTGCTAAAAAGCTAAGTAAAATCGAAGGTGTTCAAACGGGTTAAGCGAGTCAGAAACCGTTACACCTGAGAGTGGGGGTCAAAGTCAAGGCCACGATCTGATTTCTGCCGTTAACAATTGCATGTATTTAAAAACTCAGTTAATTTGCTTAGTCTATTAGGTCGAAAGGTATCCTGGTCTCAGTCCGTAGGTGCGATCCGCTTTCACGAGGGGGTTTCTAGTGGTGGTGCTCGGGTGCCGGGGGGTGGGACTCCAGCCAGGCGACGGCGCGGGCGATGGCCTCTGGGATTGGGGGGAGGGGTGGGGATCCAGGCTCCCGAGGGCTGGTATCCGTTCTCATCGGCCACGTACTTGATGTCCACATGCTCGCCCTCGGGGGAGATCCAGGCGAAGTTGCCGTGGATGTTTCCGTGGACATCACCGCTGGCGGCCTGCTCGATGCCGTTGGAGGTGTGCAGACTGGAGTCGAATCCGTCGGCGCGAATGTCATCGGACCGGGAAACAACCTCGGCGTGGACATCCTCGGAGCGTCCCGCGGCGTGGGGAGCTGGGGGATTGGCCACCGCCAGACCCAAAACGGCGCAGATCACCACCTGGATTGAAAATCATGCAATTGAATAAGGGGTCCTTGAAAATGGTATGTCCTATTAGCCACTTACAAACTTGAACATATTGGCTGATTTCTGTCTGGTCGAGAGCGAACGCTGACTGATAACTGCATCCCATCGGGCAGAGCCTTTTTATATCATTGCCCACCCAAAGTCAACCCATAACAAATCGCTACATCTTGCACTCAATTGCGGCTCTAAATTTATCTTAGCAAATGCCAAACAACGGGATAAGTACTATATATAATCGCTTAATAGATGCCAAAATGAAACACTCGCATCAATAAGGGGGCGAACGGGTCCCAAAAATAAAACGAGTTCCGAGTGCCCCCCTCCAGTAAGTCCCCTCAATCCGATTGAATTGGCTTTGTCAACCGTGAACCACTTTGGCAGTGCCATCATGATTCTTCTCTGAGAAATCGAAACTCTAGCCACTTCAAAAAGCTGCACCGACTTCTTTGACACGATATTTTGTGGAACATGAACTTGTGTTTTTATTGACCATCATCTTGATCACTGCTTCTCTCTTTTATTGTCTTTCGTCAATTGCGTTTTAGTTTGTTTTTAGGCAAATTTAATGTTTTAGGGGGTAAATACATATTTAGCATCTTCTCTTATTTTGAATGTCACACTTAAGAGAGCAAATTAACACTAAAAGCTTAGAAAAAGTACTTTTTAAACGCAGCATGTCTTTTATATTTCTTTCCTATTAATCGTTTAAAGGAAAAATATTGGCAATACGAAGTTTCTATTCTCTTTGAGGCAAATTATATTAAATAAGGAACTACTTACGTGCTACCTAAATAGAGAAATACGCTTAAATGGCAGTTTTGAATAATCCGTTTATTTTGTATAATAGTCTTAGGATACACATCATCCTTCCTAATGAGTTACACATATCACTTTTAGGCTCGTTCCATTTCAGAACTTATTTATTTTTCAAGAAATACGTGATCTCTCTATTTGCTTTTGTTTTTGAAAATCTTATACAACGAGAAAGCTGGTTTATATACCAATCCGAAGATTAAATACCCTTGCGATATTTTGATATTTGATATATTTGATTTGATTAAAGCTAAAATCTATAAAATGAATAGATTCATCACATATACCTCCAATATCTATTTGGCGAAAGGTTTAGTATAAGAAAAAAGTACATTTTCCAATTAATTTCTCTTTTTTATGGCAGCTTAGGCTATGTATGGCTAATATTAAACAAAATTGATATTTAGAGGTACATTAACCAATACAGAAGTTGTGATTTTTCTTTTCCTTTTTTTATAACTGGTATTTTACCAAAAATTTTATTCTCAGCAAAGTTATTTAAAAACTTGATCGAAATATTATATAATACTATATTAATATAAATACTTTTTGGGTTTAAATGTTTCTTTTTTATTACATTGCACATAATGGAACACGTTGCAAAAGTGTATAAATGTTGAAAAAAAGAATACCTGAAAAAATATATACTTAATATCAGAGGATTTTTGAATTTGCTAAGTTTAAATTTATTTTAAAATTATTTTTAAATTCCCTTTACATTTTAGTCACTGCCTTTATGAGTCTAATGCCTTTATGGTTTACTTCAAAAAAAAAAAAAACAATAAATGAAGGCATTTTTTTACTGCTTTATGCATGTGCATGTATTTTTTTGAAAATCAAGAAGTACGGCTAAACAGCTATCGCTATACGTTTCGGGGGAACAGTCCGTGGAGAGGTCCAGATCCAGGGTCACGAGGCTTAATGATGACGAGGATGCTCGGGGGCTTGGGGGTGGGACTCCAACCAGGCGAGGGCGCGGACAATGGCCTCCGGGATTGGAGGAGGAGTGGGGATCCAGGCTCCCGAGGGCTGGTATCCGTTCTCATCGGCCACGTACTTGATGTCCACATGCTCGCCCTCGGGGGAGATCCAGGCGAAGTTGCCGTGGATGTTTCCGTGGACATCTCCGCTGGCGGCCTGCTCGATGCCGTTGGAGGTGTGCAGACTGGCGTCGAATCCGTCGGCGCGCACATCATCGGAGCGGGAGACGACATCGGCGTGGACATCATCGGAACGGGAAGCAGGGGCCAGGGCGGTGGCCACTCCCACAACGGCGAGGATCATCACCTAGGTAAGAATAGTCCACTTAACTTATGTATAAGTTCGTTAATATCCTGTAAGCCACTCACAAACTTGAACATTTTGGCTGATTTCTGTCTGGTCGAGAGCGAACGTTGACTGATAACTGAATCTGCTACGGTTAAGGCCTTATATATGATTCCTCGTCCGGCGTTTTGAAAAATGAATTACTTATATTTTGCCATGTCTAAGTTATCGGGTGCACAAAATGGCCATAATGCCAACAAAAGGCAGAGCCCATAAATTCTCTACTGGCACTGCGATACAAATGTCAAAAAACAAGTCTTACGCTGGCGAATAGGTGACGAAATGAAACATGCTTCAATAGAACTTTTTGGGGAGCGGTGCAGTACTGGTTTGAAGACTCAGTGACCATCTTGGACACGCCTTGATCTGGTCATCTGGTTTAGGTCAAGATGTGTTAAAACTTTTACTGCAAACGATAAAACTAACCATAAATCGAAAATTATAAATTAATAGTTTCTTATTTTTGCACTAGAAGTTAATATGTATGTATATATTTCTCTTTTCTTAAATTTATAATTCATTGTATACGCAAGCATAAAGTGTATCTACTTATATTATTAATTGTATATTATTAATTGTAGTTTATTAGTATTTGTATACACAAACAAGGTCTATTTATCAAAAAGGAGTACTTCATTTACTAAATATAGTTATTGTTTATATATATACCAATATTTATTATTACTTGTCAATAAACCTATAGCAAGGATACTTAACATTCAATCACGTGTAAAATCCCTACAAACTGAACAAGCTTATAATTAAAAAGTTTCAAGCCATCATTCTATATATGATAAGACTTGGGAAGCCACTGTTAATTTTAATACTTGCACATAAAAGTCAATATCCGCATAAGCTTTTATCCAGAGTTGTCAAAACATCCAACACGCTTTGAACCAGCCATTTTTGTTGTCTCCGGAAACTATGCTACAAAAATTAATTTTAAGCCTTTGAAACAATATTAAATTACGGATTAACTTATTGATGCTCGGCAACAAATACATGTTATAAAATATTCAGTGTCTGGCCGAATATTTTGCATATTTATATAGCACGGGTTTTGTTTTTGTTAAAGAAGTGTTAAAAAATGTTTAACTGCTACTGAAAGTGGTTAATACATTTCCCTTTCCAATAGCCAGTTTAAGAACAATTTCGAAGTGAACTAATTTGCATGCCAGACTGTTTTTATTATTCGCAGCATCTTGACTTAATTATAAAATCAAATTGCATCAGCTTTTTGAGATATATAAACCTAAACTCGAGCATAGATTGTCATCAGTCTCAGAAGTTTTCTAGTCCGACAATCAAACCAACTCAAAATGTTCAAGATCGTGAGTATCCCGAGAGAAACATTGGATAGTTCGCCCTCTAATCCTGGATTATCCTAGCTGCTTGTCTGCGCTCTCGCCGCCATGGTGGCCGCCAACGCCAACGTTGAGGTTAAGGAGTTGGTCAACGACGTTCAGGCCGATGGCTTCGTCAGCAAGTTGGTCCTCGACGACGGATCCGCTTCCTCGGCCACCGGAGACATCCACGGCAACATCGACGGAGTGTTCGAGTGGATCTCCCCCGAGGGCGTCCATGTGCGAGTGAACTACAAGGCCGACGAGAACGGCTATCAGCCCCAGAGCGACCTCCTGCCCACTCCTCCCCCAATCCCAGAGGCCATCCTCAAGGCCATCGCCTACATCCAGGCCAACCCCAGCAAGAACTAAGCGACTCCGCCGACTAGAAACATCAAGGATTGGATGCAGCTGGACTGAGCCCGAATTGCTCTCGTCTGCTGTTTAGACCTAAGGAAATGTTGTCATTGGATCCCTAAATAAATTATAATTTGCAAACTCAATCGAGAAATCGTGTTTTAGTGTGTCAAATAAACCCAGCTATAGCAACTTTTGTTAAGCGACACTAACGATTAATGAAATAATGTTTCTGATCCGGAATCACTAGATTATTCGATAATAGGTGTCAAAGACCACCTTGTTAGTTTTAAGACTTTGCTACTGACATTTAGATTTCTAATCTTTTAAACTTATAAATATCAGCAAGTTTATTTAAGCAAGTTTATTTATATCGGGGCGGTAGATAGCAAACACGACTTCTATTATAATTTCAGTCAGAATCAGATCCCATATATTTTTGATTAGCATCACGGTCGGAATCGAAATACATACGTGTGTACGAGTGTTCGTCTGTCCGTTTCTATGTCTTTCTTTTTTGTCTCATAGTTTTAAATCTATCTTGCTGAAACTTTACCAAAAGTTGTGTAGTTATTGCATGCAGTTTATAAGTCGGAACGGGCCGGATCGGGCGACTAAATTAAATAGCTTTCTAATGACTCTTGAATATCATATAGCTGTCATATGAACAATCGTAGAAAATATAGAAACTTAATAGAAAAATCGACATAGCTTCGATGTTGTTTTGCCTTCATGTACTTTGATCGACATAATTGATGACTGCAAGGGTTGCTTTTTTTGTTTTTCTAAATACTAGTATAATACAATTTTAATAAAGTCCTATATTTTTGATGTGACGTTTTTATAATATAAATAACATTGCAATTCCCCAAAATAAGATTTAAGAGCCCCTCAATAGACTCACTTTATCTGCAATAAATGATAACTTTTTGGAAACGCAATAAAAATATGTAGTTCTTAAAAATATGTGGGCTTTATACTTGACTTTGACAATTAGCCAGTCCTAGTCAGGAGTTTCAAGAGAACAAGAATCGACTTATTTTGGTCACCAAAGCATTATCCTTTACCTTGTATTAAATGTTGCACAAATAAATTTATTTATTTTATTTTACTGGTTTACCCAAGAAATAAAATTCTGAGTACTGAAACAAAAATCTCCGAAAAGTATACTTCTCAAAGAGTTCCTGAAGAAAGTTTAATTGCTGGCAAATATTTATTCAAATTTATTTTTCACATATCGGAACACATCTTAAAATGCAAGCAGTTACTTAATTACCCTCTGTCTGGGCGTTATTCTAAATGGATTAAATATTTGTTCAGGCGAACCAGTAGACACATGGCTTAACCTTTTCGAGAAATTCGCTTCTGGGAATCTGTTTAGAATAATTAGGGTAGCAATTTGCATAGAGCAGTGAAAGCTAAAAGAGTGCAGCAGACGATTTTTATCGTCACCGAGCTTGTCAAATCCAACCTGTCCCAAAAACCAAACAAGGCTTATGCTCGCCGAAATGCTAATTAAAAACGGGTTGCATTATCTTCGTGTTTTGTGTGTCGTCTTGTGAGTATAAAAGCCGAAAAGCGATCCCAATTTGGCATCAGTCTCACGAGTTCTCTAGTCTGACAATCTAACTAATTCACCATGTTCAAGATCGTAAGTATCTGGATATAATTTATGGATGGTTTGATATGTTAACCTGCAATATCCTAGCTGTTCGTCTGCGCCCTGGTCGCCCTTGTGGCCGCCAACGAGGACCCCGAGGTTAAGGAGCTGGTTAACGACGTCCAGGCTGATGGCTTCGTCAGCAAGTTGGCCCTGGCCAACGGTGTTGTCTCTTCTGCCACCGGAGATGTGCACGGAAACATCGATGGAGTGTTCGAGTGGGTTTCCCCCGAGGGCGAGCACGTCCGTGTGAGCTACAAGGCCGACGAGAACGGATACCAGCCCCAGAGCGACCTCCTGCCCACTCCTCCCCCGATCCCAGAGGCCATCCTCAAGGCCATCGCCTACATCCAGGCCCACCCCAGCAAGGAATAAGCGATCGACACGACAAGGACTCATCTTCGAACGGGAGAAGCAAACCTCCTTACCCTTAGAATTTAAACAGCATGCTGACTTAATAAGTTTGAACATCGAGTTGTGAAATAAATTCGATATTCTCTGGCAAATACGGTTTTTACTCAGACATGTTCTGAAATCTTTAACGGGAATTCGGGTTGTTCGGAGTCACTGATTTTTTTGGATCAAGATAACCAAATTTGTTTCAGACTGACATGCTCTGTCTGGATGCTGTTTGATTGATCTTGGCAAAAAAACTGGTTTAATTAGCGATACATCTCACTAAAATTACGAATAAAAAAAAAATTGACGGTCCTCATATTAATATAAAAATTTCTTTGAACAAAATGTTAGTGGATATTTAGATCTTATTTGTGTGAATTTTTAATATTATGCAACACAATAAAAACGAAACCGCCTTTAAATGAATGTTAATTAGCACTGCATATGCTAAATAGATTAATTGTTTGCCAAGTCTACGGGGTGGAGACCAAATGTGGTGTTTGCTTTGACAACAAATCAGTTTCTTTGTTTTAGTTGTTGATTGAAAATAAAAGTTGTTTGATGAAAATATAATTTTTTATTTCCTAATAGCCATTATAAAAGAGCGAGTTCTTATAAAATTTCCAATACTTTGAGGATTTTACAAGGCATACCCGAAATTTATGTTTCCCAGTTTTTTAACAACAGGCAAGTGTCCCAATTGACTACTCTTTAAACTTAGTTTTTTTATTTAGTTTTTGTGTGTGTTATATTTATATCTTGAAAAACATTTGTTTCGATTTAACTTAACTTATTATTTTGTATTTAGTTTTTCGTGCATATTCAGTTTAAATCAATAATACAATTTGTTTCGCTTTTTTATGATTATTTTAAAAATAGTAACTGATTTTCCAAAAAAAAAAAATTTTTTCCTAATAAAGAAATGTTTGTTTTTGTGACGAAAAATATTTAAACAAATGAAAAGTAAAAGTTATATCATATCAGCTTCGTATTCTCAGGTCTGCACATTTGATTTGCCTTTACTTATTTAAAGTGTGAACCATTTTTGTGGTGCAATAAAAAATCTGGTGATCTGCTCGAAATGAATATTAATTAGCAGCCAGTATTCGAATGCAAGCAACTTAACATGAACTATTTGCTAAGTCAACTTTGATAATTTGCAGACAGAAAATGATGTGATCTATGCGAAACGGGTTCGAACTTGTGACGAAAACGGGAACTGTTTAGAATAGCACTAAAACTGACAAAGCTAAAGAGCATCAAACTAAATGGAGAAGATAAGTTTTTATTGGAATACAACATTCAACAATTTGTTTTATAATATAGTTCAGTTATATAATAGTTGCAGCATTAAATTGATCGCTTTCTCAGCCTGATCTGAATGCCGTTTTCCGATTTTAGCGTGACGCGAATGTTTAAAACTGGATCGTATTCGCTCTGTGGGACGCAATCCACGCGGGAATGATCGTTGATTCCCGGGGGAAGCCCATTTACGGCTGGTAAGATTTCATATTGGCGCAGCACCTGGGACAGCAGAGCCTTCATTTGATACATGGCAAACTTTTCAGCTGCATAAACATAAATTATATAAAATTATAAGATTAGTAAATTGTCTATACAATTAAAGTATAACCTACCAATGCAACGCCTTGGACCTGCACTGAATGGAACACTCTTGAAAGCCTCAATGCCCACGTTTCCATTGGCTTTCTCGAATCTCTCTGGCTTAAAAGAGCAGGGATCTTCGAAATACTTTTCGTTGTAACCCATGGCAATAAGACACATGATCACCGTGGTGCGCTTGGCCACCTTGGTGCCATCTGAAAGTTTTGATTAGAAAATTTACGTAATCCCACTTTAAAGGGGTTACTTACTGATGTCGATGGGTTTTCTATTGGTTCGTGCGATCAACGGCACAGATGGATACAGTCGAAGTGTTTCTCGAATGATCAACTCAAGGTAGTACATCTGGTCCAGAGAAACCAAGTCTGCCTCTGCCGATAAATTGCTTCCAAAGATGCGCTTCTGTTCCTCGAAAGCCTTGCGCTGAATCTCCGAGTGACGCGACAAAGTGTACAGCGTAAAGGATATAGCGGCGGCAACGGGATCGTGTCCCTATATAAGAAATTGGCAACAAAATAGATACATATGTTAAAAATAAATATTATTTTAGATATATGATTTTTTTATGGAGGGTGATATATTCTTTTCTTTATACTTAATCAACTAGATTTATTTTCAGTACTCTATCACTTACGGTAAAAATAAAGGTAGACATTTCCTCGATGATCTCGCGTTCGTTGAGGGTTCGACCATCTAGTTTGGCGGAGAGTAGGACATCGAGGAAGGGCTTATTAATTGCCTCCTTTTTCTGATTTGTATTTTCCACGAGCTGGTGACGACGCTGAGCAATAATCTGGGAATATATAGACGGTTTTAAATAATTCTGGCACCTTTTTTTTCCCCCAGTTCTTACTCGATTCAGTTCTCTTCGGAGGAGCGACAGAGCCCGGCGCTGTTTCATGAAGTAGGAGGTGAGTCGGAATAGGGTGTCGAACCGCTTCACAATGCTGAAGGTGCGCTCCTGCACCACATCACACAAACTAAAAAATGGAAGGAGCGGGCTTATAGAACTTAATCCCAAGATTTGCCAGCTTGAACTTACTCCTTGATGGCGCCATGCAAATCCGAGGGCTCTTCATTCAGCGAGCTACTCGTCTGGCCAGTGGCATTTTCTGAGAAAAGGAGAGAGAGCCATTGAAAATTGGCAGCGTCGAACAGGCTAAATGAACCCGAACGAATCCCGAAAAATCTCAATAAATTACCAACGGTTAGCAGGGAAATTCTTCAAATCATTTGCCCCACAATATGGGGCCGAGTGTGTTGTATCGTGGAGGGCAAGTACCTCGACCGCGAAACTTTTCCGCCCGCACAATCTGCGGCACTTGTACCCATTTTCTATGCAATAAATCTTATTTATAAAACGTTCATAATAAATTACAAAAAATAAACGAGCGAGACGCCCGAAGTGCGAAACTCGGCCCACAAAACGACATGACAAATGTGTAAAGTTTAGCATTCGTACACACAGCGGAAATATAAATTCCATACAAGTACTGAATATTAAATAAGTATTTGAGCTCAGCAAAATGCTTGCGAAATGAACAGTAGAATATGAAAGTTACATTTTAACAAACAACAAAATAACTCTTTCTGTTTTGAATTTTATGAGACTGTTGAATATTAACTATGCAAAATGACTGAAACCTAATATGCAAAGCTGACATTTGTTTATTGTTTTTAAGGTTATAAGCTATTTTACGAATTTATTGAGAACGTGTTTTTTACTAACTAATATGCATATTTTTCTTGCTATACTTTGATAAGATATAATTCTATTTTTTTTTTACTGTGCATCCCCAATTTGTAAGACGAAATTGCACGGGTAGAATATCAGAAATTTCTCTGAGCTCGATGAACAAGCCCAATCTCACTTACCGCACACAATATCCAGAGTGCACTTGGCAACCAGCTCCTGGGCATCGAATATTTCCTGCGTGGACGCCAGTCCTTCGAGCTTCTGGACAAAATGACCTCCCGTGCGATTGACTACACGTAGATATCCTTCGATGGCGGGACGCTCGAAGGCGGGGAGGTAGAGCTTCTGGTGCTTCAGCCACCGGGCACCGGAACTGGTGAGCAGGCCATCCCCTAGCCAGGGCCTCAAAAAGGAGTACAAATGCTCCTTGTACAGCAGCGAGGAACTTGACAAAATGTTCTGCAGGGCCGGGCCAAATTAACAGGTGGGGATGAATTTAATGGGGGAGGACTCACCTGGATTTCCGCCGGATCACTCAACATCATGTGGTATTGCAGGAAGACAAGGGAACGGAAACCCTGAAAATCATATTTTCGACAGTACTGCAGGACCTTTTTGGGGTATTCTGTGGAGGGCAGAAAGCCATGAAAACGATTTTTGAGCCACGACCACTTTAATTATCGGCTACATGTTCCTAGTTTGCAGAGCACTACAGTTTACAGTTGGGTCTGATTTAGAAAATTTAATTTCAACCCACCACAAGTATTACCATATTTCACAAAGCTTGAGTTACTGTTGCAAAAATACATATTGGGCCCTGATGTTTAATAGCAAACATACTTGAAAATCGGTTTCGAGTGATACAATTAGAGAGTTAAATTAATTGCACCTCACTCGAAGACGGTCAAGGCAATAAAAGTGCATTATCAGACATTTATTCAAATGTATTCTTTCAACTGTTCGAGAGCAATCTAAGGTTGCATAAAAATAATGCAGAAATAATAACAATCAGATAACAATGTGCAGCCCATGGCAGTCCGTCCTGAATTGAAGCAGCAGTCGAGTGGGAAGCAGAATGATATCATCGAAAAGTGTACTGCACCATCGCTTTTTTCCCCCCGGGTATTGTGCATTTGAAATGATTACTTTAGGCACGTGCAGGGAAGGGCGGAGAAACAAGACCGAATTTATTCAGCCGTAAGAAGGAAGGCACTGGGGAAATGTGCACAGAACTTGATGAAAGCTGTATCAAATATTACAATAAATAAGTCGGCAAGTCAGACACAACTCGAGATGAAATCCAAATGTGCAACTCGATACCAGCGGGAGTCGAACGCACTGAATCACAGCGAATATCTTGGCTGCTGAGGGATTCGATTGGACAATCGATTTTGTATAAAACGCTGAAGAGTTCATAAATATAGGCAGGCTATTTGGCCAGTACTTACCGTCTGGCTTGAGGCCAAACTGAAAAAGATTTCCCACGAAGGGATATGGCGTGGGTCCTGGTATCATCTCCATGATGCCAGCCATGTGGTCTATATAGTTAAATATCCTCACACCCTTGAACACCAAAATGGTGGCCAAAATTATGGCTATCGCTATTAGGAACATTATGCCGGACAACTGTTCTCGTTCGCTATTCTATTCAGACTGTTTGCCCAGTTACTTAGCCAGATTATTAGGTGACCAATTTATTAGCCGATAACCCCATCGATTGCTTATCTGTAACAATTTTCTGCATGTTTTTTGAGTATTTGCAATCGATACAAACAGCATTATCAATAGCACAATTAATATGGTGTTTAATTGGTGTCGGTAATAGGTGAATGCATGTTTACTTAGCTACCTGGTCTGAGTAAATTGAGTCACTTGGCTGATGACGTGTGAGTTCAAAGGTGCCGTTGAATTATATGGTGTCAATAAAAGTACTTAGTCGGCTGCTGATAATACATTCGACAGATTATAATTTTAGATTTTGACACAGAAATAATTCGATCAGGAGCGTCGCAAGAGGGATAACATTAAGTTTATACAATAGTTGTGTACATTTAAAAATAGACACATGATTTGTTAAAGATAATAACTTACCATCAGGCCTTAATCCGAACTCAAAAAAATTGCTGACAAAGGGAAAAGGCTTTGATCCTGGAAAGCATTCAATGACCGCAGTAATGTGATCTATGCAGTTAAAAATAGTTACCCCTTTCAACATATATACTATGGTTAAGATAAGCCCCAAAGTTAAAAGACACATAAAAGTCACAAAAACAATGCCCAAAATAACGGTCACTAAGATGCCAAAAATTATAAGAATCATTGTACCGTCAACTTTTACAATCGATTTCACACTAGTTTCTCAGACACTTGAAAAAGAAATATCAGCCAATTTCATGGCCAGAAAACCCCTGATAACTTATCTTCAGCAGTGTAATGCACACTATCTTTGCACTAATGATTATTAATAATGCATTGTTAAGTTTTCCTTCCTAAAAACACTCTCGATAACCTAACTACCCCAATTAAGTGCATACTTATTTCGAGTCTAAGGTTAGTCATTTTATTTTAAATATACATACACATCTAAAGTGGCAATTTAAGATGAAAAGGAAACCGTTTTGAATGTTCTTTGGAACAATTTGTCGTTTTCTTTTAAATAATGGTTGCTTTTTTTAAGAGTACCAATGTGTTAAACCATACCTTCACTCCAAAAAATAAATAATTAATAATTTGTATTCTAATTTTTAAAACCAATATTCAAAAAATTTAAAGATATGGTTTATAAAAATTGGTTCGTGTTTATACTTTAATTGTCCAGTTTATTTTTGACATCCTTATATCAAATCAAGTAATGTTAAAGTTTACTTTACTTCTTTCGATTTGTCCACAAACTGTGGCTTATCACCAGAAGCTAAAGAAATACCAACCAACAACACTCTTTTTTATATGACTCTTCATACACTCTTGCTGATTCGAAAGAGAAAAAATAAAAACTCTCTGTTGACATTCAAATGTTAAAATTATGCGCTGATATTGTTAACCTGTATGAGAGAGCAGCTTTATCAAATCTCGTTCTTATCAGAAGAGTAGTTTGTTTGGAATGCTGTAAAAGCTGTATTAAATCTAACATACAGTTATACATACATACATTATAAAGAACTCCCAACCATGTTGGCCCCCCTTTTCTTCACATGATAATAGTGATGAATACAAAGAGTCTCATCTCTTGAAAACCCGCTTTAAATTGCCTAGTCACGCTGAAAGCACCAAAATATTTACTTATATTCGGGAAGCTTTTGGGGAACAGCAATGCGGCTGGAAATAGAGAGCGAGAAACTGTGTTGCTGGCTGATACCACTCGTATTTAAACCTGGCGTCCGCCCAAATCGACTCTCATACTCCCAGTATTTCGCGGTCGCGACGGTTGTCTTAATACTCACGATCGAAAATGTGGCTCGTTCTGTATGTTTTTCTGGCGCTCCCACTGCTGGTGGTCGCCTATCTGGAGTTGACCACGTTCCGCCGGAGGAGAGTGCTAAATAAGTTCAAGGGACCCAGTGGCCTGCCCCTCGTGGGAAACGCCCATCAAATGGGCAAGAATCCCACAGGTATTTGATCCCCAAAAGCCACAAGCAGGAAAAACGGAGAGGATACCCCGAAATTACCCATCTCGAATAGCGTTGTGACTGAGGTAACTGCGCATCGAATCTACTCAGCGGCAACGCTATTCCAGGTGGGTTATTTCGGGCCAGCGACTTTACGACCGAAAAATTTTGACGTTAACTTTCAGTTAATGGGGCTACTGCCACTTGAAGATATAGGCTAATCGTAGCCTAGGTCTAAAAGTTTCGAGATAAAACAGAGACTTTGATTTGTGTTGCGTAATTTAAAACACGACTCTTCGCAGCTGACATGCATAATTGAGCGTTGCATTCAGAAAATCGCGTGTATAAAACAAACAATGAAAACCTTTGGAACATACTTGCCGCATTCGGATATTGAAGCGTGATCTGTCTACTAATTGGATTTTCTTACATCTATATAGAAATTCTCGACCAAGTATTCTCCTGGTGGCATCAGTTCGGCAAGAATAACTTTGTCTTCTGGATCGGAACATACTCCAATATTTTGGTCACTAGTTCCAAGTACCTGGAGGTGAGTTAGTTGAATATTTTGAACTGTCACGATGACTTTATCGTTTTCGTTCTTTATTAGTTTATACTCAGCAGCCAGACGCTGATTACAAAGTCGGATATCTACAATCTGACGCATCCCTGGCTGGGATTGGGACTTCTGACCAGCACTGGCAGCAAGTGGCACAAACACCGCAAGATGATCACCCCGGCCTTCCATTTCAACATCCTGCAGGACTTTCACGAGGTGATGAACGAGAACTCGAACAAGTTCATCAAGCACTTGAAGAAGGTCGCTGCCGGAGACAGTATCTTCGACTTCCAGGATCAGGCTCACTATCTCACCTTGGATGTTATTTGCGATACAGCGATGGGGGTTTCCATCAACGCCATGGAAAACCGAAGCTCATCCATTGTGCAGGCTTTCAAAGAGTATGTTGGCACCGATACTTGTATACTTTCGTACTATAATTTCGATATCCTCCACAGTATGTGCTACAACATCAACATGAGAGCCTTTCAACCACTGAAGCGGAATGAGTTGCTGTATCGACTGGCTCCCGAATATCCTGCATACAGTAGAACTCTTAAAACCCTCCAAGACTTTACCAACGAGATCATCGATAAACGCATTGAGGCTCACAAATCAGGATCAGTTTCAGCCAGCCAAGGAGATGAGTTCTCCCGCAAGAAGTTGGCCTTTCTGGACACCCTGCTGTCCTCCACTATCGATGGCCGTCCTCTGAATTCTAAGGAGCTGTACGAAGAAGTATCTACCTTCATGTTCGAGGGACACGATACCACCACCTCCGGAGTGTCCTTTGCTGTCTATCTGCTTTCCAGACATCAAGATGAACAGGCAATATAGAGCCCCTTACAAATTTATAGATATCTAACTTCTTATCTTGCAAAACAGCGCAAACTGTTTGAAGAGCAACGAGAGGTGATGGGCGACTCGGAACTGGGCCGCGATGCCACCTTCCAGGAAATCTCCCAAATGAAGTACTTGGATTTGTATATCAAGGAAGCCCAGCGTGTCTATCCTAGTGTACCATTCATTGGACGATACACGGACAAGGACTATGTGATTGGTAAACGTTTAATGAGCTATTTAAAAACGTTTTCTTAACATATTTCATCGTTAGATGGCGAACTTGTGCCTCAGGGCACCACACTCAACTTGGGTCTCGTGATGTTGGGCTATAATGAGAAGGTTTTTAAGGATCCCCACAAATTCCGTCCCGAACGTTTTGAACTGGAGAAACCCGGACCCTTTGAGTATGTTCCCTTCAGTGCTGGTCCACGAAACTGCATCGGTCAGAAATTCGCACTTCTGGAGATCAAGACCGTGGTTTCTAAAATCATTCGGAATTTCGAGGTTCTGCCCGCTCTGGATGAACTCGTTTCCAAGGACGGTTATATAAACACAACTCTAGGACTGCCCCCAGATGAGAGGAAGAAGCGCGATGCATATCGTCACAAGTACGACCCGATTCTGTCCGCTGTTCTGACCCTTAAATCCGAAAACGGTCTGCATATTCGCCTAAGGGAGAGGCACTAAAATTTAATTTAATCGATCTCGAAGAGAGCTCAGCTTTTTTCTTTGTTAAGTTTGGTGCTTGAAATTAGTCCACCCTATTTTGCTTTGTTTCAGTCTACAGAAACAATTATTAAATAACTGCTAATGAGGGAAAGCAAAACCAATAAATAAATCAAAAACAAAGTTTCAAAAACGTGTTTAACCTTTTCTTTACGATGTCGATTATTGCAAGCGGCTCCGTTTCGTGAAATTCTATGAACTCTGCAAACTTTACAACGTCAATCAATTGCTAGAGGTAAACGCCAAGTCATGCTGAATGCATAAAATCATTGGAACATCTGCCAGACTTCGAAGAGATAATGTTGTCGTAGGTTTTTTGAGAGCCAACAAATGGGAGAGATTGAGAACCACTTGCCGCAACCGGTTGGACTATTTAAGCAAAGTGAGGCCCACTTTTTTACTCAAATTCGATTTACTCGCTTCACCGATCGGTTGTCTGCTTTTGTCACTTTTGAAAATGTGGATTGTACTGTGCGCTTTTATTGCCCTTCCGCTGTTTTTGGTGGCCTATTTCGAGCTTGGATCACTGCGAAGAAAAAAAATGTTGGACAAGTTCCATGGGCCAAGTATGCTGCCCGTGGTGGGAAATGCCCACCAGATGGGAAAAACTCCGGCAGGTGAATGCAACTTTTAATTGTGCAATCTTAACTAATCTTGTTCCCACTGGCGACTGAATTTGCCGGAGATCAAAGTCCCATCTAGATAGCATCGCACCTTGGATGTCTGATCACATAACCATTGTGAGCAATGATAACACTGGGACTTTGATCCTATGCTGGTTTAATTAGTCTGGTTTTAAGAAACCAAAGGTCAACAAATTAATTTGTGTTAAAAGGTGTCAATTATAAACAAAGAAAAGAACTTCTCTGTGTTGTGAAATACGTGAAATGGAAAATTAATTTATGTTTGCTCTTACGCCTTAGAGATATTAAACAGATTTTTTGGCTGGTGGCATGAGTACGATAAGGACAATTTCCGATATTGGATTGGATATTACTCGAATATAATGGTCACTAGCCCTAAGTATATGGAGGTGATATCGATTTAATAATAAATCACATAACATTGAAGATGCAATGGATTTTTTTTCACAGTTTATTCTCAGCAGTCAGACTCTGATATCCAAGTCCGATGTCTATGATCTCACACATCCTTGGCTGGGACTAGGACTTCTGACCAGTACTGGCAGCAAGTGGCACAAGCATCGCAAGATGATCACTCCTGCCTTTCACTTTAATATCCTGCAGGACTTCCATGAGGTGATGAACGAGAACTCAACAAAGTTTATTGATCAGCTAAAGAAGGTGGCGGCAGGAGACAATATCTTCGACTTCCAGGATGAGACCCACTATCTGACTTTGGATGTTATTTGTGACACAGCGATGGGAGTTTCCATCAATGCCATGGAAAACCGCAGTTCCTCCGTTGTCCAGGCTTTCAAAGAGTAGGTATTGAAAGAAATTGTAATCATGTATGCAAGAGCTTTAAAATATTCCATTGGGATATTGTGCCAAAGTATTATTTAGCGGGAAATTTTTTATTTTATGTGACTAGCAAAATGCAGAAGAACTAAACAAAAAACTAGTCAAGATCCAAAACTTTCTACCTCTTTTAAGACTGGTGAAAAAGAAGGAGATGTAATCTGATGTTATTTATGTCCTTTCTCAATAGCATGTGTTACACCTTGAAAATGAGAGCGTTCAGTCCTTGGAAGCGTAATGACCTTCTCTATCGCTTGGCTCCCGATTATCCGGAGTATTGTAGTACTTTAAAAACTCTTCAAGATTTCACCAACGAGATAATAGCAAAGCGAATCGAAGCTCGAAACTCTGGGGTCGAGTACAAAGTCCAGGGTGATGAATTCTCCAGAAAGAAGATGGCCTTCTTGGATACACTGCTCTCATCTACGGTTGACGGACGACCTTTGACTTCTCAAGAACTTTACGAAGAAGTTTCGACTTTTATGTTTGAGGGACACGACACCACTACATCTGGAGTTGGGTTTGCAGTCTATCTGCTCTCCAGACATCCGGATGAACAGGTGACCTACACAAAAAGAAATCTGGGATCAACGTCATCGTAATCATTATTTTCTCCGTGCAGAAAAAGTTATTCGATGAACAGTGCCAAGTGATGGGAGACTCTGGACTCTGTCGGGATGCCTCATTTCAAGAGATATCCCAAATGAAGTACTTGGATCTTTTCATAAAGGAGGCGCAACGTCTTTATCCGAGTGTGCCCTTCATTGGTCGTTTCACGGAGAAGGATTATGTGATTGGTAATGCCTTTGCCTTTGATAAGGGTATTAAGTAATGAACGATTTCTTTTTAGATGGGGACGTTGTACCAAAGGGCACAACCTTAAATTTGGGCCTTTTGATGTTGGGTTATAATGATCGCGTTTTCAAGGATCCTCATAAATTCCGACCTGAACGATTTGACCTGGAGAAACCCGGACCCTTTGAATATGTGCCCTTCAGTGCGGGTCCACGAAACTGCATTGGGCAGAAGTTCGCACTCCTGGAGATCAAGACTGTGGTTTCTAAAATCATTCGGAACTTCGAGGTGCTGCCAGCTCTGGATGAACTTGTTTCCAAGGATGGCTACATAAGTACCACCTTAGGGCTTCCCCCGGCGGAGAAGAAAAAGCGGGATGCATACGTCCATAAATACGATCCCATTTTATCGGCTGCCATGACTTTGAAATCTGAGAACGGTCTGCATCTGCGCATGAAGCAGAGGCTTTAAGTGAGATCGCCCAAAAAACGTTCGCTGCATACTCTTAGGCCAACAACTTATCTACATTTTGTTGAGTAAATGTATAAACCGAAATCTATATAACTTCGCTACTTTATTGTCTCTTATTTGAACTAAGTAAGCTTAAACGGCCACCAGAACGGTACCCACATAAGCGTTTGCCACGAATGCGGAGGGCTTGATGACTTCTCCATCGACGTACTGCGAGTTCAGGGAAGTGGTGATGATCTCCGCCTGGGTTCCCAGTGAATAGTACTTGGTCAGGTCCAAAGTCTTGGCACTGCTGCCCAGGTTGAGCACAATCACATACAGATCGCTATCGGTCTTTTGCCTGTTACATGGGAAATATTCAACACCTGCTCAATTGTTATTATGAACTTGCTACTCACCGAGAGTAGATGATCACATCGTCATCGATGGCCTGGATGTTGAGCTCTCCCTGGCGGAAGGAGGGCTCCTTGCGAACTCGCACCAGTTTCTTGAAGATCTGCAGGTGGGAACGCGGAGCACGCAGCTGCTGGAGGGCGTTGTTGGTCTTGTAGTCATCGGAAACTGGCAGCCAGGTGTGATCAGCACTGGTGAAACCTAAGGAAAGGAAAGGTTGATTTTTAAATTGTAATCAAAACAAATAGCTTTTATGTATAACGGTACAACTCTGCTGCATTAAGTAATAGTTATCAGTCTTAAATAAGAATTTCCCAAAGTGTACTTTAATTATTTAACAGTACTTTACCTTTTTAGTAAACACTTGTCTATTTCCTCAAATTAACTGAGATAATTGTAATCTAGGCATGAGTTATGCATTCATTATCAAAAGCTAAAAGCCCTGAAACTAGCACAAGAACGTCAAAATATAATATGTAGTTCGATTACCTATAACAGTATCACTCTAATTTTTCCAATTTAAGACCACTCTAAAACAAATGCCTTTAGCTGGCTAAATTCTTAGTTTTTGAAAATAAATAAATGAAAGAGTAGACTCACCAGCTTTGGAGGAGGCGTCCCACTGGTAGGGTGACCGCGCTGGGTCCCTGGACCGATCGTAGTAGTTGTCCGGGTCGGAGTTGCAGGCGTTGGGGTCCACGGTGTCCTCCCAGCTGATCCACACGTCGGTCATTCCGAGCTCCTCGCCGTTGTAGGTGACCGCGTGACCCGGCAGCGTTTGCAGCAGGATGTTGATGAGGTCGGTGCGCTGCACTCCGAACCGGGAGGCCACCCGCTTGTTGTCGTGGTTACCAAGCACCCAGTTGGCATAGACGCCCGCTGGCATGGCGTCCATCCACTTCTTGATGTGGTCCACGTAGTCGCCGGCCTTCGAGGCGTTGTTGATGCTGGTGAGGAAGTCGAAGTTGAAGGGGATGTGCGAGCCGTTCCTCACTCCGTTGCCGTAGTACTTCATGATGTTGTCGAAGCTGGTGTAGGCCTCCGTCATGAGCAGCCGCTGGTCGCCGCCGTGCTCCTCGTGGAAGGTGTCCACCAGCTCGCGCCACTGGTACACCATGTCGATGGTCTCCGGCTGGTCCTGCGTGTAGATGTGCTGCGTGTAGCAGTGGTCGTCCGGGTCGGGGCAGTTAACCGAGTCGTTGGTCAGCGGTTCGTCCGGGTACTGATTGTAGCGGTCGAGGTCCACCTCGAACAGGTAGGGAACGGCGTCGATGCGGAACCCGGAGACGCCCTTGGCCAGCCAGAAGCGGATCACGTTCTTCATCTCCTCGACGACGGCCGGGTTGCGGTAGTTGAGGTCCGCCTGCTGGATGGCGAACTGGTGGAGGTAGTACTGCTGGCGCACATCGTTCCACTCCCAGGCGCTGTAGCGGAACTCCGAGTTCCAGTTGCTCGGCGGCTCCCGCTCGCCGGTCTCGTTGTTGATCTTGCCGTCGTGCCAGATGTAGAAGTCCTTGTAGGTGGGGTCACTGTCCACCGACTTGATGAACCACTCGTTCTGGTCGCTCGAGTGGTTGGGCACGAAGTCCAGGATGATCTTGATGCCCACCTCCTTGGCCTTGGCGATCAGGCGCTCGAAGTCCTCCATGGTGCCGTACTCCGGCTGGATCGAGTAGAAGTCCGAGATGTCGTAGCCGAAATCCACCATCGGCGACTTGAAGATCGGCGACAGCCAGGTGCCCGTGAAGCCGATGTCCTTCAGGTACTGCAGCTTCTCGGTAACTCCGTTCAGGTCGCCGATGCCATCTCCGTCGGAGTCGCGGAAGGAGCGCGGGTAGATCTGGTAGTAGTTGCCGCTCTCCCACCATTCGGTGGCCCCCACGAGGCCCACGATGGCCAGAAGTAGACACGCAGCTGATTGCGGGCGCATTTTGTTCGATTTTGTCGCTCTGGAGAGCTGACAGCCACCTTTTATACCGCTCGATAAGCGGCTCCTATCGAGATCTGCCCCACTTGGAGTGGCCAGCTGAATTGCTGTGCAAACAGCTCACATGAGTTCTCAGGGTGCTCGAGTCTGCGAACCGAAACTGTCATTGTTTTCGTACTCCCAGCGGAGCTTTACGTAAAGCGATTAGCCTTTGATTGCTGGAAAAATACCGATTTCAGCGCTGAGTGCCGGAATATCTTCCTGAATTGTTGCCGCGTTTGTTATGGTAGGACATTCTAGTGGAAATTACTCAGCTGATAGGAAAAGGCCAAATCCTACTTCTTCAACGGCAAACAAACAACAGCTCACTGGAAAACTATGATTAATACACACTCAAAATGTTGAGGAAATATTGTCAAGATAACCTTGTAGAAGTTTTGTGGGGCATTTTAAACGTGACAAAATATAATTTGTTGCAATAATGTCTAAATTATTGTTATTATCACAGTAAGTCAAGTATCGCTTGATAAGTTAGTAATTCATTAAATTCTTGCATTAGATTATAGGCTATCAAATCAGATAACATGTTTTGACCTCTGGTTATCTGAACATTCAATTAAGAAATATATATAGATAGTATACAAAAAATTAAGGGATACTATATTTCAACAAATAAATATAGGAAAATTGTTAACTAAATTAAAGGATATTATACTTCAACAAATATATAGTATATATGAAAAAAGTTTTCTAAATATACACTATAAGATGGTGTGTTATCAGGCGTGTGTTCTGCTACTTTTAAATCTCCAGTTGTTTTTTCTCAACAAAGCTGGAGACTTTATTAACTAATTTCTGGAAATATATTTAGAAATATTTATGGAAATATATGCTGTTTATCCCAGCAAAGAAGTTTCCTAGTTTTTTGATCATGATCCGTACTAAAAGTTTACTCAATTAATTCAACTTGCTGTTGACGATTTTCTACATAACTACATACACTTTCTACTTTCTACATAAACTATATACACAATGCATTTCAAATTATACATTTGTATGGAGCAATACAATTATTTGAGCCTCGCATGAGGCAAATATTTATACAATAACCAATAAGCCTGATGGTCCCAAATTGGAGAAGTGAGTGTTGAAAGATACATTTTGGACTTCAAATTCTGCTGAAAAATAAAATAAAGTTTTGTTGGGTAGTGTTTAATTTAATTAAACATAAAAACATTGAGTTTGAATTTCATAAATTGTTGGCTCTTACATATTTGGCATGCATTCGCTTCTCAGCAGATTACATTATAAGCCTTTTAAAAAAAAGTTGATAAGTGGTAAAAGGTTGCAGAGGGTGTTGATACATCAACTAGTTTATGTCATACTGATTTTCCTACGTTTGGGGTATAAAATGAGTGATGACGAAGTTTGTTCCTAAAATCTTACAACAATAAATGATAAATATAAAAAAATTGGCTTTGTATTAAATACGGCACGAAAAAACTTAAAATTGATAACATATGAAATTTAATGTTAGCAGTTGAGACGATATCCAATACATCTTTAAATGTACAGAAATGATTGGAAGGTATTGATCCAGTTTTGGAATCTCAGACCCGTCATCGAATTTATTGGTCCTGAAGTTATATTTAACATTTTTATTGCAATTTTACGACACTTCGCGCTTTAGTGGAATATCCAATAAAAAGAGGGGAAATAACAAGTACGGCAAAAGCCCAGTCCGCGGTTATTTAATCTATCAAATATGCGATAAAACACTGACAGATTACCAGTTGGCCGGAGCAATTGCGGCCTTATCGCCTCCCCAATCGCTACATGGCCGGCAATTGTTATTAGCAAATTGAGTTTGGCCCACTCAAACGCTATCGAAATGCCGCAGTGGGCACATCTCGGCCTGGTCTCCCTGCTCCTGGCTTCCTCCGCCTTCGTGGGTGGTGCGGACATCGATTGGTGGGAGAACGCCTCGCTCTACCAGATTTACCCGCGCTCCTTCCAGGACAGCGACGGCGATGGCATCGGCGACTTAAAAGGAATTACCTCGAGACTGAGCTACCTCAAGGAAATCGGCATCACGGCCACTTGGCTGTCGCCCATTTTCACCTCGCCCATGGCGGATTTTGGCTACGACATCTCAAACTTCTACGACATCGATCCGATTTTCGGTACACTTGAGGATTTCGATGCCCTGATCGTGGAGGCCAAGTCGCTGGGCGTCAAGATCATCCTGGACTTTGTACCCAACCACTCGAGCGACGAGAACGAGTGGTTCGAGAAGTCGGTCAATCGCGAGGAAGGTTACGACGACTTCTACGTGTGGGACGATGGAAAGCTCAATGAGGAGACGGGTGAGCGGGAAGCTCCTTCAAATTGGATCAGCGTGTTCAGCGGACCCATGTGGACGTGGAACGAGAAGCGGCAGCAGTACTTCCTGCACCAGTTCTTAGACAAGCAGCCCGACCTCAACTTCACCAACCCGATGGTAAGGGAGCACATGCTGGATGTCCTCAAGTTTTGGCTGGATCGTGGTGTAGATGGATTCAGGATCGATGCGGTTCCCCACATCTACGAATATCGGTTTGCAAATGGCTCCTATCCGGATGAACCCATTAGTGGTTGGGGCAGTGATTCCAATGCCTATGACTACCACGATCACATCTACACCAAGGATCAGCCAGCCACTGTGGACTTGATGTACGAGTGGAGGGCCTTCTTGGATCAGTATCGAGCTGAGAACGGAGGCGACTCAAGGGTTCTGCTGGCCGAGGCTTACTCCTCCGTGGAAACCCTGAGTGCTTACTTCGGCAACAGCACCCACCAGGGAACCCAGTTGCCCATGAACTTCCAGCTGATGTATCTCAGTGGCTACTCCACTGCAAGAGATGTGGTTGGTTCCATCGACTACTGGATGCAGACCATGTGGACGGAGCACCAGACGGCAAACTGGGTGGTTGGTAATCATGACACCAACCGCGTGGCCGATCGCATGGGAGCCCATAAGGTAGATCTCTTGAATGTGATTGTAAATGCCTTGCCAGGAGCTTCGGTAACTTACTATGGCGAGGAGATCGGGATGTCCAACGTGGATGTGGAGTGCACCGGTGACTCCTGCGAGGATCGGGATGGAGAGCGAACGCCGATGCAGTGGACCTCTGGAAAGAACGCCGACTTTTCCGATGGGGAAAGCACCTGGTTGCCTCTCAGTCCTGAGTATCAAAGGTACAATGTGCAGACGGAGCGAGGAGTCTCCAGATCGTCGTTGAACATTTTCAAAGGACTGCAGGCACTGAAAAGCAGTTCTGCCTTTTTGGCCTTCAAGGAGGAAGGAGGCTTCTCCTACGAGGCGGTTACGGAACAGGTCCTGCAGATCATAAGGTAGCTTAAATTAAGCCGTTTCTACATTTAAAACTAAGCTAAGGATTTTCTTGTTTTGCAGAACTAACAAGTACAGCGAGGAGTATCGAATCTTGGTCAACATGGGCAACGACTTGGAGATAATCGATGGACTGGCCTCCAAGACTTACGAGTATGTCCTGGTCACTGCCTACTCCACTCATTATCCGGGGTAAGATTGAGACAGTTTTAACTATGTTAATTTCGTACTAATTTTAATAAATCCACAGGCAAACAGTTGATCTGTCGCAGAGAATCATACTCATGCCCTACGAAGCAGTCGTTTTACGCTGGCAAGCGTAGTGCACTCACTTCTGGTTAAAAGTCAAAACAAATAAATTCCTTGTTATTTTTCCTGTTAAAAGTTTCGAATGCCATTGGGGTCCCCCATAAAGATAAGTTTGTCAGCTACTCGACTCATGTGATATATTATAGCGAACTTTGAGTGTCAATTACCGAAAACCCAACTGTAGCATTAACCACTTAAAGATACAGAATATTTTCCGTAGTAGAATTAGCTAACACACTTTCTGTGGATTAATTTGTTAATAAACGCAATCGATAGTAACAGCATGGGAACTAAAAAAAATTATTCTGATACGGGCTAATTGCCCAATAAATTTAATAACCATTATTCAAAACTTTCAGTGGGTCCGATTCTAATCAGTGCTTATACAACTTTGTGTGGGTCTATCATAAAGATAAGGAACCCGTTGAGTAACCCTACCCCCACGAGGAAACTAAATACTCAATGTTTGGTTTGGTTAAACTTTATTTAAGAACTATTCAGCTAACTTAGACTGTGCTCAGCACGACGGCTTCCTTGGGCATCAGCAGCACAGAGTTGGCATAGGTGAGGTCGCTAAAAATAAATGAATTAGGTTAATAAATAAATGTAACAAAATGGTGACCAAAACTCACTTCTTGCGACGCACACTCTTGTCATTCACCACCACATACTGCAATTGCGTGGAAATGGAGGTGAAGACGGAGTCCAGATTGATCGACTCGACATCATCGTTGATGTTGATGACGGTGATGTAGGACTTCTCTCCAGCCAGGGATCTAATAGATAGAAGATAGTTTTCAGATTGCGTTTCAAAGCTAAGAGTTAATCAAACTCACCGCTTAAAGGCCAGCACATTGGGTCCAATGGCGGTCACAGTGACATCTCCCTGCTTCAAAGTTGGCTCGTCGCGCAGAGCTCGCAGCTGCTTGTAGACATTCAGGTGGCTCAAGGCGATGCCGCGCTCCCTCTTGATGTTGACCAGCTTGTAGTCGGAGGCGACTGGGAGCCAGGTGACGGAGGCGTTGGAGAAGCCGGCGTTCTGCTCGTCGCTCCACTGGAAGGGAGTGCGCACGGGGTCGCGGGTGAGGCGCTCGAACTCCTGCTCGTTGGACTGGCAGGCCTGGGGATCGACGGTGTCCTCCCAGCTGATCCACACGTCGGTCATGCCCATCTCCTCGCCCTGGTAGGTCACACTAACTCCAGGCAGAGTCATCACGATCATGTTGCAGGCGTCGATGCGGTCGGCACCCAACCGCGATCCAATGCGACTCTGGTCATGGTTGCCGAAGACCCAGTTTGCCACCTGGCCCTCGGGCATGTTGTCCAGCCAGTTGTGGATCAGCTCCGAGTAGTGGTAGGCGTCGGAGCTGTAGCTGATCTTGGCCAGCAGCTCGAAGTTGAAGGGGATCTGGGAGCCGAGGTGGGTTCCGTTTCCGTAGTACAGCATCAGGGTTTCCAGCGGGGAGTAGGCCTCGGTAAGCAGGACGCGGTCGTCTCCACCCAGCTCGGCGTCGATCTCCTCGATCACGTCGCGGAAGGCGTAGACCAGCTCCAGGGTCTCCGGCTGGTCGGTGGTGTAGATGTGGTTCAGGTAGGTGTAGTCCTCGGGATCGCTCACATCCTCGTTCCTCGGTTCATCCGGCCAGTTGCCATCGGCATCAGCTGGGATTTCGTAGACATGGGGCACCGCGTCGATGCGGAAGCCGTAGGCTCCCTTCCTTAGCCAGAACCGAAGGACAATCTTCATGGCCTCCACCACTGCGGGGTTGCGGTAGTTGAGATCGGGCTGCTTGGCGTGGAACTGGTGGAGGTAGTAAGCCTGGCGACCCTCGTGCCAGGTCCACATGGATCCGCGGAAGACGCTGATCCAGTTGTTAGGTGGCTGGCGGATGCCGTTCACCACCTTGCCGGTGTGCCAGACGTAGAAGTCCTTGTACTCCTCCTCGCCAGCCGCCGATCGGATGAACCAGTCGCACTCGTCGCTCGTGTGATTGGGCACAAAGTCCAGGATGATCTTAATGTCCAGCTCCTTGGCGCGGGCCACCAGGGCCTCGAAGTCCTCCATTGTGCCGAAGATGGGATCGATGTTCTTGAGATCGGCCACATCGTAGCCAAAGTCAGCCATGGGAGAGGTGAAAATCGGGGACAGCCAGGTGGCGGTGATTCCGATTTCCTTCAGGTAAGCCAGCTGTTGTGTAATTCCTGATTGGATTGGTAAAATAAAACCCATTTCGCAGAGAGTATCACAACTAAACTCACCAATGAGATCGCCCACACCATCGCCATCGCTGTCCTTGAAAGACCTCGGGTAGATCTGGTAGAACTGACCCGTTTTCCACCAGCCAACCTCCGCGAGGGAAGGCAAAACCAGAGCCAAAAGGCAGGAAAGAGCCAGCAACTTCAACATGGCTCCCACTAAATCGATCGATTGCCAATGACCAGGGGGATTATACGGTTCCCCTATTTATGCACACTGCTCTAGTTGATAAGGCCGCGATAAACCGGCCATATAGCCCACTATTTCTGATTAGCACTGCTGGCAGATTTACTACCACTTCGTTTTACCAACAAATGGATTCTCTTGATATGGCGGTTGTGGAATTTATTGGACTGAACTTTGAGGGGCTTCGAGCTGGCTCACGTCTGAAGATCATGAGACAGATTGGCAGGCAAATGGATGAGAACTGCATATGGGCATATCTTATCGGACCATTGGTTCCTTGGCTCTCGCAGGGGGCGGTAATTTATTACCTCACTTTTAACGGGAACAACATTTGGGGTCTTACGCCCATAAAAGTGGGGGAATTGGGGGTTCAAGGTTGCGATAACATATATGACTGATATGATTCAATAACTGAATCTTTATGAGTGTAGGTCGTTGATGGATAACTGCTGCCACAGATTGATATTGAAGAATTATTTTTAGTATGTGTTTTCGTTCAAGGTCAAGGATACCGGAATAAATTATTAGTGCACTTCTATAAGGGGATCTTTATGCCAATGGGGAAGAACCTTTCAAGATTTGGCATCATTAAAACCTAATCATATTCAAGCTGCGCAATTTGAAGGAATAAATTATTTGTTTACTTAACTTCGGGGATCTTTGGGTTAGCAACCTTAAATCAGAGGTGGCGTGGTTTCTTTTAACCATTACAAAAATATCTCCTTCTTTTGTTTTGGAGCCAAAGGTTTCGTCATATATTTTCCCCAGGTGGTCGCGTGGGTTTCGCGCCAAACAGTCTTAATCGATAAGCTCCTTAGATTATCGCCGTATATAAGAAACCGATTGAAATCGCACAATATTCAGTTAGCAATGACCACTTGGACTAGCCTGTTTTTGCTATTTGGCCTTGGCCTTCTGGCCGCCGATGCAGCAGCTCCTTGGTGGAAGACAGCTTCTTTCTACCAGATCTACCCACGATCCTTCAAGGACACTGATGGCGATGGAGTGGGGGACCTGAATGGAGTAACCGAGAAACTGGAGTATCTGAAGGAGATCGGAGTAACCGCCACCTGGCTGTCACCCTTCCTGAAATCCCCGATGGCCGACTTCGGATATGATATTTCCGACTTCAAGGCGGTGGATCCTCTTTTCGGAACGATGGAGGACTTCGAGGAGATGGTTGCCCGCTCCAAGGAGCTGGGTGTGAAGATCATCCTCGACTTCGTGCCGAACCACTCGAGTGATGAGTGCGACTGGTTCCTGCGATCGGCTGCCGGCGAGGAGGAGTACAAGGACTACTACATCTGGCATCCGGGATTCCTTAACGAAGACGGAACCCGTCGTCCACCCACCAACTGGGTGAGCGTTTTCCGGGGAAGCGCCTGGGAGTGGCACGAAGGTCGCCAGGAGTACTATCTGCACCAGTTCCACAAGAAGCAGCCGGACTTCAACTTCCGCAATCCCGTGGTGCGCGAGGAGATGAACAATGTGCTGCGATTCTGGCTGGAGAAGGGCGTCGATGGATTCCGAGTGGATGCCATCTACCACGCCTTCGAGATCGAGGCCGATGAGAACGGCAACTACCCCGATGAGCCCCGCAACGATTGGACCGATGACCCAGATGAGTACGGTTACACCCACAAGATCTACACCGTCGATCAGCCGGAAACCCCTCACTTGGTGTAAGTTTACTAGTTCTGGATATGCCTTACAAGCTTTTAATCTTTAATAAATTTCAGTTACGAATGGCGTCAAATCCTCGAGCAGTTCCAGGCCGACAACGGCGGCGATGAGCGGTGAGTAATTTTATAAACGATTTAATAATAGGGGAAATAAAACGATTCTTTGAATTATTCAGCATTTTGATGGTGGAAACATGGTCCCCAATTGAGATCGTTATGCATTATTATGGCAACGAGACCGCCGACGGTGCCCAGATACCATTCAACTTCCAGCTGATAAGCAATCTGCACTATGATTCCGATGCCTATCACTACGAGTACTTGATTAACAACTGGCTTAATCTGATGCCCGAGGGCAAGAGCGCCAACTGGGTGGTAAGTTTCGGGGGGTTGGTTGCTAATCAGCAATTAGTTAGTCACTAACAACGGGAAACAAATTTTAAAGCCGAAATATTAGTATTTTAAACTGCTTTCTGTAAAGAGATTTCAAATCATTTTTGTTATAGGATCTATTAGTTTTTTTAGGGAAAATTGTTGTGCAATTTTTATATTTGTTCTGGCCATTTCAATGCGTGAAAACTTATATAATTCTTGTTATGTGGACCTCCAGTCTAATAAGCAGTTTAAATTCTATGCAAATAAAAGCATTATTCTTTCTTATACTATTTTAATTTTTTTCTGCAGATCGGCAACCACGACAAGAACCGCGTGGGCTCCAGATTCGGAGCTGATCGCGTTGACCTCTTCAACATCCTCCTGCTGACTCTGCCGGGTTGCAGCATCACCTACAACGGCGAGGAGTTGGGCATGCTCGACGGGTACGTTTCCTGGGAGGACACCGTGGACCCGCAGGCCTGCAACGGCTACGAGTCGAACTACATGGATAATTCGCGTGACCCGGCTCGTACTCCGATGCACTGGTCGGATGAGACTCTGGCTGGGTTCACCACTGGAAGGAGCACCTGGCTGCCAGTGGCTTCCGATTACCCGCAGAGGAACGTGAAGACGGAGCGCGGAGTGTCCTTGAGCCACCTGAACGTCTTCAAGCGCCTGCAGCAACTGCGCAAGGAACCGAGTATCGAGGAAGGATCTGCGGAGATTAAGGCCGTTAGCAACTACGTCCTGGCTGTCAAGCGGTGAGTGAACAGAACAGAATCTGCACATAGTTATGTCTGAAATTCAGGCCCAATCTTGTTGCTCATTGGAATACTATACGATTAATAAACCCATTATCTATTCCGCAGCCATCTGAGCGGCGACTACGTCTACATCTCGCTGTTCAACATCTTCGACTCCATCGAGAATGTGAACCTGAACAATGTTTTTGGCAGCCTGCCCTCCAAGTTCCAGTACGCCCTGGTCACCGAGAAGTCCATCAAGAAGGTTGGCGACCAGTTGGCCTCCAGCAGTGTGACACTCATGCCCCACGAGGCCATCGTGCTTCGATCCACAACAACGGCTTAGTTTATCTCCCTTGTGATGAATAAATCAATTGACAAGCATTATGATTCACTTGTTTTCAATATTCCCGGATTTGATGAAGATTTAAATGCTTTTAAAACAGCTAACGAGTTTATTCCCCTTTTAATGCATTAAGCAATTGATAAGCATAATAATGTACATGTTTTTAAAATTTTGGGAATTTAGGAAGACATCAATACTTAAAAATCTATTCAAACGGCCAAATAAACCCTATTTGGTAATGCATAATAGGTAGGTCATTTAATTATAACTTTAACAGATGTAGAGCTGTAAATTGTTTTTAAACAAACAACGGCTTAGTTTATCTCTCCTGCAATAAATTAAACAATTGACAAGCAATATAATTTACTTGTTTGAAATATTCTAGAAGAGTACCCTCAATACCTTAATAAATGCTATCAGCAGAAATGATTTATATTAAATAGTTAAATAATAATTAATGTACATTAACTGTTTATTTTCTTTAAAAAGCGTATTTGAGAAAAAGATTTAGATTGCGATTAAGGTTTATATGGTATATATGGATAATATATATTGGGTACTATTATAATTATAGTATATACATATGTACATACGTGTACATAGATATGTATGATAAGTGCAGACATTATGTTTTATAGTTCTGCCGTGAATCTCTCCGTTGATTTACCCTTTCCTTTGAAATTGGCGACCGCAGATAACAGTTCTATACTCTCCCACGATCTCTGGTCAGCCGCTCAGTTTTTCTCTCGATTTCGTGCGCAGTTTATAAATAAAATATATGCATGCTGTACATGGGCGTAGAGAGCAACAAAGCATAAGTTCAAAATAAAATCTAGGTCTCACATAATTTGGAAAAATCTGTAATACCGAATACATGATTATATAAATCTGCGAGTTTTTTATTTGAAAGGTTTTTTTTTAAAGGAAAATATTAGCCTATTACCCTTCTACAAACATTTGAGACTAAGACCATGCTGATTTCTCTCCCCCACTCTTCGGCATTCCTATGAGAAAGGGGGTCGTATTTTCTGTTTTTTAAACTTTTGCATTCGGTCGTCAGTCGCATTTGTGCGATCGGTTGGAGCAGAAGTGATTACTCGACAGTTTAACTGCAACACAAGCAGTTCAAAATGATTAAATACCGCCTGTGGGCATTGTTCGTGGTAGTTCTTCAGGTCCTTGGCCTAACCCGAAGTCAACCCTTTCCCAACTACCATGCCAATTTCGTGGACATCGAAAGTGAGGAGACCGATCTCAAGTGGTGGCAGACTGGCGCCTTCTACCAAATCTATCCAAGGTCATTTAAAGACAGCAACGGCGATGGCGTGGGCGACTTGAATGGTGAGGAAAACAGAGAAAGTTCGCTACATAAGTGTTCTGTACTTACTTGATTTGCTTTCAGGCATTGCTGAGCAACTGCCCTACCTCAAGGAACTGGGAATCACAGCCACTTGGCTGTCGCCCATATTCACCTCTTCCATGGCCGATTTTGGCTACGACATTGCCAATTTCACCGAGATCGCTCCGATATTTGGAACCATGACGGACTTTGAACACCTGATGCAGGTGGCCAAGACGCTGGAGATCAAGATCATCCTGGACTTTGTGCCCAACCACTCCAGTGACGAGTGCGAGTGGTTCCGACGCTCCGCGGCCAAAGATCCTGAGTTCAAGGACTTTTACGTATGGCATCCTGGAGGAATGGATAACGGGAAGAGGGTTCCGCCCTCAAATTGGATCAGTGTTTTCCGGGGAAGTGCTTGGCAGTGGCACGAGGGTCGTCAGGAGTACTATCTCCATCAGTTCGTGAAGAAGCAGCCCGATTTGAACTACCGCAACCCAAAAGTTCGAGAGGCCATGAATGTGAGTAGTCGATATTGATCTACTAAAGTTGGTAACCCTTTTTTCAATTTGACTTACAGAACGTTTTGCGGTTTTGGCTAGCAAAAGGAGTATCCGGTTTTCGCATTGATGCGGTGCCCCATGTCTTTGAGATTGCGCCAGATGCACAGAATCAGTACCGCGATGAGCCGCGCAACGACTGGGACAACGACCCCGAGGACTACGGTTATCTGCAGCACATATACACCAAGGACCAGCCGGAGACCATTGACCTGGTCTACTCGTGGCGAGCGGTACTCGACGCTTTCCAGCGGGAACACGGCGGCGAGGAGCGCATCTTGATGGCCGAGACCTATTCACCCATCGATATTGTGATGCAGTACTACGGGAATGCGACGACGGAGGGCGCTCAGCTGCCGTTCAACTTTCTGCTGATAAGCGAATTGTCCAACTCGTCGAATGCCCATGCCTACGAGGGAACGATTCTCAAGTGGCTGCAGCACATGCCCAAAGGTCGTACAGCTAACTGGGTGGTAGGTGCTCACGAGAGGGCTTCATTATCTGGAATTAAATAATAATATTTAAACTATTCTCCCAGTTGGGTAACCACGATCAACCTCGAGTGGGTTCCCGTTTGGGCAGGGACAGAGTGGACATGCTGAACATGCTCACTGCCACTTTGCCGGGGGCGAGTGTCACCTACCAAGGAGAGGAGCTGGGCATGACCAACGTGTGGATCTCGTGGAAGGACACCGTGGATCCCTCCGCCTGCAACACCAATCCGAGCATCTACGAGCAGTTCTCCCGCGATCCGGAGCGCACTCCCTTCCAGTGGACCGATGCCCAGGATGCCGGGTTCAGCAATGCCAGCAAAACCTGGTTGCCCATTGCCCTTGATTACAAGCAGGTCAACGTGGAGCTGGAAAGACAGAAGCCTCTGAGTCACCTGAATGTTTTCAAACAGCTCTGGCAACTGAGGAGGGAATCGAAGACTCTTCAACGCGGCGAAACTGAAGTCAAGGCGCTAAGTGACGCAGTTTTGGCAGTGAAAAGGTAACAGATAACAGATAATTTTTAATTTTAATGGGTTCGGTACACCAGGAAGTCTACCGTTTCTTCTCAAGTTAGTATTATCAAAGTATCCCTTTGATGCGGAAGTGATTAATTACTTTCGAAAATTGTATAATATCATATATATTTTTTGCCACTTACATGATACGAGTATAATCTTGGTTTCATTTTTTTCCATTTTAATCACAATATCTGTTCGTAGGTACCTCGAACATGACTCAAACTACGTGACCCTGCTGAACATCTACGATGGAGTGGAGACCATCAATCTGCAGCAGAGCTTCCCCGACTTGCCTCCTCAGCTCACAGTTGTGCTGGTCACAGAGCGATCTCAAGTGAAAGTGGGGTAGGTCGTGCACAAAATGTATATTAATTAACTAATTATTAATTAAACAAATGTCCGATTTCAGCGATCTCTTGAACTCCACCTCGCTGCAACTGCAGCCCAAGGACTCGCTGGTCCTGAAGTCCACATCTTCATATTATAGTTATGCCACCAATGGAGAGACTCGATATCTGCCCATTCTGGGGGTCTATCTCTGGCTGGCTCAAGTGGCGCTCTATCTGAGCAATCGATGAGTTCCCATACTCTGTTCCAGCTGCTAGTTTAGTAATTAAATACTCGCAATAAACGCAGTCAAAGCACTTGAACACTTATCGCTGGAAAAATCTCTGGGAGTCGGTCTATAAAAGCGGGATCCCATGGGATCGCTGGTCAGTCAGCCATGGCGTGTTTGATAAGCTTATTCGTAGTGTTCCTAGTATTAGGTCTACACTGCTCCCTTGGGAGGTCCGCAGCAGTAGACCTCGACCTAGAGAGGGCCGCCACCTCAACGGAAGCCACTCGAGATTGGTGGCAAGTGGCACAGTTCTACCAGATCTACCCCCGTTCCTACAAGGACTCCAATGGCGATGGCATCGGGGATCTGCAGGGAATCATTTCCAAGCTGGACTACCTGAAGGAGATTGGTGTGACGGCCACTTGGCTGTCGCCCATTTACAGCTCCCCCATGGCTGATTTCGGCTACGATATCTCCGACTTCTTTGACATTCAGCCAGAGTACGGAACCCTCGATGACTTCGACGAGCTTATCGCGGAGGCCAACAAGCGGAACATCAAGATCATCCTCGACTTTGTGCCGAACCACTCGAGCGATGAGAACGTTTGGTTCCAGAAGTCGGTGAAAAGGGAGAAGGGCTACGAGGACTACTACATGTGGCACGACGGCTATGTGAATGCCTCCACTGGGGAGAGGGAACCCCCTTCCAATTGGCTGCAAGCTTTCAGGGGAAGTGCCTGGGAGTGGAACAAGGAGCGCCAGCAGTACTATCTCCACCAGTTTGCAGTGAAGCAACCCGATCTTAACTACAGGAATCCCGCCGTGGTGTCGCAGATGAAGCGGGTGTTGACCTACTGGCTGGACCGAGGAGTGGCTGGATTCCGCATGGATGCGGTGCCCTGGTGCTTCGAGGTGCTGCCCGATGCCGAGGGTCGTTATCCCGACGAGCCGCTGAGTGGCTACACCGATGATCCGGACGACTCCTCCTACCTAAAACACATTTACACTCAGGATCTGCGCGAAACCGTTGAAATGGTCTTCCAGTGGCGCACACTGTTGGATGATTACCAACGGATCCACGGTGGCGACACCAGGGTAATCATGGTGGAAACCTACTCTGGGTTAGATTACGTGATGCAGTTCTATGGCAATCGCACCACCAAGGGAGCTCAGATGCCCTTCAACTTCCAGTTCATTATCGGCGGCAATGGGGACAAGAACAACACTCAGCTGAACGCAGCGGGTTTCGTTAAGATCATCAACAGCTGGCTGACCCAAATGCCCGCTGGTCAGACGGCCAACTGGGTGGTAAGTGATACCAAACTTAAACTAATACTTAACACTTATACTATTATTACGTTCCTAAAATCTTGGGGTAACCCCAACTTTGGGTATTGCATTTTTCAAATTCGATTTTAAATCAATCTTGTTTATAATGAAGTTTCTGACAAGTTTATTATCTGACTTAAGTGACGTAATTCTTTCGAAATCAGACCAATTAATGAAGCGTAATCGTTCTTGAAAGCTACTAAAGTCAAGTGTTGAGGGATTAAGAAATATTACAAGTGTTTTCATACTGGTAACAGTCATATAAAACTTGTTGACACCTAAAGTACTTGATTTAAGCACACAATTCTGGGTTGTTTTGCTAAGTATACCAAGTATTTCACAGATGGGTAACCATGACCAGCGGCGAGTAGGCAGTCGCTATGGAGAGAACCGCATCGACCTGATGAACATGCTGCAGATGTTTTTGCCCGGCGTGAGCATCACTTACCAAGGAGAGGAGCTGGGCATGACCGATTTGGACATCAGCTGGGAGGACAGCCGGGATCCAGCGGCCTGCAACTCCAACTCGGAGATCTACGAGCAGTTCACCCGCGATCCTGCCAGGACACCCTTCCAGTGGAGCGCCGAGGCCAACGCTGGGTTCTCGACCAACGCCACCACTTGGCTGCCAATCAATCCGAACTATGTGACCGTGAACGTTCAGACAGAGAACTCGACGAGTCCCAGTCACTTGAGTTTATATAAGCAACTAGTGGAGCTGCGCAAGCAGAAAACCCTTCAGTTTGGCTCCACTCGATATGCGAATGTGGGTGACAATGTGGTGGCTATCAAGAGGTATCTGAGTGGGAACACCACCTATGTGCTGGTGGCCAATGTGCTGGACACCACCGTTTCTGGATTGGATGTGGCCAGTCCTCTATATACCACTGAAAGCTTCAAGATCAAGCTGCTTAATCCGCAAGCAAAAGCCACAGTCGGGTAAGTCCTCATTAAGCGTTCTTAAATCAATTCCCCTTTTCACTTTACCTCCTCATCTTTACAGCGATAGCGTTACGCTGAGCAACTTGTCTTTGGAGCCATACGCAGCCCTGATTTTGGAGTCTGTCTAGAGTTTACATAATCATAAGTTTGAAAAGAAAACACATATACACATACATAAAGTACATCGATAATGTGGCTTGTTATATGGGCATATAAGTCATTGGGGGCGAACGACATTGGAAAACTTTTCAATTTTAAGGTCGCGTGCTGGGCCAACTTATTATAAATTATTAAGGAACTTTGTCCTGACTCAAGAGTCAGCGGACTGGCGGCGGGGCAAAAGAAATTCCATTAGACGTGATTGATAAGACACACAAATCACGCATACGCAGTGTTGCGCTGCCACGCAGAAACCAAAGGACCGCAGAAGGTGTCTCGGAAATGAGGCAAACTCATCGCTGAGTGTGCGTTGGCGTTTCCTTTTTTTGTGTCAGTGGGTGTGTCCGTGGATGTGCACGATGTACTTGGCAGTTCTGCGGCAAAGGACCCTGGTTAGCTTTTTAATTTACTCATAAAAATAAAGTGAAGTTATGGCGAAAACGAAAGAGCGGCTATTTTTAGTAGCCATTAGTACTGTCCGCCAAAGTGCTCTGTATTTTTGAAACCGTTTCCACGTAAGTGCACCATCATCACACTCAGCTCGGAATGGCAATGCTCATCGCCGCCAATTGTTCTGTCATCGGCGGGCTCTTTGCGGCATTAGCTGGCATCCTTTCCCCCAAAAAAACGTCAACCGAACCCCAAACATCATGCCCCAAAAAACATCAGCTACGTGAGAGTCATTCAAACGAGCGAGTGCCGACCTCAAACCCGAGCAGCCAACCCGTTCAGCAGCAGTTATGAGCCATGTTTGCGGTGCAATTAATGAGCGGCCTGCGATTAGGCCAACTTTCAGGCCTCACCTGCCCTTCTGGCCAACTGTCCAACTGTCCGCCTTACCGACTGTCCAACTGGCACGTGCCAAATCAGAAACCAGTGAACGCAGCTCGTTAAGAGTGGCTCGAAATCAAACTCGAGTATTAGCCCCGCATTATTAATATGCAAACGTTGTCGGTACTTCGAATACGTTAACTACATAAATGTGCAGGGATGTGGATGTGGATGTGCCCGTGCCAGGATGATGAAGCTCGCTTCCGGCTTTTTGGGGCACGAGTCCTTGCAGATTACGGCGAGCTTAATGCGTTTTAAAACTTTTCCAATCGGAAGGGGAGCCAACTTTTGTCCGACCTGGGTAAATCTGCGAAAATCATCTTGAATGTAATCATTTCGGAGCCTTCGTCAAACATTGTGGCTGAGTCTCTTTGGGAAATTAACTTCATTATCTGCCCCAAAATGAAAATGAAATGCACAAAGGCAGAAGGCTTTGTCCCACTGCCACCTGGCCTCCGTCTGGCCGGCCAGCCGTGCCAGGCAGTCTGTCCTGCGGTTTTCATTTTCACAATTCCACACACTTTTTTTTAAGGTTTCTGGTCACGTGCGCAAGGGTAAAGTGGCCCAGCCAGCCACTGGCAGCCGTGTCTGTGACCTTTTTAATGGGCTGACGGGTCACGCAGCCATTTACACGATTCCATTTTACTCATTCTTGTGGCCCGGCCGCCACTGACTGCTAATTTTTCAGTGTCAAAGAGAAATCAAACGGTTCGAATGCCTCTCAGATTATTTAAAAGGAAGAAATAATTTGTAAAGATTTCCAGGCAGCCGCATTACAGTGAAATTCAATCTCGTTATTGTTCTCAAACTAATCGCACGTGAAATCCACTCGAGCCAGGTAATTACTCGGGTTCACCGAGCGTTAACAAAATTGTTATTTTAGACGCACCGAAACCGCAAAACAGTCCGACAGGTATCCCTTTCCACTTACCTCTGCGATTTCTATCCCCACCCAAGGGAAGGGAGGCAAGTTTCGGTAAGTCTGAAATCTTTGAACCACCGGGCGTATACTTGATGTCTGGGTATCGCAAGTCGTCTGCCAATTACCATGTGTAAACGCAATTTAATTATTTATAACGCAATTGAAGTTCTGCTCTCAGCCGCCCTCTTTTGGGGGCAAGAGTAAATACTGTGGGGTTGTTTCACGAAATTCCGAGATTGGTAATAAATCTCGCCCGGCGAATTCCCCCAGCTAGCTGAGCGAACTCATCAAGCCCCCCTGGACGGTCCCGATCCCGATCCCGACTTCAAAGAGCCCCGCGATGCTGGGGGCCCAGCTTGCCGACTTATAGGCCTAGTCCCTGGTCGCCGTCCGTATTTACATTGTGTAGCGCACACATTCCTTGGCTCTCGAGCGAGCACACAGTGTAGAACACCAAACACTCGCCGAGGGGCCGGGGACTTTTGCTTGACTTTAATTTGTGTGTAAACACTTTAAATGCGAAACCCCTCCGCCGAGCGGGAATTAAATGGGTATGCCGGGCACTTGAGCTTATCTCACGGGTTCGGTGGGAAGGGGCTTTCAGGATATGTGCGGTGCTTCTGGGGTGAAGTGGTTTGTTTGTCTGGTTTTTCACTTATATATTTATTTATGCACGCCATGGCATATTTGCTTTGAGCCGAAGATAAATACCGATTGAGTGGCCTGACTCAGTGAGCTCAAAGTTCCAAGTGCGTCGCGCGGAAGACGTGGAATGCCGCATCAATCGAACCGGGAAGCACTGCTGTCGCTCAAAACCAAGGACTCGCCGGCAGCCAAACTCAGTCCGGTCACCTCGAACAGCGAGCTGAAAAGATGTGGCCAGGATGTCAGAAATGTGGTCAGCACTGGGATGAGTTGCTTACCCCTCCGACTTGGCAGACTGCAGGCTGCGAACGAGGAGCGTCAAGTGGGTGGGAAGTGTCTTGTCGAAATCGTATAAATTCACTGTGACACCCTTGCTGGCGAAGTTGGCCACATAAATTATGGATGTGGAGCCGGCGAGGTAACTGCAAAGGTAATGGTTCGGCACGTTCTCGTGAGTACTTCAAGGAATTCCATAATGAAGTGCAACGGCTGAGGACTTCCGGTGCATAATTTGCAGGTAAACACATTAAGTGTCACAATGCATCGACTGTGCGCATTAATTCTACCCATACTTCCAGGGGCTTAACTGAATTGCCTATTTCTCCCTTTAAAATTGGAATGGGATGTATTACTCACCGCTTAACGACGAACACATTCTCGCTAATCACGCCATATTTCGTGGAACCATTCTGCAAGGTAAGCGAGGATCTTCTCAGTTCCACCAGGGACTTGTAGATTTTGAGGTGAGACCTTTGAGCTGCCTGCTCCGTTTCCACATTCACCGTTTGGTAGTCCGCTGCCAGCGGCAACCAAGTCTTCGATGCAGTCGAGAATCCTGCATTGGTGCCACTCGACCACTGGAAGGGTGTCCTCGAAGGATCCCTGGTGAACTGCTGGTAGATTTCCGAGTTGGAGTTGCAGGCCGCCGGGTCCTGGGTGTCCTCCCAGCTGATCTCCCCATCGGTCATCCCGAGTTCCTCGCCCTGGTAGGTGACACTCGCTCCCGGGAGGACCATCACCAGCATGTTCATGGCATCCGCATTTGCAGCTCCATATCGACTGGCCGCCCTCCGCTGATCGTGGTTGCCGATAACCCAGTTGGCAGTGCGACCGGCGGGCAGGTTGTCCAGCCAGTTGTCCACTGCCGTCTTTATGGATCCCGCCGAGAAGCCATCGCTGGCGGGAACCGTAATTAAATTAAAGTTGAAAGGTAGGTGGGCACCGGCCACTGAGCGGTTTCCGTAGAACTGCATTGTGTAGGCGGGAGGGGCGTAGGTTTCGATGAGAAGAACCCTGGTGTCACCGCCGTGGATGCGCTGGTAGTCATCCATTACCACCCGCCACTGGTAGGCCATGTCGATGGTCTCCGGCCGGTTCTCGATCAGATCGCTCTTCAGGTACTTGCGGTCCTCGGTGTCCTCCGTCACTCCGCTCACCTCCTCGTCGGCGTACCGGCCATCTGCATCCGGTTCGATCTCGAAGAGAACGGGAACGGCATCGCAACGGAAGCCCGCGACCCCGAGGTCCAACCAGTAGCGGAGCACCCGCTTCATTTGCTCCACCACCAGGGGATTGCGGTAGTTGAGGTCCGCCTGCTGCACTGCAAACTGGTGGAGGTAGTACTGCTGGCGCACCTCGTTCCACTCCCAGGCACTTCCCCTGAAAGCTTGCAGCCAGTTGGAGGGGGGTTCCCTCTCCCCGGTGGTGGCATTCACCTTCCCGTCGTGCCACACGTAGTAATCCTCGTAGCCCTTCTCGCGATTCACCGACTTTGCAAACCAAGCGTTCTCGTCACTCGAATGATTGGGCACAAAATCCAGTATTATCTTCAGGTCCAATTCGTTGGCCCGCTTTATCAGGGCCTTGAAATCGTCGAGGGTGCCGTACTCCGGCTGAATGTCAAAGAAGTCGGATATATCATAGCCGAAATCCACCATCGGAGAGGTGAAAATGGGCGACAGCCAGGCGGCTGTGACTCCCAGATCCTTTAGGTACTCCAGTTTGCTGGTGATGCCATTCAAATCCCCGATTCCATCGCCATCGGAGTCCATGAAGGAGCGTGGGTATATCTGATAGAACTGCGCATTTTCCCACCAATCCTTTGTCGCAGCAACAGTCGTCGTTGAATCACAAGCCCAATTTGGCTGGGTGAGGATAACCAGTCCAAGGGCCAGTAAGCTAATTGCAGCTAATTGTGTTCTCTGCATTTTTACAACTTAATGCCGAAATGTCAGTGCTGTGGCTTTTATACCATAGCAATGAAACTTGCATCCGATTACCAGAGCTTAAATGATAACCCGACATCGAGTAATGCAACCATTTGGCAAAACACTCAAAAAACCACTTCAGCTGGAAATTTTCCAATAACAGTTCCGGAGAACGCGATGTGTATGCTCCACACTCGATAGAGCGGTCTTGGCCCAATCAAAACATTTCCACTAAGGGTGCTTATCTAACCGGTTGAGTGGACTGTCTATAAAAGAGCGAGTAATTGCCGGCTGCTCACACACAAGGTGTTATATTTTGACCGTGGCAATGGAGCTTCTACGGCTTTTATTACTCCTTGTTTTGGCCATTGGAACCAGTGAAGGTTGCCAGGTGCAGAGTTCCTCGAGTGAAACCACCAAGGACTGGTGGGAAACTGCACAGTTTTACCAGATATATCCGCGGTCCTTCAAGGACTCCGATGGCGATGGCATTGGTGACTTGAATGGAATCACTAGTAAGCTGGAGTACCTGAAGGATCTGGGTGTCACAGCAGCCTGGCTGTCGCCCATTTATACCTCACCCATGGTGGACTTTGGCTACGATATATCCGACTTCTTTGACATCCAACCGGAGTATGGAACTCTCGAGGACTTTAGGGCCCTAATAAAGCGAGCTAAGGAACTGGACTTGAAGATTATCCTGGACTTCGTGCCCAACCACTCGAGCAACGAGAGCGTGTGGTTCAAAAAGTCCGTGAAAAGGGAAAAGGGCTACGAGGACTACTACGTGTGGCACGATGGCAAAATAAATCCGGAGACTGGAGCGAGGGAGCCCCCCACCAACTGGCTGCAGTACTTCCGTGGAAGTGCCTGGGAGTGGAACGAGGAGCGGCAGCAGTACTACCTCCACCAGTTCGCCGTCCAGCAGCCCGATCTCAACTACCGGAATCCCCTGGTGGTGGACCAGATGAAAAGGGTTCTGCGCTATTGGCTGAATGAGGGTGTATCAGGCTTCCGATGCGATGCACTGCCTCCGCTCTTCGAAGTGCTGCCCGATGCCGATGGCCAGTTCCCCGATGAGGTGGTGAGTGGGGCCACCGAGGATAGTGAGGATAGGGACTACCTGACCACCACGTACATTGAGAACCAGCCGGAGACCATCGACATGGTCTACCAGTGGCGCACCGTTTTGGATGATCACAAGCGAATTTACGGAGGAAACTCCAGCGTTCTGCTTATAGAGACATACTCCCCCGCCTGGTTCACCATGCAGTTCTACGGGAATCGGAGCACTGAGGGAGCCCACCTGCCTTTCAACTTCAATCTGATTACAGTGATGGAGCAGAGGGGATTGAATGCCAGTAACGTTCAGGAAGCCATCGATTTGTGGCTTAATAACATGCCTGCAGGTCGCACGGCAAATTGGGTGGTAAGTTAGAGTCACTAACTAATCGAAAAAAACCCTCCTTATCAGATAAAATTTTTGTTATCAACTATTGGCACGAACTAGTATTATATTTGTATATAAACATATAAAGTTATCTCCAAAAACTTTTTCATCAAATATTTAAGTTTTTAACAATACGAATGACTTTCTTTTTTTTTGTCGACAGGAGCACAAAAGTTGAAAAAAGAATTCAGTTTTAGTTCTTATTAAGAGGTTTTTCCTTTAAAATTTTTTTTCATGTAAAAAATTTAGTATTGAACATGTTAATGGTTGTCGCTTTCTTTGAGAATTAGTTTTTAGAATTTGTACACCCATTGAATGAAACTAAGAACTATATACATACATATATATTATATATATTTTTATATATTTTTTTCAGATAGGAAACCACGACAAGCTAAGGGCATCCACTCGATATGGAAAGGAGCACATCGATGCCATGAACATCCTGGTGATGATCCTACCAGGGGTTAGTGTCACTTACCAGGGAGAGGAACTAGGGATGACCGACGGCAAGATCAGTTGGGAGCAAACTGTGGATCCTTGGGGCTGCAACTCAAATGCAGACATATATGAAAAGTACTCCAGGGATCCGGCGAGAACGCCTTTCCAATGGACAAGCGGTGCTAACGCAGGATTCTCCGATGGAAACTCCACTTGGTTGCCTCTAGCAGATGATTACCAAACTGTAAACGTGGAGCAGGAATTGAGCGACGAGCTGTCTCATCTGAAGATTTACAAGGCTTTGGTGGCACTACGAAAATCGTCAAAGACTCTGCAGAATGGATCAATAAAATACCAGGCAACTGCAGACAATGTACTCATAGTTCAACGGTGAGTGGTGCTATGTTTGTTCTTTTACTTTTATTTACCTTACTCTTTTGTAGATCTCTTACCAGTTCAGCTACAATTGTTGGAGTTATTAACTTTGGTTCAGCAGCTGTAACCGTTGACTTGAGTCAATTCGACAAAAGTCGTACTGAAAGCTTGCAGCTGCTTATAAGAAGTATTGACTCCACAAAAACGGAAGGGTAAGCAAAACAACAATCTTTATGTAATATCTACTCCTGCATTTATTTTTATTTATACTTACTTTTTTATATACAGCACTCGATACGACCCGAAAACTTTGAGCCTTGACCCGGCTGAAGCGTTAGTTTTAACCACTGAGTAAAACTCGATTAGTTTAAATGGAAAGTGTTTTGATTCAATGATATTCGTCTTGCTTTATTCGTAAATATATATGCAGCCAAATAACATTTAGCGTATCAATAGTATTAATAACTATACATCAAGTAACTAGTTCGAGATACATTTAAATCTTGGATGTTCCATGGGTTTCTCGTTAACGATTATTTACACTGAACACACAGACACGAAAAACGAATATATTTCGCTATTATTTGTACCCCATGATTTGGCTAGACATGATTTGCATTACTTGCGTTCTATAACAAATATTTAACTATGCGTTTCGAAAATAGTTTTAAGCTGCACACAATTAACATTAATCCGTATTCACATCAAGGTATCACTACGCCTAGGAGTTTATCCGTAAAGTACTATATGTACATCTTAGTTGGACAACAATTAAATCTACCATGTTGATGGGCTCAAACAACACAATAAATGCAATTGTAATTGTTCTAACTAGCTGCTACATTGCAAAGGGGCTGAGTCTTAGCCCTTTTGGAACATAATTGCGCCCTCGAAAAAAAATTCTCGTTACCCAGTGCTCACTGTACAGTGTTTGCCTCACTTAGCCTACGCATTACATTTGCTATTCAGATAGTTTGTTAGTTTGCTTCGGTTGTAGAAAACACATTTTTGAAATTATATCACATTTTTTATTTTTTTGTTTCTTTCGGAACTCTTTGAAACAACGCTTAGAGAACTAGATAAGCTTAAGGATTAAACACTTATTAATAGTTAAGGGATGACGAGTTATTTTTAAATATTTTTTTTTGCTTTTGTGCTGAAGTGTAAACTGGGAAAACACATTCGCTTTTGGGAAGAGTTGCAAAAGATTTTCGATTAGCCAATTTGGATTTGGAACATTGCTTCAGTTAACTCTGAACGTTTTCTCTGTCTGCTAAAATCTAGCCTTATCCTCAGGTGTCACAGAAATATCCTCTAGTTATCTAACCACTGTTTATAATAGGTAAGTAAACCTTTTTTTAATATTTCTTCATCGAATTAAAATATATACACGAAAGGAAGCTAGCTTCGGCTTACCAAAGCTGATATACCCTTGCAGTCATCAAATATGTCGAACAAAATACATAAATGCTAAACAACATCGAAGCTATGACGATTTTCTATAAGTTTTCCATATTTTCGACTATTGTTCATTTGGCAGCTTTATGATATAGTGGTCCGATTTTGATAAAATTTAAATTAAGAGTCCTTAAAAAACTCTGTATTCCAAAAATCGTGCTTGTCTGATGAAAAACAACGATGTTATAATTTTATTTCTGTTCTATAAACATAGATTTTTCGATCTTTCCTATGGCAGCTATACAATAACCTTCTGAGGTGGGGTCTGAGGTGTCTCCTTCACTGCGTTGCAAACTTCTAACTAAAATTATAATACCTTTAGCTCTGCAAGGGTATAAAAATAAATAAATATAATTCATATTAGAAAGAATATTTGAATATAAGTTTTTATGTTATAAACAAATCTTAAATAAATAAGTAACATAGCTGATATAAAAAATAAAATGTTAAAAGCTAATTGCAACTGTTTTCATCTGCAATTTTTATTCTATCCACTTGTTTTCCACAACCTGAAGATATTTCTGTGGCAGAACTGTCTCTAATTAAGTCGCTTTCTGGCTGGCACTTAAAAGGACCAATCTCCTTGCTATGTTTTGGTATTTGTGCTGCACTTTCGACCCTTGGAAAAGATTAGGTCAACAGACACTGTCCTTTACTTACGTATTTTTACGGGCAACCTCTAATCTCTGATGGCAGCTCAAACTGGAATTGCCGAGCGTTTTTTTGCCGCACTGCCGCTTCCTGTGCTGCCGTTGTCGCTGGAAGAGCTTTGTGTTGCAGGTTGCTGTTGCTGGTGTTGCTGCTGTTGCTGTTGCTGCTGCAGTTCAGCCTGTTGTTGCCGCTGCTGCTCCTTCAACAACTGCTGCTGCAATTGCTGTGCGTTTAGCTATAAGTTTGTTTGCAGGACCAGTGGACGTTGGTTTCCATTTCCATGGCCATTGTTGGCCGCCACGGATGCGGTTTCGGTGACATTCCCAGCTGGCAATGGAGTTGTTATTGCTGCTGCCGGTGCCTCTGTTGCTGTTGTTGTTTCAACAGTTGCCGCTGTTGTTGTTATGGTTGCTGGCGGGCCGCTTATGTGATTGTTAGTCGTTGTGATGGCAAATGCCACGGCCGGCTGGCCATGTTGCCTCTGATTGATTTTGTTATTGTTGGCCACCACTTGCTCCGCTGCCTCATCGTTGCCATCGCCGATGTTGCTACTGCCATTGCTGTTGCTATTACTATTGCTGTTGCTATTGCTGTTGCCATTGGTGTTACTGTTGCCGTTGCTGTTGCCACAGCCTTTATCCGTGGGCGTGGTCGTGGCCGTTGCGGTATTGTTTGGCACATATTGATCGGCGTATGGTATTTGATTGTATGCATTGATGTCCAGCGACGTGATTATGCTGGAAATCGTCTGAGTGGCCATCTCGCACAACTTCTTCGTCTTGAGCGAGTTTTCTGCAGGTGGATTATGGGATAAACGGGTAAAAGAGTGTTGTTTTTTAATTTGTGAAAACAAAGCTAGACTTTAGTGTTGATAAACCAATAAATTGTTTTTTCTACTTTTTTATCATTCAAAAGAAACAAAATTGGTTTTTTTGAAAATTTTAAATATCAGAATCTTCTAGCTTTAATATTTTAATGCATTTCATTACAGTTTTTAACTTTACATAGCTATGGTAAGCTGCTCTTGATTTTTAAATATTTGTAAACCTTTAAAAAAACAATAAATGATCAAAAGTTTTAACGGCATTTCAGGGCAGTAAATCGGCATCAAACCCCCCTCTGATTTCGTTTCATTAATAATATTTTAAGCTGTTAAGTTATTTAGGGAAGATTAATACTCGTCATAATCGACTTAAAATACATGAATTAATTACAAATAACAATTACTAATTTAATTGGAAATAAAATGCATTAAGTGAATTACAACTCAATTTTAATTGATAGGTTCAATTAGTGGGGAGTTGGGAATACAGGACACACATTTATCAATCAAGCGATATCAACCTGATGTTTGCTTTACGCTCGAGAGTATTCTATGTTAAACACGCTAGTTTCATTAGCCACCTTCGATTGGTAAGATAACAAGAGGTAACCCAGGGCGACTACGTCCTGCGACGACTAATTGCTCACCTGTGTTCGTGGGCGTGATATGCTTCTGGATCTTCTCCTCCTGGGCACAGGTGGCAGCGGTCACAACGGCGGCGGCCATCATGGACGAGGGTCCCGTTCCGGCGGTGCGGTGCATGTTGCCGTAGCGCGGCGGCATCATGCTCTGCCGCACGTTGCGCTCGGGGCGTATGAGTATTATGTACAGCTGCAAAGGCACGAGCGAACGTACGAGTGAGCAAATCAGTGTGTCCTTCCAATTAGGTTAATTTCTCGGATCGACCTACGAGTCAGCGACGTATCGGGCATTAATCATACGACCCATTCCCAGAAATGGCAGCTTGGAAGCGATATCCAATTCTGTTCTGTGGCTCCAGATGGCTTATCTTATGGGTTTCATTAAAAGTCAGTGCGTGACCCGCCACGCCCACTGCCAGCCCCCAGTTACCAAGTCCCAATTCGAATCAGAATGTCATTAGCCATTTCCCGTCTCAATGGCCACCAGTAATTGTGGGCCAAAACAAAGGCCAACGAACGACTCGAATCATTCGTTTATACAGAGAATAAAAGAAAGAACGTCCACTTTAAATTACCATAAGTACACTTAAAGATCGGGAGAAGTGGTTTGGTTTTCGATTCTCGTTTAGATATAAACTAAATATTAATGGGTAGGGTAAAACAGAGCAAATGAAAAGAAGAAAGTGCATAGCGCATCAAATATTTATTTAAAATATTTAGTTTCAAATAAATCTGTTTAAGTTTTTCCAACTGATTATGATCAAAAGTTTCTTTGCTTGTTTGATTTAAATAAATAAGCTATAGAAATTGTAAGCTCGTTAAGGTTTTCGTAAGGGAGACCACTTTCTTTTACTCCCTTGCACTAAATCACGTGCCTGTAAAAACTTGTGCAAATTGTGTGCAGTGCTCCTTACGTTCCCATTTGCGTTATGTTGCGTTGTGTTACGTAGCCTCAACGGCGGCACGGTCATTTCCGCCGTGCTTTGACATTGTTTGGCTGCCATTTGGACGCCGTTTGTTATTGTTTTCACCGCAAACAAACGGGGAAGTACGAAAACAAACTGAGGCGAAACCGGACGGGGATTTGGGGGGAACGGGTGGCTGAGGAAAAGGGGCGTGTGGCAGTCGGAAGTCGAAATTGCTTACCACCTCGGTGCGCCTTTGTCCTGCGGAAGGAGGCGTGGCTGGTGGCACCTTTACGGCCGGTCTTTAGTTTGTTGCCTCTTCGTCCAGTGATCCCCAGTTGCTTTGTCGCATGCCGCTTTCATGGCAGCCTTCTATTGTTCTCCTTTGCCCAGGTACAAGCAATTGTAAATTGCATTTTTATGGCTCAAGGCGTGCGATACGTGTGTTTGCTTATACGTACAAGTATGTACGTTGTGGCTTCCCTGTCGCCGACTTACCGTGCATTAGGTGACATCTGATAGCGGACAGTTGGCCCGGTTAGCAGCCACTGGGCCAAGGAGTATTTCACGCTCCGACATTTAATAATAGCCCCAGTGCATAGTGTTTATGGCCTTTTCTGCCTCCCCTTGGGTTTCGTGCTACTTTTCACCCGGAATATGCAGACAGCGCCCATAAAGTGTTGCCATTTGCCTTGGACCCGGGACATTCGGCTATGATATGTTTGATTGCAAAATGGGGAGTACGCTCGAACTGTAATCTGCTTTCTGCCTGACTTACTGAACTAACTTCCTTGCTCTTCCATGCAATTTCCACAGAGGAAAAGCCAGCCAATAAATCACCAGTTGATAAGGGATTAAAAATGAGTTACTTAAGGAAAGTTTGAATAATGAGATCTAAAATCCATAAATCTTATTAAGTACTTGGTATCTATGTATTTTAAGCATTACAACAATTTCGATTTGAAGGTACTTTAAAGGAATATTGCGACATTTAAGTAGGTTATTATAATAGTTTTTTAAGGTAACAGCAGCTCCTTTCAGCGTACACTTACACAATATTTTCGATATTCTTTATATAATTAATATATAGATTCCATTAAGTGTTACTTGTGTTCATAATTTCAAAGCAATTTGTGTTAAATTTTCTCCCATCCTTTAATTTTTACTGTAAGAAAGTACCCATTGTGTGGAAGCACGCTTCCTTCGTGATTTTCGATGTCAGAGTAAACAGCAAGTAATCCCCCTTCCACCAACTGCATAATCTGGTCCATAAACTTAAATGGCTGTCTATATTTGGCATGGCTTGCAGTTTGCCTGCGTCTTAATGGATAATAACAGTGAGTATTAAAAATATTGCGGCAGGGAAGCCGGAGGATAAAAACATAAAAACAGTGCGCCAGCAAAAGGAGGAGATCATGAGGAGCTCAGCTCCGTTCGAGCAGTTGGCCTGTTGACATTTAAACTTGTCGTCGATTAAACATAATGAAACGGCAAATGACAAAGAGGACCAAGCAAAGGGTATACGTTAAAAACAATATGGTTGGCATAACAATTTAAAATCCCCTTGGCCACCATCCTTCGTCTTATTGCTTTTTAATGAAGCACTCGTCCCTGCGTCCGGTTAAACGGCACAAAAAGCGAAATAAAATCGCCAGTGGCAGTGTGCTGCACCCAAAATCCTTTAACGGTTGCACAAGAAATACCCAATAATTAATGCATAACGCAATTACCAATTGCCCGACTGGCAATCAATTTGCGGAAAGGAGCCCACCCACTGCCAATTACCGGTACTCACCTTGGGCGAGAAGAGACACGCGATGGTCACACTGGCGGACAAGCTGATGGTCACCGACATGCTGGTGATGCGCAGCGGTACGTGGTTGGCGGTCCCGAAGTAGAGCGGTACGAACGCCAGCCAAATCACGCAGGTGGTGTACATGGTAAAGCCTGAAACCGCAAAAGGAAGTTCGAAAAAAATATTAATACCTTTCATTTAATTCTATATTTTTATTTAACATTTATTTTATTACATTTTCGCAAAAAAACACTTTGTGTATGGCATACCAGGAAATGAAAAACCCTTACTCGCAGTTTTAATTTGGTTTGCCATGCAAAAAAAAGTATCTGCAGTAAATGGAAATGCACACCACAAGTTAATAGTCATGGAAATGCATTTATTACATAACAAATTCAATGAATAAATCACTGGCCTTTTGTATTGCAATAATTTTGCTTTAGCAAACAAACATAAGCTGATTTTACTGACGACCGCCTTAATGTTTGATGTAGTAAAATGGAATTCTGCCAACAAAATGGACAAATAATCACAAAATACTCCCAACAAAAGCTGCCTTAATCTAGTTAGTGCTCTGAGTTCTTATTAAAATTTCCCCAATTAAAGGTTAAAGCCAATTATAACAGCCTTTGATAGACAGATTATATATGCGGCTGTTAAATTTCATTATGTTCTTTGCAGGACGAAAGCAATTACTCGGAATTATTGTGCTACTCGAAATGAAAGGCCTAATTACTTACCAATATGCTTCGATTCGTTGAACGCCTCCGGAATCTTTCGCGTGAGCACCGCGTAGACCGTGCAGATTACAATCAGGAAGATTGGATACGAGAACGCAATCATATAGGAGGCGTCGATGTAGGAGTCGCAGACGAGCAGATTATCCTCGCGTGTGGGATAATGATGCATGGCATGTGATGGCGCAATTACCATCCAAACGCCGTTGATGAGTATCTGCGAATGGATTGCAATGAACATTGAGCACTGAGCGTAGGAGGGCATCCCACATCCACATTAACCGCACTACACACCTGCACACTAACCAGGCACGCGCAGATCACCAGCTGGGACTTGGGACTGATGAAGGAGGGCCTCTTGGCCGACTGTTTGCCCGCTTTGAAGATGCGCGCAATGCGATTCGTTTTGGTCAACAGTGCAGCGTAGACGACCGTGAAGCAGAAACCCACGCCGAACCTGTGGGCAAAGCTGGGCACAGTTCACACTCCGCTCGAATCAACTCGGCAATTTGAACTCACCGCTGGATGGCACACACTATGTTCGTGGGCTTCAGGACCAGCGCGAATGTGACCCCGTAGCACATAAAAATCCCCGCCAGAAGGATGTAGCTCAGCTCCCGCCCAGAGGCGCGCACGATGGGGGGTGTCGTTATGCCTGCAGGGGAGAGGGAAAGTGGGAAAAGGGAAGGGGAAGGGTAAGGGGGAAGAGCAAAGAGGGAGAAAGTTACAAACTTTGGTTTGGCTGCCAGGAATCCTTTTGCGCCAATTACGGCATCATTTTTATGTCCCAGCTTGTATATTTTGTGGCAAAGTTTGCCAAGGAAAACGGGTGAAAAGTTTTTAATTGCTTGGCCATATCCATATATGACAAAAGCCGTTATAGTTTGCCAATAATCGCAGTCAGAGGAGTGTAAATCAATCGATTTATGGTGTCGTTAAGCCATTAAATATAACGATTCTTTTCACTTCTCCAACTTTCCTTACGAGAAGTGAAATAATTGTAATAAACATAATCTGGAAACTAAAATGAATAGAAGTCGGTCCTCGTACTTGTGGCCAAATATATGCTCACTAAAAATGAATATTTTTTAATCTACCAAATCAAAATTTTACAGGATTACAATGTTCAGAGTATAAATAATGTTTCTATTCCTTTTTTCCTTTCAATACTATTGCTAAAATCGCTTTGAATAAATAAATGATAACTAATTGGTTTTAGTTATATTTCTCCCTTGTTTTGAACTATTAAGTTGAAAATACATACGGTTCTCAGTTTTAGTATGGTTTTAAAGAGGGCTAGTTTTCACTTATTTTTGGGATTTTTTAGCTAACGTGAAATTGTATCTAGACTAGTAAACGCAACTATACCAATCGGTTATCAATTTTAATAGTTTAGGGGAATATATTTCAGACAACTGTCGCTTCCCTTTTCAAAAGCATCCCCCCAGTGTAGGGGTCACTCACCTGACAAACACGCCCATGACAAAGAGCGTTATCAGGATGCCGGTGGCACTGAACGCCATCGCTCCGATGGCCCAGGCGGACTCCGGCCGGAGATAGATCTCCGGGATGGGGCGGCAGTACTGCTTGTTGGCATCCGGAAGGGTTCCCAGCTTGCAGAGCTTGCAGTGGGTCTCGTCATCCGGGTGTCGGATCTGCAATGGACGCACCGAGCACAAAGGAGCACTTGATAAATGGAGGGGCGAGCTCAAAGCGGCGTGTTTGCCATTCAGTGGCAGCCTCTTTCAGGCCCTACGACTTAATTGTTTCCCCCTCGAAAGCGTGAGCACTTTCCCCCGCCACTCGCGTCGACGCGTTAGTTCCGGAATAATTCACTCGGCGCAACATTTCAATCTCGTCGCAGGCCGACAAATAAATTACAGGGCCCAGCTGGCTTCCGATGCGATTCACTACTTACTTGATAGGTCGTGCAATTGAAGCAGTGCCAGCAGCAGCTCTCGCCCTCCACGTACTTCTTGGCCTGGCCCACCAAACAGGGCAGGCTACAAACGGACTCCGGCGGCTTGGGGCTCAGCCGCTTGAACTTCACCTCTGGGGCAGCGGGGAAACGAGATAGAAATCAGTATTGAAGGAGCTCAAAGTGTTCATAGCAATGAGTAAGGGCTGGGGGTTAAATAATATTTCTTTAATAAATAAAACGAACTAATATCAAATCTTAATCTTTATAATCTTCACTTTTCGTAAAAAATATAAGTTACTACTATAAAAGTTTTACCAAAAGTTTTTTCTTATTAAAATGTATATTACCGCATTTGAAGTGTATGAAACAAAAATTTGTTAAATTACTTTAAAACACTTCCAAGGGTGATTCAAAAACTAATTAACTTAAGTATAACAACGAAACAGAAACCATCAAGATCTATCTAATCAGGAACATGCTTCGAAACCTGCCATCAGTTTTGGCATTAGTTCAAATCCCTTTCGGTTGGGAAGAGGCCTTCCAGGAATCTGATCCAAACTAGGAATTTGGTTGGTCAAGATTACTGGTGCGCCCCGATAATCCGGACTGTTGAATGCTATTTCCGGCACTCGAGGCTGCGTTCTACGTTCTCTTACCCGACATGTTGAGCCGCAACTCCCCCTCCGTGTACTCGCCCACCTTGACCCAGTGGTACTGGCCCGCCTGCGACTGCTTGAAGTGGATGATGTTGTAGCGGGCCGGACCGTCGCCGTTCCCGTCGAAGCGGAACTCATCGCCACTGAGGCCTGCGGAATGGGAATCACAGAGAGAGAGAGAGAGGAGTTAAATGGGTTTATGGTTTCACGCCTGTCAAGAAAGAAAGGGGGCGAGGAAGCTGGCCCACCGCCGCCCTATCAGAAAATTGACAATCTGCGCCAGTAAGTCAGAGCCTTTGGCTTCGGCCGTCCGTCTGTCTGTGTAATTTATTGAATTTCAATCGAGTTCAATGACGATGACAAGCAAGTCAATTTTCCACTCGAAAGCATGGCCAATGCGCCTTGTAGGACACTCGCAACCAGAGAGATACTAAATGTGTGTGTGAGTGTGGCTTTTGGCACAACTGCCAGGATGGGCTGGCAGGAAATTTCCACTTAAGCTATTTGCGAAACACTTGCCGGCTGAAGGAACAGTACGAGAGCGAAAAGCTTGAGCTTGTCTGGCATCCTGTTTTAGGAATACTCGACGAGCTCTGGCTTTTCGGCCACATAGCTACACCCCTAATTTGGCCCAGTCTTATCCCACACAAGTTAATAAATATCCCTCGCTACTCTACTCACCCTCGAACTCCACTTTACGCAAATATTTGAGCAGATCCGCGCCCTTCGTCGGCTTCATGGCCTCGCAGAGCGAAGGACCTCCGCCGCACAAGTCGCGGTGCATGTCCCTGGGGGAATAAATTTTATTACATCTGCCTCCGCATAAGTCTTAACTTCTTGGGGTAGATCAAAAAAAATCACGCTGTGGTAACAACCTCAAAGTTCACGCAACTTCGTTGTTAACTTTACTGTAATCGTATTTCTTAAAACTTTAAAGTTAGCCAAGTCCTCACTTTAATACTTTTTGTATTGTAACTTTACTACTTCCTATAAGCGAGCTTTTTCCTTACTTACCTCAGGGCATAGGCAAAAGCCATGACCGCATCGCTCACAAATTGCAACTGGTCCTCGAAGTCGGTGTTCTGCCTCGAGAGTCGCTCCTTTTTGGTGCACTGTTTGGTGTAGTTGTTGTACGGAGTGCTGGTGCTTCCGGGGTATCGGCACTGGAAGTGATCCTCCCAGAATTCTGAGAGAAAAACATCATAAATAGTATTGTAGTTCAATTTGACTTAAACGATCTTTATCATTAAAAAACTTAACCCTAAATGAAACAATGAATTTAAATCCACACAGATTGGAGGGCAGCCAACTTGTTCATACATATAAATTGGCATGTCAGCAAGTGACGTTTTTTGATGGATGTGGTGTATTTACAGACGCTTAAAAGCGTTGTTTATATTATTTCCAGAATCTGATATTGCCATGGAAAGAGTTTCTATTTTGATTTATTTAACCTAAAGAAAGTTTTATTAATTAAACCTTATTTCAAAAGTATGCTTATAAAAATTTTGTTAATAAAAGTAAATCTCCTTTTGCATTTAAAAAAAGATTCCTGAATTCCAACAAACATTCAATGCTACTATTAAAAATATTCTCAAGATAAATAAGCCATTAAAGAAAAGCCACAGAACAATTAACTGGCGTATCGACTTACCCACAAACCAGGGATTGCGCTGATTGTTCTCCACCGTGAGGCTGAGGAAGTACTCCTCGAATCCGCGGACTGGATTCGCCTGCGGCTGCACAGACAGCGTGCCTTCCACCTGTTGATGACACCAAGGCGCACGTGGCGTATGCTTAATGAGCTTGATCGCAATTAAGGCAAAGGGATGAGCACGTTTGTCTCTGAGCCCAAAAGGTTGTGGTGAATTAATTAGTCGCACTCAGACGCACACACGATTAATTTAAATTAAACCATAATTCATCATAGGAAAGGGCGTGTGAAAGTGTTTTTCGGTCTCCATTATTTATACATTTTTTTGGAGCTCATATCACAGGGTCACGCCCACACGAAAAGCGTGAGTGTGTGGCCAAATCCGACCATTAATCAAACGCGGTCGCTTCGCCCATTTAGGCTCATAATTTCCGGCCGACGAAAATGACCCGTCATCCGGGCTGACGAAATAGTTCACTTACCTCGGGCTCGTAGTCGTCGGACACCAAGTTCCGGGCACTCCAGCCATCGGATCCGATCCAGGAGAAGGAACCAGTTGCATTTGCCCTTCGCACCGCCCGCATCACTTGTCGAACCTCCTGATCCGAGCCGAAGATAATGGCCCCTGTGCAGCGCGGATTAAGTGGATGCGAAAGCACGAAAGGCAGAAATTAATTTTAATTGCAATCAATAGCGAGTAAGAGGCTTTACGGCGGAAAAGAAAACAATCTGCAGCTGCCAACTGCTGTTCTGCTTTTCCTGTCCCTGACTGAGGATTTTCCATTGGGACTCAAAGTGTTTTAAAATCATTGAAAAACATATTGAGAAACAGTTACGCAAATTGGTTATCTTTGTACTGAATCCAAAACCTGTTTATCAATTTGTATACTTTTGAAATTTAATTTACTGGAGGCAAACCTTAAATCAATTATATCATTTCATTGCATGTTATTGAAAGATATTGCCAAGCGTTTTACATATTTTTAAATAATCCTTGGAGACTCAAAGGGTTTTTAAAACATTTAACCACAAATGAAAACAGTTACGCAAATTGGTTATACTTTTACTGAATCCAAAACCTATGATTTAAGTTTATCAATTTGTATACTTTTTCAATTTAGTTTGTTGAAGGCAAACCTTAAATCAATTACATCATCTCGTTGCATGTTACTGAAAGATATTGCCAAACGTTTTACATATTTTTCAATATTCCTTCGTTACTTTTAGCTGAGAAAATTTCTCAATTTGTAAAATAAACCTTACTTTAATTGGCTACGAAAGTCAATAAAGGCGAAATGTTGGGCCTCAAAATATATGAAAATATCGATGACGAGGCAGCATAACAAAGCCAATAAAGTCCCCAGTGGCTAATTGTTGAGGCCGACACCTAAACCGTTCAGACTCGTCTGTGTGAATTGGGCTCTAGAGCTCCGGAAAATATCCTATGTTTTGGTATTGACAACGGGGAACACTTTTGGCAGACTTTTCCCGAAGTTTGCTGCTGTCTTCATTGTTTCGCTCCGCCTTGAGTTTTCAGGGATACGTGAGCTGCAGTTGTCACTTCATATCGGCACGACTGAGAGCGCTTTTTGTCTTACACATAATTTTTTCAGCCCCTTCAACATGTCCTCGTATCGATTTGCCACTGCTGCTTGAGACAAGAGGAAAGGAAACTTAATCAAAGGAAGCGGCGGTGGCGGCGGCAAGAACGGGAAAACTTGTCGATACTTTTGTGAAGTAAGGGATATTTTCCTTGGATTTTCACTTTGCCTAAGATTTTCACTCAAGCTCCTTTGTCCGCCTGTGTATACTAGTCAAGTGCCCTGGATACGCTTAGCAGGGATATCAAATTTAATTTAAGGGCCCACTCCGTTGGATATTCTTATGCAGATTAAGGGGGAGCTTTAAAGGCGCGGCTGAGAGTGATCTAAAGCGGTTCAGGACATGCCATGTACCGGGTAAAATCGCATCTGCTCGGCACGACTGCGATAAAAAGGAAAAACATGTCCGCTCACCCCACCCAGCCTTCTTCATTTGCCCCCAAAGTGACATGTGTGGGGCTCCGAAGAGGAGTAAAGTTCACCCCGACGGCAGTTACCAGCCGCATTTGCGGATCCGGAAGGGCATCATTTTTCAGGGACCCAACTCGAGCCCGAACCCTCGATATGCAAAATTAAACAACTGATGCCAAAGAAAATACTTTGTCAAATTGATTAATCGTTGCGAGGGAGCGAACAGCGAACAGCAAACGGCGTCAAATCACAAATCACAATAAATAATGATGGTTGAGGGCCGAGAACCCTTTTCTTGGCCCGCCGACTGCTTTACGACTCCTGATGGAACATTTATGTAAATCAAATATTGTTTGCCAGACAAAAGTCAATTGTTATTGGTCGGCCCCCGTGTGCTTTTTATTGGCGGGCACGACCCTGTTTTCCTCCTCCAAATTACTGATTACTGATTAATGATATGCGCAAAGGCTTAGGCGGTAATTATTTTTAATATATTTCTTTGCATCGCCTGTAACTGGCAGTTGATAAATATTTGACAGGCGAGTTAAAAAGTTTTGGGGCAAATTGATTGACATTCTCGTATATTTTTTATACATCCTGCTCCTCGGGGCGTATGATTGTCGTAGATTGACGAAATGTAGGGTTGGAAAAAAGCGGATTTCTTTCGGCTTCAAAAATCGTTCCGATTAATTTGAATTTGCGCCGTCCCTTTCTGTATTTTTTAATTGCTGAACTTGTCGAAATAGTAGTGCCATCCATCAAGCATTTTTATTGACTATTGACAAGGGGTTTTACTTTTGACCATAACAAATATTCACATTTTTTACCCACTACAATATTGGCGTATCAGTTTGTCCACTTTTGGCCGACTATCTCTCAATTTATTTACCAGTAACTTTTTATGATTGTTTTTGCATGGACTTTTCAATTTCCCGCTGGGACATATGGGACAAAGGCGTTACAGCACAGAGATTTTAAAAATATTTTCATTTAATTTCTGCAATTTCCGGGATCCAGTCCCACTAACCAAAAAACTTCAGCATACTTCACGACCCGGCATTGCATTCATTTGGGTGGCGTTGCAAGACCCTTATGCTTTCACGTTTGCAAGGCGGCGTTCCCTGACATTTTCATTTAAATTGCAGTTTAACTGGCAGAATGCAGTTGCTTTCCGGTCCCGAAATTTACTTTTTCCGTCACTACTCCTCCACTTACGTACCTCTGGCCCGGGGCTTCGTCAGCAGCTTCTGCACGATATTATCGTACGCGATGTCCTCGGCCACTCCCGAGTCCTTCACCAGCTTCTCCTTGATGGCAATACAAATGTTATGGCGCGCCAGGAGCTCCTCCAGTTCCTCGAAAGCCTGTTTGGGAAGGGGAAACAATCGCAGTGTTGGGTCAACAATAAAAACGCATGTGATGGGGGAACGCGAAGTTGTTTATGTAGGCAAAAGTATCAGGTATTCACTTTAAGTGCGTTCCATTTTCATTTGCACACTCTTCTGCGGAGGTAAAAAGAAAGTGTCAATTTTCGGCAAAGTGCCTTCAGCTCATTTTTTTAATGGCACTTAAAACCATTACTGATAAAAAAAATATTGCATTTTTAAAACTCTTTACACTCTTTACTGATTTTTAATTTAAATAAATAATTTAATATTTTTATGTATATTTCTGAGTCTCAAACGCAAACGTCATGAATTCTGGAATATTTAAATGAGTATGTTAAGCTCTTTCAAAAATTTGAAGCTAATGAAGATGTATTTGTTTTATTTTAAAAACTTTTCTGTAGATACAAAAGTAATTTGCTTAGCAAATGAGCAGCAATTTTAAATGCAAGACAACAAAACATGTTATTAGTGAACACCTGTTTCCTCCACCAGGAGGAGTCGCTTATGAGCAATTTTCCATCACGGAGCACCCACCTTTATGCCGTAATTGCTCTCCTCGTAGATAATCGAGACGTAGCTCCAACCCATCCGCTTCACAATCTCCACCATGGCCTTCACCTGGTAGTGATCCGAGGGAATCGTGCGGGAGAAGTACTCGAATCGCTGTTTGTTGCTCAGCTCCGGGCTGGTGGAGAAGTAGGACACCTGGGGGGAAAAAAGCAGTGAGGGTTGCAGGATTACCGGGTGATGCACAAATATTTTTGCTTGAAAAGCTATAGCGTTGACTTAAAAAATGCGCTCGGAGGAGCAAATAAAGTTGCCAGAATGTTATTTTTATGTTACAGCCATTTTCACTTGAAGGTTCCCACATTTAATTTTCATATTTTTTCTCACTCGTTTACTCGCTTGTGGCTCTCTGCTTTGCAAACACTTTTGTAAGCTTCTTTCTTCAGCTTTTCACATTCATATTTCCCCCTGTTAAGCTCTTTTCGAAAAACCACAAACAATGCTGCAGTCGAAGAAAAACATCAGATGGCATTACTTTGCGAAATCTGCTTCTGGAGCTGCAGCTGCAAAAGGCCAACTGAGATAACTTGGCTAAAACCCGGAAACCAATTTCACGCAGACATTAACCCTTCGGTTGAAAGGGATTCACCCACATTCACCACGGCGAACTTCAGTCCCACGGCAAAGACGTCGATGGCGGTGGCCAGACAAGTCAACTGCAAGTGTTTAACGAACTACTTGGCTTCTAATTAAGTGTCATTACCATTAGTCAACAGTTTAGTAATTGAGTGTTTGACTACTTGTCAGGAAGTCATTGAAAGGGACCAGCAATGCGAGCAAGTGTCTGCGACTAATAGTTTACTGCGTTCAAAAGTCTCAAAGTTATATTGAAGCAAGTAGCTTGCAAAGGGCAGCTTTTAATTTAATTTACAGAGTGAAACATAAAAATAACAGGAAGAACAAAAACTTAGACCACAAATAGTTCTACGTATACAATTTTTATAAATAAAGAATTATTTCTCCAAAAAATCAAATATTCAAACAATTCTTTTTGTTGGATAAAGAAAATTGAGAAATAACTCACTTGAAGCCTGATGAAAAAATACACAAGTAAAACACTTTAATGCTTGATTTAAAGTTCTTAAATTCTACTGTCCAGATTTTGTTTTACCAAAGTCGTTATCCTCGTGAAAGTTTTGCATAGCTACCAATTTCCGCTAAGCCTGAATGAAACTCAATAAGTCGCTATCGACCAGCATTTTCAATTGAAGGAAACACAAATTTGTTGAAAGGCACTGTTTACGAAGCCTGCCGGGAATTTAGGCGTACAAGCGAAATGCAATCAAATGTTTATGGCTGATTTATGAGCTCTTTTTGGGGACGATAGCCGGGCCTGCATAAAACGGCTGCTGCTCTTGGCCAACAACTGCGTGTGCGTTTTATGGCGTCTAGTACACACAGGGCATACAGGACACACAGGGATCTGGCTCCCAGGCAGTCGGCTACTTAGTTATTGTCGCGTATTGACTTTTGGCTCCAGCTCACGTAGTTGGTGCAACAGCACCGGCTAATAAATTTCCCTCAACATCAAGCACGTGATTCATGCAGACACTCGAAAAATGCTATTTTGTTTCCTCGTTGAGAAATGCATATAAGTTTGTAACATTCTTCAATTGGTTTTTCTGTTTCTATGCCCTATGAATTTATTTTTGTTGAAATAATTTTTAGGATCTGGGGCATTTGCAGACCGAACCAACCTTATTGTATTTCTGCCTTTCATAAAATATTTATTATTCTATAATTGTGAAATTATTAGGTTTTGTGGCAATTGTTTTTGGTACACGAGCATATGTACATTTGATAACTGGTTTACCATCAAAGGAAACACAATGTTCGCCAGCGGCTTTCACTTGTTGTCCGGCCATATTTCTTGTGCAACTGCTGCAATTCCTTCCTATTGTTGGCCTGGAGGACTCGACTAATTTAGTAGCATGTGCAGACACTTAAGAATCGGTAGACCCAACCCGAAGCCCCGATGACCATTGCAACAGTAACCACGTGGCTTCTGGGAAATTTTAATTACGAAATACACGAAACTTTTGTTGGTCAAACTAGCTCACATAGCCGAGAGCATAAAGTGAAATTTGTTTTGAAAAGCAAAGGACTCCGTTTTCGTAACGTGACCTTTTGACTCCGCACACACAAAGTCCCATAGTTTCCGGATCGCACAATAGAAACTCACCTGGGGAATTCGAAATAACCGCAATAAATTGGCAACTTGTATGGATGTGACCGAGGAGGCGGCGCCCACCACCCCCGAAATAACTTTCCGAACTTGCGTCTTGTTGCAATGATATTCCGCGTCATCAATATTGCTGATGGATCCTGAAAGAATAGCGAGGGAAAGAAGTTGAGAATAGGTCACGTCGGAATAATGCAATTCAATGTTTGTTTGTTTTGATACGGTAACGGTGAAATTCAATAAAGTTCCTACTTTTTAGATAAGGTTGAACAAATATTTGTTTGCCTCTCGAATTTCGAGCATTTCTTCGATTTTATCCCGGAATCAGTGTGCTTACTTTACCTAGCAATAATACGTACAATATAAATTTAATATAAAATACGTTTAGCTTAAGCGGAGGAAACTGGTTTAACTAGAAATTTCACTGAAATCTATTAATTACTTACGTAAAGAACAAATTTAATACGCTCACGTCAGGCAAAACAATATCCCGTCCTTCAAGTTTAATCAAAAATCCTCTTTTGAAATAAGGCAACTTAACAAACTGGGTTAAAAGTAAAGTTTAAAGCAACTTTTAGCTTAATAAAATCTACCCTAATTACGTGATACACAGCTGTGGCAAGTTTTCCTCTTCGAACTTTAAAGGTGGAATGTGAGGCTGTAACCAAGCCATGGACAGCTCCCAAAAGTGTGGGCTTGCGACCGCGCCCACCATTATCACAGGCTGCCAGCTGCTGGGCTTAAGTACAAATTAATTAACTCTCCGGCTGGGATAGTGTCTTGATTTTGGGCATACAATCGATGCCAAACTAGATTATTATTAACCGAAATAACCGAAACGGGCGGAGCGGTATGACTGTGCGGTACAGAGCAACCGACGGAGGCTGGTCGGCACCGGCATAGTTTACGGCCTGCCTAATCCTGTCAATATAATTCAGTGACTTGGAAAATTATATTTTTCATACGTCATACGCAACAAAGACAGAGGCGGGATGCACAAGGGGGAAGGGGGAGGGGAAAGGAGGGAGGGGAAAGGGGGAAGGGGTTGGGGTGAAGTGAAGTGAAGAGGAGCGGAGCACGTCGCTCAAATAAATCCTTGCCGCGCACATAAATAATGAAATTATGGAGATTAGAAAGTGTTCAGGGACGATGACAAGGATGCTGGCTCTGTGCCCAATTGATTATGGATCGTTGGGTGAGTGTGTGTGTGTGTGTGTGTGTGTGTCGGCCTGAGTGTGTGCGCCTCTTTGTTTGGCCCGATAAAAGTAATAAGCGGCACTTTATGTGTCCTTGATCTTCCCGCCCCCGTTCGTCCTTCGAGCCAATCTCAATAAGCCATGCCGCTTTGTCTTAAGGGAATTATGCATATTTAGTTGGCGTGAGAGCCCCAATCTTACGCAGGGAAATCCCATAATTTATTTATTCATTTAGTTTACTAACGAAATCTTTGACGCCGTCTCAGTTAGGCAGTTTCCACTCTGCCTGTCGACGCTGCTCTAGCAGAAGAGCATAAATATTTCATTCCAGAAGGAGTTAGCCAACGAAAATATGCACCCAGGCAAGCTCTTAAATAACATAAGCCCCACAAACACCGCTATCTAATTTGGGTTATCATTTGCCTGAATAAATTTGTGCACAGTTTCCGCCCACAGGTTCTCTGCAACACAACGACGCAACGTAATGCAACTGCTACTGAAACCGAAACTACTTTTGCTCACAATGAAATCAACATAAGTTGCAGAGCCAGAGGTACACTCAATTTGCATATAAATACGACTCAACTGAGGCTGTGTTACGTGGCGTATGAGCAATGTATACGCTAATGTGCACAACAATCGCACTTCCACACGAGTAGAACATTTCCGTTTCGCCTTTCACATCGGATGTATTTACTTTCAATTAGTTTCTTGAGAGGTGACACCTTAAGTACGTGACATGGCCATATACATAGATTTGGCCTTATATTTATTTCCATGGCAATTTTGACTAGTTTGACGAAAAACAACTAATTTCGTTCACTTCAGATGGATTCCTGCTTTCCGTGGATAAAATTTCAATTAGTTACCTGCAATATTTTAATAAGGTGTCACCTTAGACTCATAACATGACCCTATTTCCATAACATTTTTGAATAATTCCGAGTGAGTTCGTTTTGATTAAAAAAATTACATTCTTTAACTCCACACGGGAGCATAGAGCCTCTTCATTTTTGTAGAGGATTAATTTATCTTTGGGTTTTCGATCGTACTGGTGATAAGCCAGTAGCGACTTATCCTAGCGGTGGGGTTGCCATTATTATTATATATATTTTTTGCTCTTTCCTATGGCAGCTGTATGATAGAGTAAACTGATTTTGATAAATTTTAATCCGAAAATCAATAGTAGTTAGAAAACGCCATCTAGAAGAAATTAAGTCAATCTTATCAAAAACAACTGCGTGAGAATTTTTTATTTCATTCTCTCGTATGGGAGCTATCCGACATAGTCGGCCGATCCGGCCCGTTCCGACTTATATACTGCGTGCAATAACTACACAAGTTTTGGTAAAGTTTCATTAAAATAGCTTTAAAACTGAGAGACTAGTTTGAAGAGAAACGGACAGACGGACAGACGGACAGACGTACAGACGTATTTCGATTCAGATCGTGATGCTGATCAAGAATAAATATACTTTATGGGGTCTGAGGAGTCTCCTTCACTGCGTTGCAAACTTCTGACTGAAATTATAATACCCTTTGCTCTGCAAGGGTATAAAAAGAAGACATTGCTTCTGAGAAAGTTTCATAAATGATTCAATGTTCTTTCATTTCTGCTTGAATTTTTAACCCTTTAAGGTAAATGGATTTTTCGGCCCTTACCACCTTACCTTTGATAAAATCCACTGCCATCTCAAGGCCATACGAGTCCTTGTCGCAGTCGTCCAGGATGTGGGCGCCGAGGGTGATGTTCGGCAGCAGCTGCTCCCGGTTGATCCTGTCGATGGTGAAGAGCATGGCCTCCAAAGCCTGGATTCCGCCCTGCGGCATGATGGGTCCGCAGGTGATGCTGTCCTCGCGGGAGTGGACCATCATCAGGCCGCCCAGGATGACGTCTCCCTCCACTATGGCCTCCCCTCTTGACCGGCCAATGCCTCTGCGGCTGGGTGGCGTACAGTCGGTCGTTCTGAAAGCTCAGTGAGTCCGGCAGGGATCTCAGGTACTTGCCGCTTCCGTCTGTGGAGCCCAAAGGCAGCGCCAGGTTGATGTTGTTCAGCGGCAGGTGGCGACCTCGATGGCGACCGGAGCGCGGCGACGCCAAGTCAATATTAGCATAGCGCTGGTACTCCTCCACGTCAAAGGGGTCGCTTCCCAGGTCGCCATTAGCCCGCGATGGATGCCTGCCTTCCGGCGATGGATCGTCATTGGGGTAATCCGGCGAGTGCAGGTGGCTCACCCACTGGCGCCACTGCTTTCCCAGCTGCTGCTGCCGCTCCTCCTGCTCCAGCATCTCGTAATGGCTCTGTCTGTGCTTCCGGCCGAGCTTCCCTTGGTGATGGTGATGCCCCTGATGCTCCCAATGCTGCTGACGATGATGGAGGTGCTCGCAGCCAAAGTGATTGCCATTGCCACTGCCACTTCCACTGCGACTCCGACTGCCACTGCCACTGCGATGACGACTGGGCTGATGGCTATGAGCTGCACCCTCGTCCTCCAGCTGGATGTCGCCCACCACTTGGCCATCGGCCTGGAGGACGTGGCAGGTAGGCAGGATGACCAGCACCAGGAGAGCACAGATTTGCACGAACCATTTGCTCTCGCAGATTGTTTTCATATTGGCTATTTATTTTGGCGCGATATATTTCTGTGTTTACTCGATTGCCGTTTTTATTTGAATACGCGCGGATTTCGGTTGGATATGCTTCGGATTAGCTCGCAGTTCAATTTTCCGAACGACAAATGCCCGTGCATTTTGGACACTGTGTTCGTAGGTTTCTCACAATTTATGGGTTTTTTTCCGCTTTTGCATTTTGGCGGTGTACGCATTGGCAAGATGCAAAATATTGAATTTGTTCCGATTAACCAATAAATATTTTCGGAAATCCGCACCGGTTTGCGTTTTATTGGCTTTCCCCACAAAGCTTTTATTTAATATCTGGTTTGAATAATTGGTGAGTTTAAAAAGAGCGTCACAGCAAACTAAAATAATTGGCCTTTTAATAGTTTCAATAAATTTAAATGGGTTTTAGTTGGCCTCTTTACGAACCAATTTAACGGCTAACAGATCTGTCATGCCAATATTTATCAGAATTATGTGCACAGCAAACCAAATTCCTTATTGTTTTATTACGCTTTCGTTTTAGCAAATTTTGCTGTGTTTTGGCACTTTTTCGCTTTTCATTTTCATTCGTTATTTAATATTACTCCCACCAAAAGGCTTTTCATTTATGAAATTGTTATGTTTCGGCTACTGGTTTTCATTAAAATTTTAACCAAAATGTTTTGTTGTCAACCGAAGCCCCAAAAAGTTCCCAACCACCAGGCTTACAACTGTCAGTCCACCCCGATTATTGGGCTGGAGTGGGCGTGGCCGCTGGGCATTTGCCCATAAAAATGATTGCCCTGAGGTAAATTAAATTTGCATAAAATTTTACGCGGCGCCGCAAGAGGAGGCAAGAAGCGGGTAAAATGCAAGAAATCCTTTGCCGTGGGTGGTGGAAAAAGAAGCGCAAAGGCGGGTTCGCCGGAGGGTTGCCAACGGTAATTAATCAAATTGTTGGCGTCCTAATGAGCTTGTCGGTGGCCCCACTCTCCCCACCGAAGTTTGTCCCACCCACCCGACTCCACCTACTCTCACCCACTCTCTTGCTCGCCCGCTTTCACCCGCACCACTAATCAACAAACGCGTTAACGCCACTTTAGACACGGCCTGCAGTTGGAGTTTACAGAATTACTTATCATCAGTATAATCAGCAGCATTATCAAGGTAACCCGGAATGACACTGGGAGTCGGCGGGATTTCGATGGGTTGGCGGGTCCATGGCTCCCGGGTCAGTGGGTGGGAGAACGGCCTCGGTGTCCCCACTCCCGGGGAGTCCTGGATTGAACCACTCGGCTTGCAGCATCTGCGCCTCCGGCTGCCGGGACGCATCGAGTAATGAGATTGCGTTAAACAAATGGTGCTTTCCCTTTTTATTGTACGTAATAGACACCGGAGGCTCCTTACACGCTCGTAATTTATTTTGATTACATTTGTCGTTCTCTGTCAGTGTTTTTCATTCGGCAATCGAGTGCTCAGTAATTTCGGCATTACGGCTTTGTCGGGTAGATTGTCCTCCTAACTATTTGCAATTAATTTTTGAGATACCAACTAAATCAAGAGAATTGTTTGCCGTATATATTCAGTAATCTGGTGTTGAAGCTTTAGATTTCGAAGTTTACATACTTTAATCAATTTTCTGTTAAGGCTTATCAGTTATATGAAGAAACTATAAGGATAAAAACAAAGGTTCTTCTGTTTCGAAATGTTTAAGAATTTTTGCCCAACAGGTTTTAAATCCATATTGACAAAACTTGTAAACTTTTCCCCAAAATGTTCGTGTATCTATTCAAATTCTTTAAAATTCCTATTAACTTTGCAGCTAAAACCACTTGAAATTCAAAGAAAGATTTTTTAAGATTTCTCCGCCATCTTCGAATCACATTGATTTCACTGAAGGGCACGTAATTTTCCTTTCTCGCTGGGACATTTTTTGCATAACGAACACTGCCTCTGGCTGTCAGTGACACTTGTCTCAACGTGTTTGGTTGGACATTGTTCATACCAAGGCATTACGGGACCGATCCCCCTCTCCACCCCTCTCCACCCATCTCCACCCATTTCACCTAACCTCTGGCAACACAGCCCTTCCGAACCCATTTCTGTCTGGGCCAACTCAGCTCGACTCCCACTCCGCTTTGTCATTGTCTTATTTTGCATTTTGTGTGGGGTCTCTGATTTGATTGAGCATTTCGTTCGCCTGCCTGTCCCTTTTCGCTGATTTGAATTTCGTTAAATTTCGCTTTTTTGAGGCTGAAATATTTTATATATTGCCGCTTTAAGGGCAGCAGACGATATCAATTTGTTGGCTTTTCCATTCATTCGCTTTCGCTCTGATGTGCAAATTGATTTCCATCGATAGGACTTTCAGTCGCATAAAATTCACGATTCCGCCGGGTGCTCTGCAAATTCGACCTTTAAAGCGCTGTATATATTACTCATCCAAAAATTAAGATGAAATCGAATATGTATTTTAATACTTGAGCATAACGAAAAGTCCTTTGCCCACGCATTTTATTTTCGATGGCCACTCAAAGAACATGCATATACTGGAAACTCTTTCAGCACTTGTAAGATTGTGCATGCTCAAGAGCTGCGTTTTCTTAATATTATATATCAAAGAGAATACTTGAGTTAAATCAAGCGTAAAATAATGAGCGCATTCATTAAGGATTCCGTCAGTTTGTGCAATACCACACAAAAAGCATTAATTACTCGCTCTTACGAGACGCAAACCAATCAAATCACACTTAAATTTTCGATTTCGTGCACTTTAAAGGCGTAAGTGTGTAGTATTTAATTTCCTTCAACTTCCGTTTTAATTTCACATCTCATTTGCCGCCCTTTTCGTGACAGGCGCCGAATTGCGACATTTGCATAAATTCCTGGGCCAAACAATAAAGCAGATTTCACATCAAATAACATTCAATCACCTGCCACACTCGCCCACGATTTGGCACCTGAGCAGCCTGGGCTGCAGCTAATGTCCTGGCCCCCAGGATCAGGATTCGCCTCCAATCTGCCGGCAGGAATTCAGAATTAATAGTAACACATGTAGAAAAGAAAGGAGCGGCCCCACTCGCACCCAAAATATGAATAATTCGGGGAGCGAGACATGCAAATGTCTAACATCTCCTTATCCTTCGTGAGTTACAAATGTGAGTCTGTGATAAATTTCGTTGACATGCCAGAAACACAGAAAGTTGTCAGCCGAGGGAACGAGGGATCGGGTAACTCGAAGCTGGTAATCAGGACGCTTCAACTTCCATATGCAGATATTAGCTCACCTACGCTCCTGCGAATTTGTGACAGTTGTGTGAATAATTTTTTAATTTTATTATCGCGCAGATGTGTTACGGGCAATAACATTCAGGCCCCCAGGGAGGGCCAAAGTTATGAAATTGGCCAAGTCTGCGGTGAATGATCAATCAGATGACTTCTGCCGGCATATTTGGTATTCACAGCACACAGCATTCAATCGTACACAAAAACAAAATATTTGTAACAAGGATAACTGAACTGGTTTTAGTTCAATCAAAGTTTTATATATTCAAGAAAATTACTCAAAACCGCATCATAAAATCTATATGTAGCTAGCTTTGGTTTTTTTCTACACAGATATTGGTTTAGCACAAGCCCATTACCTATTTCAAGTTCCAATATTCTGAGCCACTCTTTCACAGCAAAGTGTACTTTTTGCCCTCTGCAAGCAAAGCAATTCAATGGGTTTTTGCCTAGGTTTCCCTTTAATTTCGGTTCTATTCGTCTGCGCGCTTAGATGGGATTATTAGAGGTCCCCGGGGGAAAAGCGCGTCAAACACATGAAATCAATTACACTTCTCTAATGTAGGCACTGCTGCCCTTTTCCTTTTGCTCCGGTCCAGAATCTGCTTTGTCTTTGTCTGAAGTTTCCTATAGCCCTTGGCTTTCAGCAGGCTGCCTGATTTTGCCTATTTTTTTCGTTCAGACGGGGCGAAATCTCAGGTATTTGCGAGCTAATAAAGTTTGCCTTAAAGTATTTGGCATAAAACTTTGTCTGCGTGGGTCGGGGATATTTGTTTTGATATTAGTGGGTCCTAAGCATGCATGACATGCCTTCCATCTAGTCTATTCATATTTGCTTAGTTCAGCTGTCTGGCCCGCCGAATAAAAGTCCTTACACGTGGAGTCCTTACGCTCTGCGCATTGGTAAGCAATTTCCATGCTCCGTTTCGCTTGGCTCGTATCAATAATTTCGTAGGTTTTATTGTTATTTGCGAGTATTTTTATGTATTTGCCAGGACGAACCCTCCGCGCCCGGGGCGTGGATATCCCTTTCCGCTGGCTTAAATTGGGCTCGGTATTGAAATAGTTGGATGACCCTAATGGAGAAGCCAGCCGCAGGACTTGGCTTACTTGTGGCGAATGGCAAATTAAATTCCATGTTAATGTCGAGCACCCAACTTTTGTTTCAATAAAAATTAATTTCGCTGAGCCAATGAATTAATCGAATTAATTGGCATCAACAATAACATTACAATTTGATAGCTTAAGTGTGAAAATCTTGTTTAATATAAATTCGCTTATTAAATCATTGCAGAGGAGCCACACGTTATTGTAATAATGTGCTGAATGGTTCTCTCAAACGTCATTAAAGTGAACAACAATAAATAGCAATCAAAACCTTTCAAGGCGGCAAAAAAATTAAATAGTGGCACAAAAGAGCCGGAAATCAAACGGAGCCATTAAGTGAAATGTAGCGGAAGTTTCATATAAAAACGCAATTATCCTGCCGCACACACTCGTTCGGAAAACAGATGACAGGAAACCAACCGGCGATGCCAGGTCGCAATTTAGCAGCAAATTGTTTTCTTCCACATGACAATTTCAGCCAACCTCAAACCTCAAGCTCAATCAAGAGCCATGCAAACCAATCGAGCCAAATCAAACAGGAACCTGTTGAAAATTAATAGTTTGCTTTCAGTGAAACCCCACCAACAACTGCAGGTATGGCTTGTGTGTTGTATAGTATTTCACTGGTCTAGAGAATTCCACTCAATTGAAATACGATAACGCATCCTATTCTGTCGTAATTAAATTCAGCACAACAAATAAACGCATTAGGCTAAGTAAGTCAAGTAGGAAAACAAAAGCGGCCGTAAAGTGAAAATTTTCATAATTAATTTTGTGCCTATCTCCTCGAATTCCCGTCCACATCCCCCGAAATCCTCCCTCTGGCATGTTAAAGCCTACTTTGTCTAACTACGAAGGGCAACACACCTGGGGCTTTGGCCAAAAAGACCACGCCCAATGGCACTGCATACAGGCTGTGAATTATTTACGCGTTGGCGAGCAAAGCACCATTATACCATTATGCGTGGCATTCTTC